CGACGACATCGGCAAAAATCCGTTTATAAATAGACGCGATTTTTTACCTCCATCGATAGAATGAATTATTCATGATGGATATCAATTATCGCGACGCGGCGTAAAAGCTCGCGGCACGGTCGTTGCAATTAGCTGGTAATTTATAGGAATTCCATGCCTAATAATGGCGAACGCAGGGCGGTCGATGGTAGCGTGACGTCGACGTTCGTTTCCTGAGCGAATAACGGATAAGTAGGCCGTTTCGTTTGGCAAAAATCGCGCCATGTTTCGTCTCGCGCGTGACTTGTTACATCGAACGTGTCACACTTCTCGATGCAAACTTTGTTCTGTCTTCTCTGTGCATGGATCTCGATTCCATTGGCGAAGGGCGTGTTGTTTGGTTTCGAAAGTAAAACAAAATGGTTTCTTTAAAACGATAGAATGGATTCTGGTACCATTTGCTTCGTTTCAACACGTTAATTGCTGGACCAAACCCTTCAAATTGTCTACGAAAGCGATACCCTATTTTTAGACAATTGGAAACTAGCCACAAGAAGAGAAGTCATTTTAAGGAACCAGAGATTTGAAAGACATTGCGTTGAGTTTGTTCAATTTTTTTCGCCTCGATAATCCGGGGTTAAACAGAGCCGCTTTCTCGCGCAAACTTCTTTCGCAACCCTCGAATCCGCAGAATTCCTAGGCGTTACGCAAAACAGTAGAATCTCCTGTGTTTGACGAGTCGCGACAATGTGCGTTTTCTCCTTCCGCGAAAGTCCGATCGCGGGCGTGGTTTTGCGACTAATTCCACAGTAAACTAGCAAGCAACGTATGTACAAACGGAGGACGCGGTTCTCCGAGTATCTTGTATCAATAAGCTATTAAAGGCTTCCTACATTCTCTTTGCGAAACTAGTTACGTCGAGTGTTTGTGCATGAAATCGAAATGAATGAACTCTGTCATATTTGTAGCGAATATTCAGCATCAAGTTCAATCGTGTACCGGCGAATATCAATCTTGTAATCTGCTTATCCCAAATAAACTTCGTCTCGGACTCGAACTCTCCGTTACAGCGACCATTAAACCCGTACGCCTCGAGAAAGTTGGCTGACTAGATCGAGGAGAAAGAGAAGAAACCAAAAGTGCACTCAAGCTCTGTAAATAAACATTATACAATATATATTTAAGTGTCGATTGATCAACGAGGACGGAACGGTTTATGACAGCGGTCGTTCATAAAAAAAATAACGATTTTACCTGTTACGTAACCGTACCACCGGTTGCAATCACGCACAAAATGATTGACAGAGTGGAAAATAGTTGAAATCGTACAAACATCTGTTCTTATCGTAACTATTAATCTCCTGTTAATTTTTTTACGAAAAAATAGCGTAGTAATTATGCAGACATCCTTTATACAAACTTAACTTCATTTTCAATTATGTAAACAATTTATGATCCAGTTGTATTGCACACCAGTCATGTTAAAACTTCTTTGGGTATGTAGAGTCAAAGTAAATGTTAAAATAAACATAGAAAGCAGCATAAATGATAATATTTCGTGTGGTCATCGTATAGGGGATGAAATGCCCTTTAAAATGAGCGTTCGAACAAGTCGATAGCTCAATTAGTTCCGGAGATATGGCGATTTTAGTTTCGGAGCTAGGGTTTGTTTACGTTTCGTTGTACCGCTCGCGGGTTCATTGACCTCGCGCGCGGCAATAGAAAAAAATGACCCCTCCACATAAATTACGATATCTCCAAAACGGAAAGTCGGATCGTCAAAAACCAAAAGCCATTTTAAAGGGGAAGCATTACCGCTTCGAACAGTGGCTCAATAATTAATAAAACCCTAGTAACTTCGGAGCTGCAAGCGTCTAAAATTTAACTATTTTTAATGGGGCATTGTTAGACTATTCTAAGACAGTGGAAACGGAAGATTCTCTCTTTTCATCTTTGCTATACATAGCTAACCAAAATTTGACATAAAATTTTCTCCAGTTTTTCCCCAGAATAGAAGTGAATATTGTAAAATTCAATATGTCAATGTAATTATTTGAAAATTTGTGCAATCCTCGATCACTTCATTATTTCTAAAATGCTTTAAAGGAAACCAACATTAAATACACCTGTTCACGTGTAAGAAATCTGAACGTCAACGCGTGAAATCCCAATATGCGTTGATTTAAGTACACCATAGGAGACAAAATGAAGAGTCAAGAGACGAAACGGTGTATCCAGCAAATTGAACGCGATACTCGAAAAATGCCATAGTAATTTGCTCTAATTGTAAGTGGTAGCAATGAACGGGACCCCTGGGAGTGACCATTAGCCTCCAGAGCGACCGGGGAGTCCCGGAGCCGTCGAGGTCGCGGAAGCAAAAGAAGGAACGGGAGAAGGGAAAGAGTGGTTAATTCATGAGAGCAAATCGACGAGGAACGGTGGAAGCGGCAGAGCACGGCGTGGTCGCACGTGGTGGCACGTGGAGAGGCGTGGTTCGTGGGAGGGACGTGTATACCGCTGTAATCCACTTGGCACACGCTGTTCGGCTAACCCTACTCTTTCTCGTCCGTTCGCTACCCTACCCTGGCTCACTCTACCTTTACCCTGCCTACGGTGCTGTCGGCTAGCGTTGTAGAGTTAATCGAGTCCTTCCGTGCACGTGCACACCGGCTCAGGTGCAGGCTCTTTCCTCTAGTATGCGAGACCGTAGGTGGGATCGGTTTGCCTCTCGCAGCCTCTCCTCCGCGGATCCGCTGATCACCGCTGTCTGATAGGGCTCATTGTTTGGGAGCCAGGTATCTTAATTGGCAGCGACCACCTTACCAACCGACAGGTTACCAGCAAAAGAAAAGAAAAGGTTAAAGGCAGGAGAGAGAGAAAGAGAGTAGCGAGTTTACGACTTTTCCTACGGAAAGGCTCTCCCGGGGATCGCTTTTGCTCGCCTACATTCGGATTTACGGCGAACACCGATTCGACGGGAGGCGCGATTTGCATGGCTCGTTGTCGTCGAGGGTCCCGACCTTCCTCCACCACCTCGTCGATCCTTTAATTCGCCGTAACGGCGCGGCCATTGTGTCTAATCGAGTCGTACCCTCTGCGCCCCCGTCGTATCCATCAACGGCCGGGAATCGTTTACGAGCAGCAACGGGCACGACGCGCGTTTTACGACGCGATAACCGCTGGGTGGTCCGTTCACGTTCGCGATTGTGAAATTAAATCGACTTAGGTGTACCGTGACTATCGCGGAGTCGGATCTTCCTCAGCGCAAGGGCGCGACAACCCCCTACAGGGTGCAACGCATCTGTTTACCGGTGTATCGCGTTTCAGCTCTCTCTGAATTGGTACCGTTACATCCCTGGTGTACGTCTGATGCTTTATATCAGTTCCTACTTAAACTACTAAACTAATTCTCAATTAATTCGCAAGATTAGATGTTAAACAAAGGGCTCTCGAACTTTAACAAATCAATAACAAATTATGGGTACTCTAGTTTCCAGTTGTCTAAAAACAGAGTTTTTAGTGGGCAATTTAAGGGGTTTGGTCTGGCAGTCGACATCTTAAGAAGACCTGACTGAAATGTCTAATTCCTCCTCTAGAAAGTTTAGTAGATCCATACGTATTATGAAAATAAAGAAAGCAATTAAAATTTAAATTAATCGCGAAAGTGTTCACGTTCATATTTCGCGAGGTATCGAAAAAGGAGGCACAATCACCGACCTTGTCGACGGGAGTCATCCCTCGGGCGTTGGGGATAATATCGCGTAATAATATTCGAGGGGGCACGTTGGCTGTCCATATAGGACTAGGTAGTATTTTAAATGCCAATGATTTCATGTCTCCCCGGGGGTGTCGAGGCAACCCTATATAGGACGAGACGTCGACGTCGAGGACCTCAGTCGACGACTAGGTGCTCCACTAATAAGTCCCGAACAGTGATAAGATACACAGTAAAACGATCAGGGAAGGAATTCGAGGCAGTGAAAGTGGTTTTTCGAGCTGCATCGTAATGCTATCAGGTCGACGTTGGCCCTCTGGAATCAAATTCGATCGTGTTTCGAAAGATTCGGTAACCCTTTGGCAACGAATCGGTCGCGGAGATGATCACCATGGACGCCGGGCACCGTAGATACTGTACGTCGTTGGGGATTCTTTCTATAGCGAAACGAAATTTCCTTTTCGCCTGTCGGGGGTTGACGGAAGCTGTATCTTCGCGGCGGAAGTGGTCTGTCGCGTACATTCAGAGCGCGGCGTTGATGCACGTCGGAAAGTTTCCATTCTGAACGGGACCGCGACCCGTTTTATTTCAACGGGAACAATGAACGTATGCATTTTATAGTCATGCTTTTCAAGAAGTCTGGAACAGCGTCCTCGATGGACGCGGACACGTTTACCATTCATCCTCTATTTTTATCAGTTCCGTTGCGGGGCGGCCATTTCGATTATTGGCGCGGCGCGGAGTAGCGAGTTCGTCTGGTTTCCTTGTTGCTGGGGAAATGAATTTGTTGCTGTTCTCGAACTGTTTTCCTGACAATTCATTTTCCCAGCGACGAGGAAACCAAGCGATGAACTCCTCAAGGAAGCTCGAAGTCCAACGTTAACAATTGGCGTTAAGAAATGAAGTTTGAGAGTCTCTGGAAGAAGTTCATTCGTCTGGTTTCCTTGTTGCTGGGGAAATGAATTTGTTGCTGTTCTGGTACTGTTTTCCTGACAATTCATTTTCCCAGTGACGAGGAAACCAAGCGATGAACTCCTCAAGGAAGCTCGAAGTCCAACGTTAACAATTGGCGTTAAGAAATGAAGTTTGAGAGTCTCTGGAAGAAGTTCGTCTGGTTTTCTTGTTGCTGGGGAAAATGGTGTACTGTGACACAGCACACCTAGCTCCAACATAGCAACACATTCATTTCCTCAGCGTCAATTCATTTTTCCAGCAACAAGGAAGCCAAGCAACGATCCTTGTTAAGAGATCGAGTTCGAGAGTCTCGATGGAAGAGTTTGCTCGAAGGTGTGCGTTTCTGTTTTAGGGCAGCTGCACTCGCCGAACGGCGACAGCGATAACAGCAACGGTAGCCAGCGTGCAGTGGCTGTTACGCGAAACGACGTAGACCAGCAACAACAACCTCATCGCCAGCGGCAACAGCGGCCAGCAACAGCCACCGTTCCGATTCTCTCCTGCACGAATCACTCTTCTACGACCACGACGACCACCGCCTTCACGGTAGCGTCAAGTATGCTTCTTCTACAGACACAGGTGAGCTCGAATCTCCAACGTACCCTCGTTCACTCGCAGCATGGCAGTTTCGAGTGGAAAAGTAAAAATGCAAACAATTTTTTGTGGGTTGGAGATGCAAAGGAGTCTATGCTAGATTGAGTCAATTTTTATACAAGGTCCTCTTTAGGGGGTTTCGAAACCTACTTCAGTATACTTCTGAGAGAGTATTGTAATGTCAGATGTGGAATAGATGAGTTCAAAGGTCAGGAATTTAGTTGCAATAGAGAAGATTTTGCAGTTCTATATATTTGCTACCACGTGTTACATATATGTGACAACGATTGTGTATTTTATATTCCTCATAAGCAAATGAAGTATAAACTGTTGAACATTGTATTCCAAACTACTCAGTTGGGCTGTTAAACATATTTTATTTATAGTTAATTAAAAGCAGGCCACTTTGTTCTTTTCAATTCCAAAAACCCATGGCGAGAATTTTACCTGCAATTATGTTTTGGCTTTCACTGGAGTTCTCTCGCTTATTAAACGTCATTCCATACTGGACCGCTTTCTCTCCGGAATATAGAGGTGCATCCACAATTTATTGATTGTTAAAATACGATTTAACGCTAGTACTGTGATCAAAATGATTATAAAAAGTTACAACTCGATAGAGTACTAAGACACTAAAATTTAAAAAAATTAAAAAAGCGAAGTTGATCAATTTGTTTACTACGAATATAAAAATGTAGACCCCATTTTGACACAATTTTAAAAAATTCAACTAGCGAATGACCACCACCATCTTATGCAAAAGGACTTGAACCAATGGCAGTTTCTGAAAAATCACCCTGCTGGAAATTCCAGCAAGTCCAACCCAGATTACCACCCCTTTCGCTACCACCTCTGTATCTCACGATATCGCGATCGATGTCGATTGATTATCCCGGCGAACCGTCTGTTTGTTAGCACGTTGGAATTTATGCCGTCTGGCACAGCCAAACTGGTAATTATCGAATCCCGGTGGTTAGAGTCTGCTCGGTACTTTCACTATTTCAGTATCTTATCCGCCGTACACTTCGAACCCCGCGTGTCTAGGCCCGACCTGCAACAAGATCTGCCCTCCTACGTTCCCGAGCGGTTCTTGATCGTCATCTGCGTTCGCTTATCGTGCACCATCTGCATTCCTGCCCACGTACCCGGATCTCGAGTGTCGTCCTACCTGTTTCTATCCCTTCCACGACATCCTCGATTTTCCGTCCCGGTTTCTCTGCGAATCGCCATGGGACCGTCGCGCGTAATTAAACAGCGGTGGACGGGTCCCGCGAAATCGCCGGACCCTCGCGGTACGGCGGTGTCGTAATTGCATGGAGGAAGTGCCCGGGGTAAAGAAGGGGAGAACACGGTGAACACGCTTTCAGGAGGCCGTTTAGAAGGCCGTGGTGCCGCGGTCATGGAAGGCTGCAGGCTTCGATCGCCGGTTCTCGGGGGAGCGATGAACGAAATGTCAGCCCAACAGCGGAACCAACCTGGCAAATTGAATATCCCCAACCACCCCCATCCTCCCTTCCTCGATATCTTCCCGTCGCCACCGTTTTTTCCACGTCCTCCCCCTCATTTTCTTCGAATCGATCTTTCATTCTGTCTTTTTTACCTGGAGATACTGGATACTGACTTCTATGTTTACGTTCAGCATTTGAGGGGAGAAACCCCAAAATATGGAAGTAAAATTCGAAAAAAAGACAAAGGTAGAGAAGATTTAAACTCTTTTATTATTTCTGCTGTGGAATGGTTTCCTCAATATCATCTATTTCCAAAATCGTTTAACCCTTAAGTGGGCCCTTAATCTCAACCGAATAACTTTACTTAACGTCTTAATGATGATGACTTAATTTTTACCAACCTGGTGAATCAATTTTCCTTCGAAGTATTTAAAAAATAATGAACCAATGGAGGATCACATCGACATGCATTGAACTTGCCCCCAATAATCCACTCAAGGGTTAAAATCGAAATATCCATCTATTCCAAACGATTCTGTCATAGAAAATGGAGAACGTCGATTACCGAACGAACGTTTTATTTTGATTACCTCGAAGTATATAGTCTGCTAAACAAAACAGGGAACCTTTTCGCTACACCTAATAGTTACCCCACGGGTCGATTCGCGTTAACCTGAAATCTATTCGTGCTAAATGTCAGTCGGATATTCGCGGCACGCGTTGTCGGGCCCCGTATTATTTATAACATGGATCGTGGGACGAAAGATCGCCGTCCGGGGCATCGATTCGTCGTTCGACAACGATGCGTCCGCGGATAATGGAATCGCGTTGGAACGGACTGTGTTCAGGGACAACCGGCGAGCGTATCGAACGTTGCGTTAGAAGGGATTCGAGAGAAGCGGGTTTCGTTCGACGCTTCGACGTAGAAATCACAAGCGAGGCTGTCTAGCCGTTGAGTTATAGACAACACGCGATACTCGCTTCGCCAGTCCACTCCGGCGTCCTCACTGCGCACCTCAACTGTACATCGATGTCTCGACACAGGCTGCCATTGTGGTCGAACAATGTTACCGCCTTGCAGTCGAGTACTTCGATTTGCCGCTCGCACGGCTCACCCAGGTCTGTTCGACCTCCTCGGGATCACGGAAAAAGTGAACAGTTCCTCTCTCGTTTCGCGACGGTCCCACTTCCGGTGCCGAATAGTTTCGGGGAACGTGTCGCTAGTGCGCGGAGCAGCCTCGTTCGCCTCGGGACTTTTTCCACCCCTAAACGTTAGGATGCCACGGAAAATATCGAGCAAATTCACTGAGGGTGATAACCTCGGTAATCGTATTTTTATTCCACTTATCTTAAAAGAAATTAAAAAATTACTTTGTTCGGAATTAAGATTCTTCGTAAACGTGGTTACACCCCTTCGAGAAGGGCACTACGAAGAAAGTCAGTAGCTGTTAAAATAGAATTTCTTTTAGTTTGTAGTTTTATGGAATTTTCGACCCCAAATTGAAAGGTGTGAAAATAAATCTGAAAACAGGTGTTTAAAAAGTGCGTCAGAAAGGTTTAAGAATATTTTTACAAATGTGAGTCGGAATAAATAAATAAAAATTGAACATCGATCGATTGATACGAGTGAACTGCAGATAATAGACTGACAAGCTTTGAGAAGGTTTTAGCAATCTTTTGAACCCTCTGATATCGTTGAAACATCGAATAAAAATACATGTGTTCCTTCTGCGATGTGTTAACAACGTTGAGGAATAGTTTGCAACGTCGGGAGTTTGTTTTCAATGGGTGGTGAACGTCTGATTGCAGAGCCCCTTCGGATGTAGCACTCTAGCGGATTTGTTAAGCGCGTCGTACACGGATCCTGCAGATGCGGGAAGCCTGCCAGAGGAACTGGACCCGTTTCCGGAACTGCAACTGGGTAATCCGCAAGGAGTGCCAACCGCCGACGAGTCGGCACAGCCCCAGCAGGCTGTGCACCATCAACAACCACCGCAACAGCCCCCAACGGCAGCACCCCTCCCCGAAGACGTCCAAGCGGATTCGCTTAGGTATCCATTCGTTGTTCGTTTTCATTATGCTTCTCGTCCATCGCCGGTAGAATCGTTTAAAAATGTCCTACTTTCGATCATCGAGCAACTCTAAAGAGACGTATGATCGATGTCATCTCCCTAGGAACACCAAGGGGAGGGATCTTATCGAGCCCAGCACAATGTTTCCATAATATCATTTGTTATCACTTACATACGTCTTAAGTTGATCAAGGGCCCACTTAAGGGTTGAGTAGAAACTGATACAAAGCATTTTGGGATAATTGTTACCACAGTAAACAGTCCACTTAGGGGTTAACATCCTCTATATTAGCAGATACTGTGAACAGTATTGTGTTCCCATTTAGATCTATTAAGGATGTAAATTACGCTATGAGAGACCCTTTCTAACGATATTTATAATGCAAGAATCGGTTTCCAAAGACAATTGCGTCTCTTCCTTCGGTGTTCAACATGACTCGTGACTCTGTCTGCTTCGAATTCTTCGACGAAGACGTTTCGACAGATAAAAATCGCGACTGGCATTTCGTATCGCCGGGTCGAGGGGGTTAACGGACCATTGACATTTAATCTTGATCGGACGCAGCTCAACACCCTTGCCGAGCTTCCAAGAGACCTACACGGCTCCGCGGTACACCAGACAGGAACTCCAGGTCCTCGGCATCAAAATGGACGAGGACTGTTACGACAACCCGGTGTACCCCTGCGGCACGGGTCACTATCCCACCGAGTTCTCGCCCACGATGCCCTACCACGATCACCAGCAACAGCCGCAGCAGCAGCCTCACCATCACCACCACCATCATCCCCACCAGCAACAACAACCGCCACCTCCTCAGCCGCAACACCATCATCATCATCAGGGCTACTTCGCCACGGAGACGGCGCCCACACCGACAACAGCGGTCCCATCCCCGTCGAATCATCGACAGGATTCCCCGTACGGCGCCACCGTCAGCGTACCCATGGTCTACGGGCCACCGCCGACCATAACTGGCGGCGCCACCCCCGTGGCACCCACAGACCTCTGCCCCAACGTCGACAACGTCGTCGTCGGAACGTCCCGGTCGCGGAGGGCGTCTTTGCCTACGCAGAGGTCAGAGTCCGTGAGGTAAGTCGCTGCTTTGATGATGGAGGAACCATGAAAAGATAGCAAAGGCTACCTAATAGGCCCCTCCTTTAGGCTGTCATTCCAGTAGATTCGTACGAGAACTATGTTTTGACGAGTACGTTCACTCTTGTCTGACAAAACGGACTATAATATTAACTTTAACTTTTGATTTTCGTCTTATTTTAGCCTCTAGAATCTCCCATTAAAATTTTCCCCAAAGATGATCGAACAGTGTAGAAACAGAGTGGTCAGTCAATCGCTTGCGAGAAAGACAAGAGCGTGGCCCTCTGGTGGCGAGTGCATTAAACCATTAAATAATTAACCCTTTGCTTCGATACGCTTCGTTCCACATTTTCGTTGCGTTGCACCCGAGTATACAAGCTGAAAACCCACCATAAAAAAGGAAACTCGTTTCCACGATTTCAATTGAACTGTTTGCGACCCATTTATTACGTTAATGTAATTTTTTTTTCCACGTACAATCAATGGCAACGCTACTCGGAGTTTAATCGGGTCGCATGCTAATCGTTTCTTACGTCAAATGCGATCTCCATTTCCTCGTTTGTGTAATTCAATCAATTAGCTACCGCGGTGTTTTGCTGGCTCGCTACAATCCTTGGAACTTTTTCCACATTTTCCATGCGATAAATTGTTAGCTAATATGAATAATCGCGATGCTTTTTGCCAGTCTGATTAATTATTTTATCGAACGTCTCGACAGAAACGCGCGTTGAGGCATCGTTCCTTGAGTATCCTTTGCGTTTTACAACGTTCCTCCAACTTTCGATGAAATTTTGCAGTGGAAACTCAACTTTAAACAGTTTCATTTGGAGTTCATTCTGGAAACTAGTTTCGTACAACAGTTAACCTTTTGCACTCGGCTGTACCCTCTAAGGAAACGATATTATTGTTTTAATTTAGGACAAAATGAAAAAAGATATGTTTGCTTGGAGTATTTACTGTCTACTTCGTAAGAAAGTGTGTTTAAGTTAGTGGTAGGTCAAAGAAAAGTCTCCGTATGCAAAGGGTTAAACTCCTACATCAAGATTACAGTCGTCTTATTCGAGATTAGACTGAAAAATTCCAAAGAATCGTTTCTGTGTGAACAGTAGTAGCAGTACGGAGTCGTTGAAGGCGCGTGGTGGTAGCGGTACCGGAAGTTCCGTGAGCTCTCCTTCGTCCGGAAGCGGAGCAAGCAACGAGCGGGCGCCGCCGAGTCCTAGCCAATTGTGTGCGGTCTGTGGCGACACTGCAGCGTGTCAGCACTACGGTGTACGCACGTGCGAAGGTTGCAAGGGCTTTTTCAAGAGGACCGTGCAGAAGGGCTCCAAGTACGTCTGCCTCGCCGAGAAAGCTTGCCCCGTCGACAAACGCCGACGCAATCGTTGCCAATTCTGTCGCTTCCAGAAGTGCCTCATGGTTGGCATGGTGAAAGAGGTGAGTTACACACTTTGCACTCAATAAAAATGGAATAACATGTATCCTGAGCCCAGGATTAGCTCCCTAAGGGATCACAAATATGATAAACACACGGACACGAAGGGGGAATCATGATCTTTCATTCACGTCTCAAAGATATCTCGGTACCTAGGTTCCTTAGGTCTTTAGATACCAAAGAACTGCTAGATTACATTATACTGCACACTGAGTCAGACCTGTTCCATATTAGGCACATGTAGTATTCCATGTTACGAGCACTATGAGCCTAATCCGCAATCTACTCATTATGGGGGTTAGGTATGGGTTGAATATTCTGTATCAGGCTGACCCAACCCTTCACGTTTCGTATTCCCTAGATCGTCCAAGCCACGAGAGTGTCGAAAACAATTAGACGTTCGTTTCGCAGGTGGTCAGGACAGACTCTCTGAAGGGCCGCCGGGGCAGGTTACCCTCGAAGCCGAAATCGCCGCAGGAGTCGCCCCCGAGCCCCCCCGTGTCCTTGATCACAGCCTTGGTGCGTGCCCACCTGGATACCACGCCCGATCAGGCCAGCCTGGACTACTCTCAGTACCGACAGCCCAGGCCTGGCGATCTGCCGATCACCGAGGCGGAGAAAACGCAACAGTTCTACAATCTTCTCACCACCTCCATCGACGTGATCCGCAATTTCGCGGACAAGATACCCGGCTTCACGGACCTCCTGCGGGAGGACCAGGTAATCAAAGGTTCCTGTGCGTCGCTATGCAAGCGAATATCGGTGTATTGTTTATTACGTATCGATCTCCGGGCAATATACGCGGACGAGCTTTCGTTAAACAGATCAATAGCTTGTACATTTTATAAAAGGTCAATCTTGACGAGACAACGACACGTTTAATCGACGGCCTGATTGGTCGGTTGTCTGGTCTAGTCGTAACCTCGTGCTGATAGTGAGAATAACATTTTCTCGTTAGAAGGATCGCGGAGGATTTACAATTTCAAACCATTCGGTCAATTTCAATCGTTCAAATGCACCCTTCCCGCAGGAGTTGCTTTTCCAATCGGCGAGCCTGGAGCTCTTCGTCCTGCGGTTGGCGTATCGCACGAAACCGGAAGACACCAAACTGACGTTTTGCAACGGCGTGGTCCTGGCGCTCGAGCAATGTCAGCGCAGTTTCGGCGACTGGCTTCACAGCATCCTCGAGTTCTGCAAAGCGCTTCACGTCCTCGACGTGGACATCAGCGCTTTCGCCTGTCTGTGCGCCCTCACCCTCATTACCGGTGAGTACACGATCGAAACTCGATCCAAGAACCCACGTGCTCCCGACTCTATTCCCGTTTTAACTGTTTCGCGATTTAATTAAAATTATAACCACGGTATCCACCGTTCGATTTGCTTTCGTACTTCGTCCTCCTACGACCGTACCCCATTACGCGTGACCGTCTGCAAGATAAATTATTTACCCCTTTGGTCGGTTAGTTATTGATGCGACGACGAAAGAAACCGCGATCGTACGTGGCTCGCACGCGATACGTCCCCGTGATTTTCCTCGCGCGTCTCGTGTGCGTGCCCCTTTTCGGGCGCTATCGAGCCGCTGAAATTCGATTGCACGCAACCATCGATCCGTCCGTTCGATAGGGAATTAATCGAGATAGAAATTCAACGCGACGACCAGCTAGGAATTGACAAATTTGGAAACTGTTTTATAAACGGATATTTAATCATTTCTCATGCATAAATATTGGGTAATAACTATGGCTACGATCGTTGGTACATACCGATCTACGAGCCTGCAAAATATCGTTAAAATTCTCCTTGTCAATAAAATTTTAAAAAATAGATTAACCGATTTCTATATCCATACATCGAACTATAACTCTGGTTATGATTGTTGGTATATATCGATCTATAAGCCTGCAAAATATCGTTAAAATTCTCCTTGTCAATCTGCTGCAATTGCCAACAAAAATTGATAGTTACATTTATATTCGAGAAATCAATCTTTTATTTATTTATTTTATTTTATATGTACAGACACAATTAAGGGTGAAGACTCATGTAAAATGGTAAAACAAGGAGTGATATTTGACAATTTTTTTACGTCATGAGGGTTCGATGAAATTTTTCGCCATTTTCCACATATGTTCTTCAACATTTCAAGATACAAATATTATTTTTTCGTTACGTTTTACCGACTTTGGATGTAACAATAAACGTTATTCCATACGTCGATGGCGTTGATCTGGAATAAAAGATCGAACGCCATTTTGTTTATAATAGTATTACGCTCATAATCGTATGAACTAAAATTCTCTCTGAACGCAACAAAATGATTCTTGGAATAAATTTCTAATTTAATTATGCGATAAACACAGTTTAAATAATTATTATTACGAAGGATGAAATACGTATAATAATAAAATGCAAGATGGCGACTATTTGGCAATACACGAGTGCAAAGGGTTAAAATCGCGATATATTAAAAACAAGGTTGACTAGGATGAATGAAAAGACTAGTAATCCCTAGTAATTAGGTGCAAAAGGCATATAATGACAATGTTTGCGTGTTAAAATTGCAGAAAGGTACGGCCTGAAGGAGCCTCATCGCATGGAGCAGCTGCAAATGAAGATCATCTCGTCCCTCCGCGATCACGTGACCTACAACGCGGAGGCGCAGAGGAAAGCTCACTACCTGTCGCGGTTGTTAGGGAAATTACCAGAATTGAGGAGCCTGTCGGTGCAGGGCCTCCAACGTATCTTCTACCTGAAGCTGGAGGACCTGGTCCCGGCGCCGCCGTTGATCGAGACGATGTTCGTCGGTAGTTTGCCGTTCTAAATCGCCTCCCCCAGGGGCCCAGGAACAATGGCCGTCGTCGCGTAGGACAATTTCGCAGTCGAGAATTCGTGCGGTTGCGTACACGATTAAGTTTCCTTAGTTTCTAAACGTACACGTAGTTTCAACTATCTTCGTTGCGTGTATCCTCACATGGTTTATCACGAGTGTCGAGTGGTCGTTCCACGGGCGCGGATATCTGGACGTTTCGGTGTGTGTGTGTGTGTGTGTGCGTGCGATTGAACGTTTAAATTTAAGAGAAAATTCCCTGAGCGTTTACGGACGAGCGAATGTTTCGTGTGATTTCGCGTGATGCGTGGGTAAAATGGGGTACAACTGTTACTATCGTTACTATTACTATTATCGCTACTACTTTAACATTGTACAATGTAATTGACTATTATCGCTATCGAGCAATGGTCGTCTCCGGATCCTCGATGGATCGTCGAGTGCCGCGGTTACGCGAAACAGCGACGAAACGAACGGCGAGATTCACCCCTCGCGCGAAAGACAATCGCTCGTTCCGCGGTCCCCCGCGTTCGCGAGCTCGTCTAAAGGCTACGCTATAATATATTTCTTGCAAACGTGCACAAAAAAAAACGAAAGAAAAAGCAAAAAAAAAAAAAGAAGAAAAACCAGAAAAAAAAGCATACACGAATTTTTATCACTTTTCTACCTACTTTGTACAATACGCCGCCCCCGCGAGTCGAGCACCAACGTTTCTTTCGTCGCTGTGGCGCCCGTGCAAACGTACTTATCCGTCGGCGAGGCGAACAAAAAGAAAAACGCATTGACGATTCGCAACATATCAGAGCAGCGACGGAAGAGCCGATCTCCGAGTTCTTCGATCATCGTGCTCTTCCGCGCTGACAGTTCTTAGACGTAGAACGTGGCTAGGACCGCGCTCGAGCGTCGCGACGATGCTAAATCACCGTCGAATCCTCCCAGTTCCCTGTCCCTGTCCGTTACTAGTACGAAAACGCGTGTCCTTAAGCTCTGGAGGCTAAAATCGGTGCTTTGTCCCGCTCCCGTCCCGCCGTCGACGTCGATTTAGCATCCCTGCGAACGCTCGAGCGTCCTCCGGAGCCGCGTGATTGGGAATCCCGGCCCCGATTTACCACTACTCTTGCGTTAATGTGATTTTAGACAGCTAAGGGAAAGAAAGAATGAAACGGGGCCCCCCGGGGACGAGAACAAAGCGAGAATTCGCGCCGCGTCGCGTCCCCCGGTTGTCGTCGTCGACGGCGGGCCCGGCATAAAGTTACCTATTACGTTATGACATTTATTTTTAATCAAACTAACGTAGAAAGTCCTATTTATACGTATACCGCGCCGCTACTACTACTTATAACTATTACTTACAAACTTACTACTACTATTACTTACTACTTACTTACCGCTAGGCGTTACAATCTTACGGCGATCACAGCCGCTAATACCACTGTTACCATCTGCTACCTTCTTACCACCACCTTGTGTTACCATTCGTTCCCCCCGCTAAATGCGTAAGAAATCACCGTCAACGTTTAAGCACCGATCGCCGCTGCAGTTTCTCCGGTATTCACGTATCCAGGGGAGGCTCGAGGTGACTGGACGATCCATGGATCCCACGGGTCGGTTCTCGTGGTCGTCGAGTCGGCCACGATCGCTGGACCTCGACAATGTCGCTTTCCTCTTTTTGCGTGTATGTTAATTGTCGGACCCGTAAAACTACAGCCCCCGCTAAACCGATTAAAACGATACAGCGTTATACGAGAATAATCGAGAGCACCACAGCGTTAACTTAGCGTGCACCTAATCGGACGGAGGAAGTTGTCGTAAAGAGAGATGCAGAAACACGTTAAAATACATGTATGTGCACAATAGGTATTAAATAATTACGTGTGTATACGTTAATCTAATGCCGTGTATATCCGCAAATGTTCGACGCTTCGCCGCGGGCGTCGCCCGGCTCGAGATCGAACGGATCCATACGATTCGTTGGATCCTCGATTCTGGCGCCGTTCCACCTCGATCTCTGCGCAAAACACATGGTTCCTCTGGATGATCGATCTATTTTATTTCTACTGTTCGTTCGGTGCTGTTTTATCGCGTAGCAACGATTCTACGTTTCCACGCGCGATCTCTACAGCGACGACGACACGAAGAAGTTTTATTTTTCGACGTAGGCCACGTTTGTGAGAAAAAAAAAACGAACAAAATGCCCGGCACGAAAGCAAGGTACAATGAATTCGAAACGGGGTCTCCCCGTTCGATCGAAATTAGATACGTCGCGGCGGAAACGAACGGTCCCGCGGAAATCTCGATTAATTTTTAATTAGTAAAAAATTTTCGATTCCGCCGCGTCCATAAGAGAGCGAATCGAGTCCGGATCAGATTCAGGGACAGCGGTAACTCGTCAAGTTAAACGGTGCTATTAGGCTAATTGCGATTAACGGGTGTGCAAACGAATTCGCGAAATTCGTTTGGCGCCTGGCCGCGCTGCGAACAAAGAGGAGGGGTATTTTTGTTCCTATTACTTAAGGAAATTAAAGGATGTGTCGCGACCGTTTCTAATCCCCTATTGGAATGGAAACAATTAACTCGTGATTGACGTGTTCCGGTATCGATTACGCCGGATCTTTTCCGGACCCGACGCTAATTAACGATGTATTATTTTCTACGGACGCCTGCGGAGCATGTAGCAAATAGACGAGAAAAGAAAAAGACAAAGCGAGACGGGGTTTCAGAGGCGGACAGGAACAATCGTTCGTAACGTAGAAATATCACGATCGAAGAACGAGATTTTTTTCTTTTGGTTACCAGTTAACCGTAGACGCTGTAACGAACAAACGGCAAATTCCGTTAGGTGTACTATCCTCTTCCCTCGATGTAACAATAAATGTTCAATCAACGGATGATATTCCAATATTTTTTTTTTTACGAAGATTTTTTTTCTTGTGTTAATAAATCATTTTTCATCGATCGACCGTCGCCACACCTGATCGCATTCGACTTCTCGAAGCGAGCTCGAGACCGGATCTCGTTCCCTCTCCGTCCACTGATCAGGGAAGCGTTATCGAACGCGTCACGGGGGTCGGAAATTCGCCATTGCCACTGATTATCCCTCGAACGTTGAGAAAATTGTACGAGAAAGGACCCCCCGGGAGCCTCGGATTCTTCGCGCGGACATTTCTACGACGATCGATCCGCGCTCCGTACGAATATCTGCGGATACAGCGTTGATAATAAAAAATGCACGATTACAGGCACACGCGTACATACACACCCGCACGCCGGAAGTGGTAGACGTTGCACCGTTGAAAGTAAATTTATAAATTTCTATACGACGTGTGTGTGTCAGCGGTGGCTAAAAACTCGGACGGTCGTCGGCCACGCGAGCACTGTTCTCTCAAAAGATATATCGATCGATGCAATAATCCAAACACGGAAAAAATGAAGAGGATAACCGATAAAGGGAATGACTTGAAAAAGAAAAGAATGTCGATCGATTTGTCGACGTATTGACGGCCGTACAATTGAAAAGGGGGTGCGAATCGAAATCGATCGTTCTCCTTGCAATCATAATCGGCGACGACAATAAAAAAAGATACTTTGCAAGGGAAGTTTTCCGATCACCGGCCTTTTCACACGCTACGACCGTCGATATTCAGCGACGTTACACGTTTCTCGATATTGTAAAATATTCTATCAAAGTTGTTTACACGCGCGCACATTCACGAAAAAAAAAACAAACACACATTCTTTCCGCGGCCTGATTCGCTGTGACTCTGTGCCGAACCACACACACAGTTCCCTCTCGCTTGAATAATATAATATGATAAAAAAATAATATATATACATATATAAATATATAAATATAACGTTTAATATAAATATAAATAAATGAAGAAATATATATGTGTATATATATGTGCATGTATAATACATATACATACATACGTATATACATACTTTCGATATGCGAACAAGAAAGCAGTTCAAAGGCATGACGTGAGAGAAAACATTATGACCATTATATTTTATAAATAAAAAAATTGACATGTGATATAGATGGTAAGGCACGCGGACGATGCGTTGCGATGCATTACGAAAGCAAATGTATTCTGTATATCGTTTCATTAAATCTATTAAAATAACCGGCGGTTTAATTTTCTATTCGGTATCGGTGCCCCGGCGCGTTTTCTTGACATTGTAACCCTCCTTTAGCTTGTGCATGTACAACGGAACAGGTATATGAACCAGTGTCAATAGTCCCGAGGGAATCTAACGGTCGCCAAGGGTCCTGGGACTTAACATAACGAACACCTGGTGCTCAATACCAGTTCCAGTACCCGAGGACCTCCAAGTGCTGGTATTCCAACCTTAGCATATATCGTGATCGATCGAAATTTTAAATTTATTCCGCACAAAAGACCCTCAATAGAGTCAAAGAAGCGTTCTTGCATTACTCGTTGCTCTTTACCTTGTAAAAATTTTAAATGAAATCTCATTCATTGCATTCTTAAACCACATTAACATCGTATATCATAAATACCGTAATTGGTGTAATTGTTTCGAGTAAAATATTCAAAGAGATGTGTTGGAAAGCATTGCAACGTATTTGACCTAGTAAAAAGTAAATTAAATGTATATTAGGAACTTGTAGTGCTTGATATAGATTTTAAAAGACAGATTTTCATATTCTTCGGAATAATGAAGCCTCCATTAACGATCGTCGCGTGCGAAAGCGAGCGCGCGATTGCGATTCGCATGGCGGCGTGCAGCTGGTCGTTTTAAAATTCGCCCGCAACAACGGTTTTCCGTGGCGCGCGTGCGCAGTGACGCGAACGGGGGGCGCAGATGGCGTGCACGGTGAGGAGGGCGCGTGCGCGGAACAAATCTCGCACGGCGTGCAGAGAAAATAGTCCGCGCTCGGTGAGACACGACGATCGCTCACGGGAAACGCGATATCCGTGACAGCGATATTGCAACGTTCACGCGATCCAGTTTGACCGACGGGTATCCGAGTGCATTGGTCGATCGGTGGTGTATCATTTTGTTTCAACGATCGAGAAGACCGTCTGTACGTCGTACGCGCGTGAATATCAAAGGGCGCAGGTATCACTACGCCGCACGTTGTGGAAGGAAGCAGAAACCGAGCACTGGCAGGAAGTGGGTAGAAGGGGGGTACGTCGTCGAGCCAGTTGATTCGGTGGTGGCTACATGTGGCTGTCCGCCGGTCGTGACAAGGAGACATTTCCCATCGTGGCATAAAAGATACGTATCGCAACGGTAATCGATAGCCAAAAACAGCCGAAAACATGCTGATGGATGCGACGACGGTGCAACTGATTCAGGTCCTCGAGAGGACCGTCTCGTCAGGTGAGATATTTGATTAATCACGACTCAGTTTGGCGACATCATGGAATGGAGACTAATTTTTCTCAGCCACTTTGTTTGCCTTGACCTTGCTTCCGGTTTTGCGTCCCGAGAGATATTAGTATCGATATCGACGGATATTCGTCGTCGTTTTCGCGACCTTGCTTGGAAAAGTAAAGTCCTGCCGCGTGCGCGTCCCTTTTATGCTTCGTCCGGTGTATTCGCGCAGCGCTCGGTATCTTCGTTGGTTTGCACTTTTGCCGACTTATTGCGAATTTTTGGGCATCGTCGAGTTACTGTTTTATCAGGGTACGTCATTTGTGTAATAATATGTCGTATTGGGCTTCGGTTGGCTGTTGCTAGGGGCTTTGTTCGCAGCCGGAAAATTATTGTCCTATATGACGGTTACTCATACTACACGTTCCCGTTGTCGGTTAGCACGTCGAGTAGGAGTGCATCGTGCCTCTCTAACCTCTACCGTCGCTACGAATTTAAGCGGCGTGACATTCGCGACCTATGCGGCACGATCGATGACGTTATATACGTTTATTTTCACTTTCGATTTCAGATAAAAATGAACTGGAAGCAGCTCAAAATTTTTTGGAACAAGCGGCCCAATCTAATCTCGTAAGTTGTTTGATCGTATAGGTGGAAGCTTCTAGATCGAATGGGTTGAAGAATCGAAGATTATATTTAATTTTACGTTTTTATAGCATGAGTTTATGCAAAGACTCAGCGGTGTGCTGGTTACTGTAGCTGCGAGTCCAGTTGCTCGTATGGCTGCGGGTCTTCAGCTCAAAAATCAACTTACGTCTAAAGATGTACTATTAAAATACCAATATCAGCAACGCTGGCTTGCAATCCCTGTAGAAATCAGGGAATTCATAAAAAAAAATGTAAGATAACTTATTACTTGAATTAAAACTTCCGTATAAATTGAAGTTTTATTATACTATGGCGTATAAAAATCCAAATTAATAAATATTATGGGCAATGCTATGTTAATTTGTCGATAGATTTTGGGAGCTCTTGGAACGGAGAACAATAGGCCAAGTTCTGCTGCACAATGTGTCGCGTATGTTGCGGTGGCAGAATTACCAGTTGGTCAGTGGACCGATATTATTCAGCTGCTGGTCAACAATGTTGCGAACCCAAACAACACAGAAATAATGAAAGAGGCAACGTTAGAAACCATCGGTTACATTTGTCAAGATATAGAAAGCGACGTTTTGGTACCACAGTCCAATCAAATTCTCACAGCAATTATTCATGGCATGAAAGGGTCTATTACTTCGAATCATGTTCGTCTCGCAGCTACGAGCGCGCTCTACAACTCGTTAGAATTTACCAAAGGGAATTTCGAAATAGAGGTTAGTATTATCGAAAGAAAACTGTTTCTAGGTTTCTGCAGTTTTTAGGTTATATCGGAAATTACAAAAGTCAATTCTTTTTTTGTGCACAGTCCGAGAGAAATTTCATCATGGAGGTAGTTTGCGAAGCGACACAGTCTTTAAACACGCAAGTCAAAGTAGCTGCTTTACAGTGTCTTGTAAAAATTATGTCTTTGTATTACCAATATATGGAGCCGTACATGGCTCCCGCGCTATTCCCTATCACCTTGGAAGCCATGAAGTCGGATATCGATGAGGTTGCACTGCAAGGAATTGAGTTTTGGTCGAACGTATCGGACGAGGAGGTAGATTTGTCTATGGAAGAAGGAGAAGCTTCCGACGGAGGTCGACCACCGGCCAAAGTATCGAGGCATTATGCGAAAGGGGCTCTGCAGTATCTGGTACCTGTACTGATGAAGAAGCTCACTAAACAAGAGGAATTCGATGACGAAGACGATTGGAATCCTTCGAAAGCAGCCGGCGTGTGTTTGATGTTACTATCCTCTTGTTGCGAGGATGCCATTGTTCCATTTGTTCTTCCATTTGTCAAGGACAACATTAAGAGTGCAGACTGGAGGTATCGGGATGCTGCTTTGATGGCTTTCGGATCGGTCCTTGGTGGTTTGGATCCTAGCACCGTGAAACCATTGGTGGAACAAGCTATGCCAACGCTCATCGAGCTGATGTACGACAGTAGCGTCGCTGTGAGAGACACGGCTGCATGGACATTCGGTCGGATCTGTGAGATCATACCAGAGGCAGCGATCAACGAGACGTATTTGAAGCCTCTGTTGGAAGCTTTGATAAACGGTTTGAAGGCAGAGCCTCGTGTAGCAGCGAACGTTTGTTGGGCATTCACGGGACTCGCGGAGGCCAGTTACGAGTCCGCGGAAGCTACAGACGACGCGCAACAGCCGGCGACCTATTGCATGTCTCGATATTTCGATTTCATCATCGAGAGATTGTTGGAAACCACGGATCGTCCGGACGGCGCTCAAGCGAACTTAAGGTCAGCTGCGTACGAAGCTTTGATGGAAATGGTCAAGAACTCGCCGCGCGATTGTTACGTAACCGTGCAGAAGACGACGATGGTGATCTTGGAAAGATTGCAGCAGGTACTGCAAATGGAGACACACATCCAAACACATACCGATCGGGCCCAATACAATGATCTTCAGTCGTTGCTGTGCGCCACCTTGCAATCTGTACTGCGCAAAGTTACACCCGAGGACGCGCCACAAATATCGGACGTGATAATGACCGCGTTGCTGTCCATGTTCAATTCGAACTCTTGCAAAGCCGAGGGTGTACAGGAGGATGCACTTATGGCTGTTTCGACCCTGGTCGAGGTGTTGGGAGAAGGTTTCTTGAAGTACATGGACGCGTTCAAACCGTACCTATGTCTCGGTTTGAAGAATCACGCCGAGTATCAAGTCTGTTGCGCAGCCGTGGGTCTGACTGGCGATATCTGTCGTTCATTGAAGAACAAAATACTACCGTACTGCGACGAGATCATGACGCTTTTGCTCGAGAATCTTGGAAACAACACGGTCCATCGTTCCGTGAAGCCTCAAATTTTCTCTGTTTTTGGTGACATGGCTCTCAGCATCGGACCCGAGTTCAAGAAATATCTGGACGTGGTACTGCAGACCTTGGCGCAGGCTTCTCAAGCGAACGTAGACAGGAACGATTACGACATGATCGATTACCTGAACGAGCTACGCGAGGGCGTTCTCGAGGCTTACACTGGTATAGTACAAGGTCTTCGCGGGGACATGGCAAATCCTTGCCCGGATGCCGCTGTTGCTCTCGTGGAGCCACACGTGCCCTTTATCATTCAGTTCATCACCACGGTAGCTCAGGATCGTGAACACTCTGAAGGCAACATATCGACCTCTGTGGGATTGCTCGGTGATTTGGTCACCGTCTTCGGGGCAAAACTGTTGCCAATGGTCGAGACTGAACCGCTCGTCGAGCTACTAAACAAAGCTAGACGATCACGCACCCAAAAAACCAAAACCTTGGCAACCTGGGCAGGCAAAGAGATTCGAAAGCTCAAGAGTGTTGCTAACTCCCCGTCTAGTTGGTGAGTATATTTTCCATTATTATATTACCTTTTTTTTTTTTTACATCAGACCATTTTCGTGTGAACGATGTGTGGTGAATGTACTCAACCATTTTTTTTTTTTTATTTATTTGTATCGATTCATCCCTCTTCCACGTAACGGGTACTTACTTTCCCGCTATTTTTTTATCTACGATTCGTCCCATCGAGTCTCGATCCATTCGAAAGATACTTTCAATGGTACAGTAGGTCAGAGATGCAAGAGAAAGGATGTACAGACATAAGTACCGAGGAAGAAAGACGCACAGGGATGGGCGGTGACAATGGAAGCGGGGTTCAACGTAGCAAATTGCATTTGTTGCTCTGTTGCTCGTCGATTTTTAGAGTCCCTTTCTGATAAATGCGTGGGCGTGCTACGCGCTCGACAGAAAGCCCATCCAAAAGTATTATATACCGCACGGTGAGCGACGGTTATTGATATTTGGCTCGCTTTTGTTGTTTACAGATCACCCCACGGTTGTACTCTCGTGCAATTTGATTTGACTAGAAAGCTATCAAACACAATACAAAGACAACAAGATTGGATGGTGCGGATGCGAGTTGATGGATGTGCGTGAGCGTTCCGAAGCGATGACGATGATGGGGTGATGAGTCTGCACGTGTCCCTGTCTGGCGACGGTATTCGAGTACCGGCGCCGTGCGCAGCCCAATGGTCGAGAAAAAGATAACCTGTCTGCCTGCCCGGATGCCGAGACCACGGATGATGAGGAGTGCAAGTGGATGTTGCCAATGAATGAGCCAAGGCCAAGAAGCCTGCCAGAGATGTTCCGGTGATGCAAGTATGCCTGATAACGAGCCCGGGGCTTCTACCCGCGTGATTGAGAAGTTGAACCTGAGGAAAGGACGACCTCGACGGACGGTGAAATCGTGGCCAGTGAGAAAGAGAGTGGGAGAGAAAGGGATGAACGGAAGAGGACACGAGAGAATGCGACAGGGAGACCAGGAGAGACTGCGGAGCTGAGTGTTGGGTATCAGTTGAATGGGAGTATGTTTTTGTTTTTTAATTGTATGCGTGAGCGAAAGAAATAGCGAGTAAGGGAGAGAATGGTACAAATAAAAATCGTTGTCACTATGAAAGGGCGTTCGAATCTGTGAGAAAGCAATTATGTTCATTCGTTGCGAAGCTCTAGCCCTCCTAAAGCCTTGTCAACGATGCGTGTCCGATCTTTATTATTTTTTTTTCTTTTTTTTTTATACGATTTCTTGCTCAACGATCGAAATCGCTCGTTGGAGGAATCGGAGAGTGTCATTGCCGTGTGATTGTAGGCGTGAATTCGCAATCAAAATGAACGAAACAAATGGTTGTCGGGACGCTGCTGATGATCGTCGCTGTATGCCGTTGCAGTTGAGTGACGTGCGAGTGAGTGAAGCAGGAGGGAAAGAAAGGGAGATAGAGAGCGCTAGGGATGTGTCGAGTGATTGCTAAAAAAAAGTAAAAAATGATCGAGAAGACTCGAAGAGTAACTTGGGTGACCTATGGTCCGATCGTGCTGCGCGAGAATCTAAATGTTCAGTTGTAGTATGATGACGTGTATGTTAATTTTTTCCCCCCCCCCCGCCCGTATGTGAATGTCCGTTGCTGTTGATTTATTAAAATTAATATTTTGCTGGCATAAGTTATTGAGTTGTACCGAAGTCCTCGTCCGGCCTGAGAAAGTTCGTGAACAAGAGAAACCCGAAACCCGAAAACCAAGAAGAAAAAAAAAGAAAAAAAGACAAAAAAAATGGTCGAGTGCCCAGCCCCCCGAGTATAGCCCCCCCTTAGAGTACCGTAGTCCTTGCACGTAGACGATTCATTTTCTTACGCGATCCGCGTTGTCGATATGGAATATCTCGAACCAGAGCATTTTGCACTGCCATTGTTCAAACAATGTTAATCCTGTACTTTCAAGGATGTTCACGCATCGTTGATGTATTACGTGTATTCCATTATCGTAAAAAAACGAGGACGTTGATCGCGTAGATCGATCGACCCTGTCGCGAAAGGTAATTGATACGATCCAAAGAATATTGTAGAAATATTTCTGGACGGGCGACAGTTCACGATAAAATAAACGGGTAAATATCTTTCGTTTAAATTCCAATGTTTATTCGACGAGTGACGCGTGAAATATAGTCGCCTTATCTTGAATTCGTTCCTCGAAATGTCCAGATAAGAGTTGTTGCCCGTCTATGTCGAGATCACGGACATCGAACCGGGATATTTACAATTCCTTGTCGCCTCAAGGGTCACGGATCTTTTAGGATACTTTTGCTTTCTTACACATTCACACGGACGTAATCCTTTTACCACGAAATTTACAAGAAACAGGAGCATCGTTTTATCGTTAGAAACTTTATGCGATCGACACAACGATTATCTTTATTGAAATTCTCGACAGTGAAACTGTTAGATCATGTTTGCTTTCTCAACCAAACGTCCCTTGCTGCTACTTAACGCTACGACAGTTCGACAACGCGATATTTTTTTCCCCTCCTTCGCGTATTATGCAGTCGCGTCCTCGGCCTCGAGGCCGCGGGGCGTTTAGCAACATTTTACGCGAAAGATTAAGCGGACGGTCGGTCGGTCGCTCTAATAATATAATACGACGTTACGTCACGTGGTCCGAAACGTGGCTGTGGTAGTGCGATGCATTCCAAATACTTTTGCCAGCGGAAGCGCACTGTGACCGTCATTTCGTGATTTTTCGATTGTTTTTTTCTAGCGGTTTTCCATTCTACGTTTATCGAGGACGCCTCGTTCACGCAATGCTTTAGGCACAGACGCGACAAAACGGAAAATTCGTACGTGACTCGTTCGAAAGAACCCGGTGAATTAAGGAAAACGCGACAACAAAAGAGACAAAACCGAAAGAACGGGGGAGAAAAGGGAATTGACGAGAGACGACTAACTGAAAAGAGTTTTTATTAAATTGATTATCTTTTTTACGATTTTACATATCGAGGAAGAATAAAATGAAAGAAAAGTGTCTGCTCCACGTCTGAGTATAAAATAAATATATATATACATATATAATTTTTTTACTGTTGCGATCGATATTGCCAAACTTAGCGTGTAAGGGGAAAAAAGTCGATCTAGTTTTTAAAAGGTTCAAACAACAATGGGGTTGGGAAAGGGGGGGTGGGTGGGTGGGGATGGGGAAGAAATCGTTTCGACGAGCCGCTGGTTACGTAGACTTGGAGCCTAAAACCCTTGATCTCTTTACCGTTCGCACGAATTTGTCCGTATTCTTTTATTTTCCTTGTGCGAAGTATCATTTCGAAATTCCACCCAACGAAACACACACGGTGTCTTCCACTCACCAGAATCTGCTCGAGACAGAGCTTTGTATCGCGGATCAGACACTGAACCCTATACAGGTACACTAAAAAAAAGTCAGTCTGAATTCGAGTGAAAAAAACAAACACACAAAGCGAAAGGGAAGAAACGCCGAGGCGCAAAGTATCCTTTTTTCATTTACATTCCACGTAGCAGAGAGTATATATAGAGAGAAAGGGAGAGCGGGAGAGGATATGAAAGTGCGTGTGAGGAAAGAAAGCGAGGAACCACGACGAAGAGGACAGCGGTGCGCGTCTTTCCGCGTCCTGCAAAAGAACTCGATCGCTCGCCTGTGTACTTTTTGATTCGCGATTATCCCCGTTGCGTGCACGATTCACCCTTTCACCACGAAGAATTTGGACGCGTTGTATATGATACACGCGACAAATTTGCACAGGAATTATTAGCGCAAAATTAATTGGCCGTTCAAGGTCACCAATGTTCCCCCTCTCCTTCTATATCGATTAGCTATATTATCCTCTTGGCCTCTTACAAACTCTCATCCTTTATCCACGGATATATAAATCAATATTAGAGCGATTCAAATTATTTTACTACGGGAAATAGCTGTAAGTATCGAGATCGAAGACCTTGATCGATATCAAATATGATACCGAGCGAACGTCTTTGTAATTATCAGATATAAGAGACAAAGTCTGATTGGTATGAAACAAATAGTGCAAAAAATTGATGAAAGTGATTACTCGATGTTGCAGCTGCTTATTTCATACCGATACGATTATGTTTTTTATGTTTGATCCGCGATAGTACCGATACAAAATAATACTTTCTTATCTATCAGTGCTGACGATAGTTAGTTTGACCGGTGTTTTTCCTGAGAAAGATGGTTGATCGAACCTCTATCTATCAAAACATGTTGATTTCCAAGAATATTTCATATTTTCTAGATTTTCTGGTAATTCAACTTTCCAAAATTTTAATGTACCCTTCGAATACTCGGTTGATTTCCACATAGCGTTATTTATAGTTAAGACATTCCTTAAAAATAATTCCACCATAACTGGAGTATTAGCATCGTACATACACTATCGTTCAACAAAAGTATTCGATCATACTCTGTTCCAATGAGTACCAGGCTTAGAAAACTCGAAATGTTTGCAATAAATTACTCTTCTTCGAGAAATTTTTCTTCGAAAAAGTTGACAGAGATCTGCATATCAGTTTTGTTGTAAATGTTATGTGATTACGAGAAAAACAAAAATAACGTGTTAAAAAGTTACACTGAATGCTATTATACATAATATTATTAAAGAATAATGTATATTGAAAAGTATATGGCGAACGGGTTAAGAATCGATAGCGAAAAAATGTTACAAATCCAAGTATAATTATGATCGTCATTCTCAAAATATACTTAAACCATGTACAATTAACGTTCAACGTGTTACCATGGTCACCGGTGACCGACGCTGCAAACACATTCACTGTCCATGATCCACATACGGGTCACAGCTCCATGCTTTTGGATATGCCGCTGAGAGACCGGACAGTGAACGTGTTGACACTTGTAAATTTTTTAAAAATGTCGAGGATACTCGGATAATATTTCCAATGGTTGCAGTAATTTTGAAGATCGAAGGATAATCCAAGCTTTTGAACGGCAGTGTATACGCGCTGCACATGTGATCGACGCGCGTGGAATAGAAAGTTATGGCGCGAGAGCGAGAGTCGCGATCTAGAACTTACAAACTTGTTAGCGTGTGACCTTGAGCAGCCAAACCGAGCTCGATCCAATGAATATTCGGCAACCTGTTTCGGGCGGCGGGCCAAACCGCCGGAAGAATGCCAAATTTAGGTAACAATTTAATCTCGTACTATTAAACAAATGATAAAATCGCAACGACGTTGTAATACATGTGATGTATACTGTTATAACGTGTGAAACCTAAATAAACGAGCCACGTGTGGTCCGCGAGCCCGAGGTTGCCCAGGTGCGAGCATGTAACACCTTCTCGATGCGTTTTGGTAAACACACGTTGAGGATCGATCGATCTTCGTCGAAATCGAGCGTTTTTTTTTGTGTTTTTTATAGCAGTGAAAAGGTAAATCGTCGCGTCGAATCGAGGTGACTGTTGGTCACGTGAAAACGTTTCGAATCGCGTTATAAGGTCCCCCCCCCCCAGAAGGTTAAGGGGGAGGAAAAGAGTAAAGAGTAGGGGCCCGAGAAAATTAGAAGAAACTAGGGAAACGCGACGGAAGTAGACAAGTGAACGAAGCGAAATGAGAGGAATAAGAAAAAAAAAAAAAAAAGTTATATTATATACGCGACTGTGATCTTTTGGAGAGACTCTCGTGTGCGAGGGGTCGACGTTCTGCCCTGAAGGGGGCGAGGCTCTTGTCGTGTCCCGACTCCGACTCTGGACATCTTCGACGTTCCCACGTGGGCCACCTAGCGATCTCAAGCCCCCCTTTGATCATTTCGCTGTCCCCCCCTCGATTGTCCCGATTGTTTTTTGTCTGTTCACCCGGTGAAACGGATCGAACCCCCGCTGCTACGAGCCTAACGCGCACACGTGTCTCAACACGCGGCTCGAGATCGTTCGAGGTCCACCTGATCAAAAAAAATAAGACAGAGCCACGCTCCCGGAAAGATGGAAAACTCATACACGATAAGATCTTATCGAACTATTAGTTGTTAGCCTTTTCATCGTCGAGACTCCTAGAGTGCGTGCGATGCTTCGTAGAGAACGTACGTGAGAGCGTATTAGGTATATAAGAATATTAAAAGATGCGTGTGCATTACGCTGTATCAGTGATGATGTGCTCCGGTGTAACGCAATTTACTGATGAGGTGTGTTCTGTCTGAGAGCAACAAAGCGAGAAAGAGAGAGAATAACAGAGCGTAAAAGAGAGAGAGAGAGAAAGAAAGAATGTTAGAGAGGATCTTGTGAGAGAGGGACGACGGAGGGGGTTGGCTCGTGATTCGTCGTGAATCGCGGGAACGGTACGAAATCGTAGATTTTGCAAAAACGAAGAAACGCAAAAGAATGGTAAAATAAAAACGAAATAAAAGGAGGGGGGGGAAAAAAAACAAAGTTATATAAATTTTGTATCGTGACGCGGTAAAGTTCGGAGAACCAACATAATTACCGTTTCAAAGGGGGGTAAAATCGGGAATCTGTTGGCGGCGGTCACTGAAATCTTTAAACACGCAAAACCTAGAAACAACCGACGTTCCAACGATTTTAGGGGTGAAAAATAAAAGAAAAAAAATAGAATCCACGAGTCCACGCAGATCCCACGCAAGAATTATTTTTCGAGAGAGATTTCAGCGATACTGCCGGGGATTGTACAGTGCGTTCTCCGTTCTTCGTGAATTTTGAGCCGCGGTTGCCGTTGTACGTACGAGACAATATTTTCGATAATATTTTTTAAACGATCGAATCGCGAAACACGAGGCCAACGCGTAGAGCTGTTGTGTTGTTCCAAAAAAAAAAAATGCGTCAGTGATTGCACGGCGACGGAAATCGGAGATCGCCGTCGCCGCGCACACCCCGGTGCGATTTAAGCTAATTAACGAAGCAAAAGACTAAAAGAAAAGAAAAAAAAGAGTAAAAGAACCAAAAAAAAAGAGAAAACCCAAAAAAAAAAAAAAGAGATGAGGAGCGCGTGAGAGGATTGAATTTTTGTGGCGATGCTGAGAGAGAATGCTGCCTGTCGAATGCCGCCGATCGACGATCGGACCAACGATTTATGATTTACGCGTGTGAACAATTCGGGCGATAAACGTGGGTTGCAACAAACGAACAAAAGGTTTAAAAAAAAAAATAAAAAGAAGAGAAAAAACACAAAAAAAAAAAAGAAGAAATGAGAGAGAGAGAGCGCGAGAGAGAAACAATAATAAACGACGAGTGTTGGATGGTGTTTTTGTTCTTAGCCTGCAACATGTAATTTGCTCACCCTCTCCAAATCATTTCCTCGGGGCGCGCGCGATGTTCATATCGATCGCCTAATTCTCCGATCTGGTTGTCAAAAAAATCGACGAATTATCGAACCAAGGCCTATTCTCGTAACGCGTTCGATGGGTCTCCTGTATCCTAAATTTAACGGTAGCTCTTTAACACTTGGACGACGAGGACGCGTAAAAATACGCGTCACAGATACCCGGTTGCGTACGATTACAATATGGCGTCGCCCAACGGGGTGTACAGTTGTTAATTAGTGTTCCGAAGGTACACGGAATGTTGAGTATAATATCAGATCGATGGGATCGTCCAAGCGTTAAACCTGTCGCGATCGCCAAGATGTCACGAAAACTGTTCTCGACGGATTATTTTTTTCTTCCCTCGATGCAAGACCGTGACATCTCTCGATGGAGGAGACCAACAAGCTCAAAATGAAACCCGGAACAGTTTCTTCCGCGAAGAAGCTTTATTTTGTTATTAAATCGAACGAGACCACGTGGTCCACGGTCGAACGCTTTAAAACGGTAGAACCAGGAGAGGGTGCGGCCATGCCCAGGTTCCAGCTTGAATACGTCTACCTATCCTTATATACTTTTCGGTTTTTGTGTCAGAGTCGTGTGGTTTGCGAAGCCTGTGTTCATTGCGAAGATTTACAAATGACAACGACTATGTGACTCTCGGGTACATCGCTTGATCCGAATGACAGAGCGATCGTGGAATGACTGGGAACGACGATTATTCGTGGAGAGCGTGTATCAACGTGTGTGGGAACGGGTCGCATTAATGTCTACGCGCGGCGAAAGATCCGATCTGGCGTGGAAACGATTTGAAATTCAAAAGGTTGCGCGGAAGAACTGTTGCAAAACACGTTACGTGATTTCGCTTTTTTTTCTCGTTCCTCCTTCGCCACCCCTCCGTATCTCGTCGCGTTTATCGTTTCACGGATTCGTTCGATTTTGCGTAAACATTAATGCGACCGGCTGGTATCGTCAGTGTGTGCAAGAAGAACGATTATACGAATCGCCAAGCGACAGTGCCATATGATTAATCGAATCATTTCGACTGCTACATCGCAACTTCAATTCGTCGTCTTGACAGAATAATAAAAGAAAAATACCCCCAAAAAAAAAACACAAAAAAAAATTCAGAATCGCATAAAAAAACAACACGGAATGCGTTGCTCGTTGACAAAAATCTCTGTACAACCGGGTGAAAAAGCGAGATCGTTTCGATTCGATCACCCCCCGGTATGCGAATTGTTTCCTCGTGACGTTTTCACGAATTTCGTTTTCTTTTGTTCTTCGACAGACAAGGAAAAGAAAAAAAAACAACATTGCCCAAGAATAAATTCAATTTGAATCTGTACACACGCAGTGATGCCATTATTACCAGTCGTCGCTCTTGTATCGTGGCCATTTTCGTTTCTTTTGCTCAGGAACCGTTCACCTTGCAATTACGTTAACAATGCAGCAAATTTATCGTTCGATTTAACAATTGGCTAACAATTGCCCGTGTATCGTGCAGTTTTAACCCATTAATTAGATTGTTTCGGATTAAGACGAAGCCCTACTGATACCGAGAACTTTCCGTGATCGTATCGTACGAAAATGCAATTAACGTTGGAAAGTATTGGAGCTTTTCTTGCTTGCAATTAGGGACTTCGATACGCAACAAAATTTAGTTCCTTTATGATCTTGTTTCTGTAGAATTTTTTGAGACTTTGTATACGTTTGCATTTGTATTAGTAACGTTACGCCTTTACTATGTACGCAGACACAAATTAATTCGATAGCAAAAGCAATATCTCGTTACGTCGATAAAATTATTCATTTACATAAGTTGTGATAATTTAATTAATATTTTTGACGTTTGCTCTTGGTCCTAATTAAACATTCTAGTGTTTGAACTTTGATATCTAGGATAATTTAATCGTTACATTTTCGATTGAAACAATTTCATACTTTTTAATTTAATCATTAATTAAAGCAATGCTGATTCTGTTACGAGGAAGTTAAAAGCAAATTATATCGTGTTTGGTCCTATTTTAATCGGAAAATTCTCATAAATACATTGGTGAAAATTTCATTTAAAAAAAAAAAGAAATAAAAAAGTGATGTATTATTTTACTAATATGGGAGTCCAGATTAGGCTATACTACGCGGTGCACGCGACGTTGAGCTTCCGAGTGTATCAAGGGGAGTCCCCTGTTAATGGTAGGGATGACTACCGTTCACTTATCCGATCGAAATTGACTCGCAGTTATCCGAGCATTGCTATAACAATTTGTCATCTTTCACCTAGTGTTTTGCAATTTGAACATGTAATTTAAAAAGAGAAATACCCTTCAAATAGAACCACCCTTTCTCGCTATATCCTGTTACAAAGAAGTACCATAATCGTGGAGACCAACTGACATATCTGTTACATATATCTAGACACATTTTCCATTTATTTATTCATATACAAATGGTTGAAAAGATTCGAAACTCTGATATTTTTTCGATAACAAAGATTTCAAAAATTCTAATTGCGATTCGACGATACAGAAATAACAAAAGTTTTGTAGACACCAAGGGGATACCTAAGGCATTACTTAGGATCGAAAGCTAATATTTTGGAATAAAATAAAAAAGAGGGGGATGATGAGAAAAACATTGGATTGTTATCAGGCTGACGCAAAAAGTCACGCGGAGTGAATCGCGGCCGCCACGGAGCGTGTGTCAGCAGTGTTCCTAATCTCCTCTAAGTACCCTTAACCCAATTGAATTAGAAGGGCACACCCCGGTGGCACGCGTTCGCGTTCGCGTTTCCTCGATTCGTTTTCCGCGCGTGAAACGAGTCGCGTGGTGCGTTTTACGACGAACGGAAGCTTGTATACCGCGTGCTTGATGTACTACATCCGGGAGATGAACAATATCGGTGTTTTCGTAATAAAAATTCCGGAATAACTCTGCACTCTGGTGTTTAGCGATAATTCGTCGTCGAATGCGATAGAACAGTGACTCACGGTACATCTTGGTACGGATCAATTTGCACATTGCTTTTCCACGCTCTGTAAAACATCCCTGTCCGCTTTGTTATTATTCTGAAACGATGATGTGACAAGTGATTTCTGACGAAGGAATAGCACTCGAAACGCAGACTCTGCGTGATCGACGTAGAGCGGTTTTGGGGGTGGTGAACCTCTAGCTATTGCAACCCCCCCTGATCGGTTGCAATTAAAGGAATCCTTTTTACTCATTTTGGACACGTGTTTTACGGTAATTGGTTCAATTTGGCACCTGGTACCGTTGTCTGGAGTATCTTTTCACTGCCCGCGAAACCGCTCCTCGGTGAACATCTTCGTTTCACGATCGCGAGGGTGAAAGAGGATACGCCAGGATGGAACGAATGGCACGTCGGTCGAACTGCCCGCGGAAGGGAGCTAATACACGTCACGTAACGCTTTTCTAAGGTATCGGCGAGGTATCGGTAGCGTGGACGTGGCCAAAGTGCACGAGAATGGAGCACCTGGATGATTACCAGACTGCAGAGGCCACCAATGGCAAAGGAACCGCGAACAACGACGATGAAGTAAGTTATTTGAACGGGGATTTTTACATTATTAGAGGAAGATAGTACATTATTGCAGGAAAATCGGTCGTTTAGGAGATATTTCAATTGCAATGGTTGTATTAAAATATCTTCCAAACTGATGATTCTTCCCCAGTGGTTTAGTAGTTCCGTCTGAGGAATGACAAGTTGCATAAATTGATGCATCAAAAAATATGTATACAATCCCCCATTATATTATTTGTGGCACTCGCAACGTTACCAACAGGTTACAGAAATGAACACAAGAGGAAGTGAGATAGAAAATGAAATTTCGGTGACCCATTTCTGGCCAGGTATCATATTTTCAGTAATGAATTTTTTTCTCGAATGTGCGTAGGATTTCGAGGGTATGTCTATTCACCAAAAATAATTGCACTTAACCCCTGCAAACGAAAATAATTTTTTTAAATCGATTTGCAATATTTTAATTTTGTCGAAAAATTTTAGATCTTCTGGAATTTTTTTCTCGAAAGTGGGTAGAATTTCGAGGGTATGTCTATTCACCAAAAATAATTGCACTTAACCCCTGCAAACGAAAATAATTTTTTTAAATCGATTTGCAATATTTTAATTTTGTCGAAAAATGTTAGATCTTCTGGAATTTTTTTCTCGAAAGTGGGTAGAATTTCGAGGGTATGTCTATTCACAAAAAATGATTGAACTTGACCCCTGCAACTGAAAATAATTTTTTTAAAATGATTTGCAATATTTTAATTTTGTCGAAAAATTTTAGATCTTCTGGAATTTTTTTCTCGAAAGTGGGTGGAATTTCGGGGGTATGTCTATTCACCGAAAATGATTGTACTTAACCCCCGCAACTGAAAATAATTTTTTTAGAACGATTTGAAATTTTTTTTTTTGTCGAGAAATGTTAGATCTTCTGGAATTTTTTTCTCGAAAGTGGGTAGAATTTCGAGGGTATGTCTATTCACAAAAAATGATTGAACTTGACCCCTGCAACTGAAAATAATTTTTTTAAAATGATTTGCAATATTTTAATTTTGTCGAAAAATTTTAGATCTTCTGGAATTTTTTTCTCGAAAGTGGGTGGAATTTCGGGGGTATGTCTATTCACCGAAAATGATTGTACTTAACCCCCGCAACTGAAAATAATTTTTTTAGAACGATTTGAAATTTTTTTTTTTGTCGAGAAATTTAGGCAAGCTACCCCCTTCGATTTTTCTTAAATATCGTTTTTCATTTTTAATAACTACGTTTGACGCTGCACGGAAATGTTGTGTAATACTTTTTTGTAGGTATCTATGAGCACTATCTCAGAAAAAAATTTCATTGAAATATATTCACTATTGTAGGAGTTATGGCCGTTTGAAAATTGGACCATTTTTATGGGGTTTTTCTCGTTTCGCGGGGTCAAGGAACAACTTTTCGAATATTTTTAGAATTTCTACATATTCTTCACTAAAATACGCGTTGTTTGCCGCTTGAAACATTAAAATCGTCCAATCCGTTCAGAAATTATGGCATTTTAAAGATTCGCATGCAATTTTCAGGCAACAGTTCTAGCCATAAATTGCATTTTCGTTCAGGAATTTTTTTCTCGAAAATGCGTAGGATTTCGGGGGTGTGTCTATTCACCAAAAATGATTGTACTTGACCTCTGTAACTGAAAATAATTTTTTTAAATCGATTTGAAATTTTTTTTTTGCCGACAAATTTTATAACCTTCTCGAATTTTTTTCTCGAAAGTGGGTGGAAATTCGGGGGTATGTCTATTCACCAAAAATGATTGTACTTGACCCCTGCAATCAAAAATAATTTTTTTAAATCGATTTGAAATATTTTAATTTTGTCGAAAAATTTTAGATCTTCTGGAATTTTTTTCTCGAAAGTGGGTGGAATTTCGGGGGTATGTCTCTGCACCAAAAATTATTGTACTTAACCCCTGCAATTGAAAATAATTTTTTTAAATCGATTTGAACTATTTTAATTTTGTCGAAAAATTTTAGATCTTCTGGAATTTTTTTCTCGAAAGTGGTTAGAATTTCGGGGGTATATCTATTCACCAAAAATTATTGTAATTGACCTCTACAATCAAAAATAATTTTTTTAGAACGATTTGAAATTTTTTTTTAAGCAGCTACCCTCTGTGGATTTTTCTTAACAATTTGCAATTCATTTCTTTTGTGCCCATTGTTAACGATCGATTTCGTTTCGAACGGTGTAAGTGGGGTTAATTCGCGATCGAGTCGTCGATCGTTAAGATTAAGAGGCAGCCTTTTCGCAGGACGGTTTCGATCTCGACGATCTTCTGCCTATCGTCGGCGAATTCGGTCGTTACCAGAAACAGCTTCTCTGGCTCGTGTGTCTTCCTGCGTGCCTCCCGTGCGGATTTTGCGCCTTCAATCAGCTCTTCATGGCCGACACGCCACCCCACTGGTGCAAAGTGCCAGGATTGGAAAACCTGGACGTCTCGCGTAGAAGGAAACTCGCGATCCCCATCAGTCAGGTGCAATAGGGCTTCTAGGTGTCAGGAATCGATCGACCTTAAGATCCTCTGTAATCTTGATCGACTATCCTAGGGTTCATTCTCATTAGAAGTCTCATCTTTTACCATTCGATCAACCATACCATCTTATTTTGTCCCACTCCCAGCGAGAACACCCTCTTAATCATCACAATCATTCGTAAACACAGGTATCGTGAGAAAGCTAGGAAGAAGTTTGAAACCACCCCAGTTCCCAATCGTATTTATTTAGCGTATTGCAGTCTGTCGAATCCGTAGGTAGATTCTCTATGTCAAGGAAGCAAATTGTTCGAGAAGCCCCCCATTCGTGCTTGCGTATTTTCGTCCCTCCGTTGCTCGTAGAGTATTATCATCCATGTTAGAAATACCCCATTTCACTCCCCAGTTGTAACAATCAATTTCGTAATTAGGAAGACAACGAAACGTACAGTCAATGCACACGATACGATATCGATTGGACGACGGAAAATGTTTCTGTCGTGACACGGCTCCTGTCTATACCGAACACATCCTGGCCCGTTGTTCCGTGCGATCATGGTTGGGAGTACGAGACCTCGGAGACGCCATCTTCCATCGTTATCGACGTACGTTCATTCTCAACACCCTGAGTCCTTTCTACCTTGAATCTCGATGCTTAATATCGTTTAACGAATTGCAGTTCAACTTGGTGTGCGACCATGCGATTTACCCTACGATTGGCTTGGTTGCTCTGAACACGGGTGGTCCAATAGGGGTGTATCTCTTTGGTACCCTAAACGACAGGTAATTGATTCACAAATGGTCCCCAAAAGACTACGGTTCGATGAGCGTTTCATAAATTGGTCGAAACTCAAATTTGAAAATCACAATATCACAATTAATTTTTGCAAATCTTTCAATCGTCCTGAGAAGAGATCATTTGATCAATTAGAATGCTTTAGCTACCCAGGAAAGGGGTTTGTAACCATTCGTTTGACGCTCATCCAAACCGTGACTCTTCTCGTTCTCGAAATTAACGAATTATCTTTTTTCTGTCGTTTAGAATCGGCAGAAGGCTATCGTTCTTCACGTGTCTGGCGACACTGATCACAGGAGGATTTCTCACGTCGATATCGAACAGCTTCTGGACCTGGGCTGCCACGCGGATGGTCGTCGGTCTGACCATACCAGCCATCTATCAGATACCTTTCATCATATGTAAGAGCTCGCTTGCAACAGCGATTAGATCCTTTTTCAGACGACTGGTTTCCCCAGTCACGTTTGCGCATTTTCAGGCCTGGGGAAAGTAGGTGCTCGAAACGTGCAATTACCAATAAGCGTTCGAATTTTATCGATACGTTCGTAGCAGCTGTGGGTGAAATTATTTTAAACGATAGACGATCGAGCAACCTGTACTAGGTGTTCCAGAAACTGTAGTAAAACCGACGTTCTAGAAATATTTCTCAATTTATCAACTAGGTTTCGCTAGATTGGTGCCATAAACTAAGATAAGATAATTATTATCGTTATTAGAGGGTGTGTATTTGTGCATCGTATTTGGAGCACTAGTTAAAATAAAAAATTACAATGGGAGGATACCAGCAAATAAAATTGCATAATTTCGTGGGGAATAAACTTTTGCATTTCAAATTCTTAGTAATAATGGGAAATCACAGAATAGGAAGAATCGTCGATAAATATTAATTTTGTTAGAATCGAATATTCCCAAAATTTAAAAATTTAAGCTAGATATCCCCCCCCCCTAATGTCCTACGATTATTGAAATACCTTATATATTAACAGTAACTTTATTTTAATAAGCTCAATCGAACAATTCTGCAGCGATTTCGAATGCAAACACTCATTGGGTTTGCAAATAACGCTATTTTTAATTGCATATCATATTTTAGCTCTCTGCTCCGAATGCTGTGAATTGTATTTTATCTTTCGAAACAGAAATAATCTCTTATGATTATTTGTACGTTCTTGCATGAATTACTACGCCAACCAAACGATAAGAGGCTAATCTGCAGAGACACTACACATTTCGAAAAGAAAATACAGTAAACTTTACAGAAATTATTTCCATGGATTAAGAATGACACAATTTTGTCTTTTTTAATTTTTTCTTTACTTTGGTTGGTAGAATCGATACTTAAAATGTTTACCAGCAGTAGGGGAATGATTTGTGCAAGTTAGAACTTCGATATCCGGAAAATACCGTCTAATTTTCCTGTAATTTCCCGTATCAGCTTTGGAATTGGTTGGACCAAATTACCGGTCGTTCGTGACGGTAATGACTTGCAGCTTTTACACGATGGGTCTGTGTATGCTGGCTGGCGTAACCTACTTAATAAGAGATTGGAGAACGCTGGCTGTCACCACCAGTGCGCCCTTCCTTTTGTACTTCTTTTATTGGTGGTGAGTAGCGATCTACATTCTTGCAAGGAGAGTGCAAGATCCTCGAGTCATCGATTTAACTGTAATTTAAAAAACTGAATACTCTTCGAAGCTGTTCCCATTCGAGGCTTTCGAGACCCTCAAGAATCTTATCCTGATCAACTCTATAATGTTACAAAGTGTCAGTTAAATCGGTGTCCCGTAGGTCTTGGGCTTCCCCTATCAGACGGCGCCATTTTGAAACGTCCAAGATCGTTTCAGGTTCCTGCCAGAGTCGCCGCGATGGTTGCTGGCCAAAGGTCGCCTCGGGGAGGCGAACGATATCCTCGAGAGGCTCGCGAAAGTTAATGGGAAAGAGTTACCGATCTCTTTCACCCAGAAACTCCGGCAAAGAATGATGATGTCACGGTCAAAAAGTGAAGAGGAAAGGTTGCGCAACGGGCCTGGCGTTCTCTCGCTCTTTAAGACGCCAAACATGCGTCTGAAGACTTGTTTGATCACATTAAATTGGTAAATCAAAGTTCAAGTGATCGATATATCTCTTAAATCCGATAAGAACGCAACATGCCCATTATTACATGTAATTTCGCGACGATCCCATCGACACGCGCAATTATGCCTGATAAGACGACTCGAAACGACTCAATCACTTTTGTGAATGGCGTCGTCAAGTCAAATTTGTACAGTCATTATTCATTTGGGTTCCCTTAGTATTTGTTTTTCGTTATGGACTTTTCATTTGGATCAAATACCTTATCGCGTTTTCAGTAAATTGGAGTCCATTGGAACTCGAGTCGCTGAATCTTGTCATTTTATTTTGCTTTCTCAAAGATGCACTAGAACAACGGTAATTCTTTTAATCTTTCAGCTTAAGGTTCATAGTTTAAGGTTCATACGTTAGATTACTGAGCGACAAATGCCTGTTTCTGACCATGTTTCTGTTGCACAGGTTTGCCAACAACATGGTGTACGTGGGTTTGTCGTACTACGGTCCAGCCTTGGGGAACGAGGAGCACCTGAGCTTCTTCTTCTCGTCCCTTGCGGAAATTCCCAGCTACATGGCTTGTTGGGTGGTGATGGACCGATGGGGTCGCCGATGGCCACTGTGTTTGTGCATGGTTATGGCTGGGGTCTCCTGTATCGCCACGGTTCTCCTATCATCTGGTACTCCACTGATCAATTGACCTCTCGAGCTCGAAAAAAGTAGATAGACCATTCTAGGCATAGTCCTCGATCAGAGACTTCTAGCTTCCATGACTACGGTGTCATACAGTTCTCACTAATCAGACATTCCTTCCAGAAGAAATGCCCCAACGATTCTCGAGCACTGCAGCTAGGTTCATCGGGGGGATCAAGTGACTATATCAGTGTGTCACTTGACCTTCTAATGAAGCTAGCTGCAATACTCGCGAAACGTTAGGATACTCGTCTCACAACGACAGTGAAAACTCTATGCATAGTCCTGTATTTTGAAAGCCATTTGTCAGTTTGTACATTTAACACGTTGGTTGCTATGGTGGTCATAGCCATTTGCAACAAACTTCAGTAAAATATTAAATAACACTACCCTACTCAGCTAAATCATAGAAGCTATAGAGTATCGAGAACTCCATGAGCTCGAAGCGTGTATGCCACAGAGGGAATCTCCTCCCCCGCTGACGCAAAATGTTTTCTTTCAGAGGCTGTGGTGGCTACGTTGATTCTGTTCCTTTTATCGAAATCCGCGATATCGGCCTCCTTTTTAATCATATACCCGTTCGCCGGTGAACTTTACCCTACGCAACTGCGCGGCGTAGCGATCGGTTTCTCCGCTTACATCAGCGGTCTCGGACTAATCATCATTCCTTTTGTCACTTATCTGGTAAGTGATCGTAAATAAACTTATCGCGGCTCCCGTGGCCGTGGCTGGGCTGATCCCAGACGATCATTTGTGTAATTCTCGCGCAGGGTAAGGAGAACTTGGTGCTGCCCCTGGTGATACTGGGCACCGTGTCGGTGATCGGCGGACTCTCCGGGTTGCGTTTACCGGAGACTCTGCATCATCGGTTGCCGCAAACGGTGGAGGAAGGAGAGCTCTTCGGGAAGGACTGGACCTGTGCTGACTGCTTCCGTTGCGTTCCAATAAAGTACGAACCCTCTATAACGATACCCAAGTCGAAATTTTGTTCTTCAGACACAACAAAACCCACTGAAATGGTTTTCAATAAACCTAATAGATAACGAGATATTATACTAGGCAAAGAAATGGTTGGGAAGGCTAATTTCGAGTTGGGTACCGCTCGAGAAATATCATCGTTCCGTTCACCGTTCTCTGTCGATCTTTTTTCTTTCAGACCTTCGTCCGCCGCAGCATCCTATGAGGATCTATCGGCTAGAGAGACTGTGGAGATGCACGAGGTGCCCGAACCGCCAGCAATGATGCCCCAGAGAATATTGGAGGAGCAACAGAGGCCCAGCAACGCGAGCGTGCGTCGATTGGTTCGTCAATCTAGCGTGATGGACACGCAGCGGGACTCGGACGGGTCCATCAAGATGACTTACTGGTTCTAGACGCTGAGTCGAGCCCAGTGGTTCAAATAAAACCGAAATAAATCCCGTGCCTCTGCCTTTTCGCGCGAGACAGAAGGAAATAGTAGTCGTTTTAAACGGTCAGTTTAACTCGGTCAGCTCGATGATTCTTAGAATCCTAAGATGGCCTGGAAGGTCGTTATACCATACCAAAGGTCGTTTAATCGCGTTACGATCAATAGCACCGCTACTCCAGGTTAGGCTCGAAAGGGTATTCCACCATAAACAATTGAAAGCATCGATTTAATTTATGATTCCGTTATGTCATCGTGCAATGTATTTTCTGTTATTTGGCGTAATAAAGACGACGTTGTTATTACAATTGCTACTCCAGGGGTTGGGGTGATTCGTAGAGATCCGAATTCGTTCACCACGGAAGCAAAACAGCCGTGATTCGTGTACATTTTGCAATTTATTCCCACAGTTGGTATACAAAACACGAAGGTCGAGGGGGGGAGGGAAAATTAAGAAAGGTGTCAGCCGCGGACCCGACAGATGGTATCGATCGAGGCGGTTGTCGTGTCTCCGGGTCGAATGTCTGCCCAACCTTCTATCCCCCCGAGTCGCTCAGAGTCGAGTGGTTCTGTTGTAGCAGCTGTAACCAGGAGCATCGCTGTACCATTTAGATGCGACGTGTGCTCGATACTTTCGCGTTCCCATTTACCTCTCCAGTAATCGCCGCTTTAGCTCGGGTGGATAGGCTACGTAGATGAAGTGGTCGGGCATGTCCTCGTTGGGCACGGCCAAGCTGTTGTCCCCCGGGTCGCACTTCCGCCTCTCCCCGGATCTACCCTCGCCGGGACCATTCGGATCGTGCAACGGCGACGTAGCCGTGAGCTCGCCGTCCGTGTAGTCCTGACCCCCGGGACCGTCCAGTCTGTCCTCGTCTGCGGAACTGAAACAATGAAAATCTCTATTGCGTAGCAGAGTAACGATTTTTTCACGAATTTATCGCGTCAGCTAAATCGACGTTCTTTGGTCAATAGTATTTAGAGAAATGTTTCGAAAATTCGTACATCCAAAATAAATCTTCGATATAGACATTAGAAACTTTCTTAACCGAGCAGCTGATACGATTTTCTAATAATATCGAATGAATTATGTAAGACGAACCTTCGACTTCTGTGAAACGTTTTTAATGTTCCAGACGCGAGTTATTATTCATCTGTTGCATTGGTCGCGACAGCGTCTATCTCTCAATTTGAGTAAATAGAGCGCGTAAATAGAGATAAAGTTGCTCAACGGTGTTTGGAATTAACGTGGTCGTACGTACTTGAACAGGATCCAGATGACGTAGTAGCATGCATAAACGGACGAGGACAGAACGACCAGGAAAATAGTGAGCAGGTACCAAGGTGTGTGCCTCTGTTGCCTTTTCGTGTCCTCCCAATACCTGTCGCAGCTAAGGTACCAGCATATCGCGCGGTTCAGCTCCCCTGTGATCGACAAGAGTTTCTTTTAATCGAAAGGATCGAACACACGGTCGTAAATAAATCGTCACACGTACCTTCGATCTCTTGGAAATCTCGTATCGAGAGATTCGTCAAAAGTCCAGCAATGCAATCGCGAACGAGTATCTGTGAACGATATCGCGTCGAAAGGGGATTATTAAAACGATCGATAGACACCATCTACAATTAAGCGTGTATTATAGTAATCTACGCTACGGTACTCTACTTCGAACCCTTACTCGAATATACAGGGTGTGTATGGTGCAAATTGGGTAGATTCTGTGACTCGAAGACGTTTCGTTCGAGCTTGATTAAAGGAATACAATTTGCACCATTAAGACTCACTCTGTACACGTATTAAGCCATAATCTAGTTATCGTGGTATTTCTTTCCAATTCTGTGGCGGGATACTTTGCAAGTGAAGGCTGCATTATCTGTTGACGTATAGTACGGATAATAGCGTTGTAACCCTTTCACTGGGAACGACGCCTACAGACGCACAATCGATCAATTAACTATCATAAACGTTTGAGCGTTCAGCGTGCATGCAAAGTGACTCGAGAAACTGGGACAAGATATAACTCTTTTCCAAGCGTACGAACGACTGATACGGGGAAATATTGAATCTGACAATAGGGGGCCATCTTGGATTAGACAAATTTTTATGTGTCTGACTCAAATCAGTTCTTCTTGCGGAAGAAGTTCTTGTACAAAAATATGAATTATAATATGATACTTTACAAGATATCTCCTGTTTTGCGTTTGTATCTAAGTACTCGATCTTCGTCCTAAAATTATGTTCATCGTACTAGATTACGTGCCTTCAATGATCACGATCAAGAGTGGCGTATAAATGATTTACATTGAAGAAGTTTCATTGAGTTCATGATAAATTTACGTCCCCAGTACTTTTGATTTTCAGAGAATGAAAAAGTTGATTCGTTTGGAAAAAAATCGATTTTAAAACAAATGCAAATGTAAATATTGCAAGTTTTTCAATTTTTTATTTGTTTCGATCGTTTGTGCCCCTGTGTAGAAAAAGCCTTATCCCAGTTTTTGGTATCACTCTGTATATGCTCAACGAGTTGAAAAGGCCACACAAGCCTTTGCGTCAAAGTCGTTCGCAATGACTGAGTTAAATCAGATAATTTTGCTTTTAAACGCACTACGGGGACATCCTAAAATTAGGTAATTATTAGGTGTAAATTAGGTAGTAATTTTACAAGTTTTTTGGACCAAGCGTTTTACGAGAATTGGTTCCTGCAAATTGTGTACCTGCTCTTCAACCTCGTGCAGTTAGTTTGTTTCGTGTTCCCCTCTGAATTCGTTTCTATAAAATGAATTACGTTAAGTTCGCATCTAAACACACCTGTTAACGTTTGCTTCTAATCACTGCATTTTCGAGTCGAGTATTAGTCGATACTGAGATATTAGGGATAGTGAGCTATACAGTTATCTTAATAATACCTCAATGGCATTTGCTACGTCGATAGCTTATCTGAGAATCGCTATGGCTGCCAAAACAATTTTCGTTCGTTTTCCAATAGTATTGCTGGGCCAATGGGTAAACAAACATTATGTCAGAAAATAATTGAATTATTCCACTTGTCTCAAGTGCTCACTTACAAAAAGATATTATGTAAAAAATTTATTTATGGTTTGAAAAAACAAGCATCGTTTTCTTGATACGGTATTGCATTGTTTCTGTTTACTGTTACGAAATAGACGAAGCAAATGTAACGATAACACTGTTAACGCGTAATATTAGACATTCAGATTCTCAATTAGAAATGATTATAAGCGTGATCAATTTTTCGTGACACGAAACTCCATGCAAGTCTTTTATTATTCATAACTAGTGTGCTCAGAGGAAAAATTCATCAGAAATATAACTTGGTAACTATACACTTCAAGGACACGGATCGTATCTGCGTTCCCAGTAATCATCGACTGTGGAATTATGACATTTTCTAGCCACGTGACCCATCGTGCACGTTCATTTTCTTGAAAATAGATATTTCATCGTATCGAGTATCCTTGGACAATGAAAGCTTTCCTCGTCAAAAATAAAAATATCGATAACCTCTTAAAGTTTTTTTCGATCGAATGACCTTCGAAAATGCAGTGTCGAACACGGATACGCGTTACACAATGTCGAAAGTTGCGGGGATTATTTATCGTCGAACAGTATTGGATACGATAATGAAATAATGCTGTTGTTGGTGAACTTTGTTTCGTGACTTTGCGTAATTTTATTTAAAGTTTCCCGGTCTTGATCGCGAGCAATTATTAGCTACGCGATAATGTCTAGACATTCATTGATAGCGTTTCAGTCCTTGCACCGTCATCTTTCATGGTTATTACTCGTGTATTCTTCTAATTTTTATTTCAATTCCTAATTATTATATTGGCGAAGACATTGTGGTGCATTGGTTTCAAAATTGTCAAATATTTTCCTTAATTTTTTCATTGAAAATGAATTGAATGGTTCATAATTATCCTCAGTCTATCCTTTGCATTTTTCTTCGAAACGTTTCACAGTTTTTTAGTTATTCTATTATCAAATCCAAAGCTATAAAATTAAAATTGGTCCCTCGAGGATCTTGGAACATTCGCCATTTTTAACGACACAATTTGGAAACTGTTTCGAGACTTTTTGAGCAATATTATATGACTTTTCCTGGGTCTGATTTGTCGATTTCATTGACCCGACATCGGAAATGCTATTTACGTGTCGTGTTGCAGCGATTGAAATAAATGGACGTGCCAGCGGCGCCATTGTTTCTCCAACTTCCTGCTGTTGAAAGGTTAAATCCAAAAGGCCGCGTCAAAACATTCTATAAATTCGCGAAAGCTGCGTCGATCGAAATGAAATAATTTTTAAAGTGTGACACTTTTTTTCAATTTAAATTTGACGTGATTAAGCACCGATAGAAAATAGATTTTCACCCCCTAAAGAAAGAAGAAACTTGCGTAGGAAGTAAATATGCCTTAGTTGCAGCTAATGTTTTAAAGTGTTTTGGTTTTTGTATAGTCAACAGAAACAGAGACGGTCGATAGCGTTTTGTAAACGTGTTTCTTATCTGCATGTTCAAACATCACGTATTGCCAATGGAACGTTTATCAGAACGAAGTATTGTTTCCTGGAAATCGTCATAACTAAACGATTGCAACATTGGTAATGATTTATTTTAAGCCACGCCCTGTTTTTAGGGTTTCTGAACGTACAAATCATTCACTTTCTCTTATTTCACGTTGATAAACATTGCACGATCATAACATGTTTGTCACAATACAGGTGTGCTTCCGGTTATCATTGTTCAATTGTTCGTGTATTCAAATATTGAATGAAAAGAAGTGTTCCCAGTTAGCAATTTTATCTCGTTTTAGAATCACCCCCACTATTGTTACGTGTTCAAAAAAATCGTTAGATCAAACTTTAAAGTGTCACGCTAATCGTAACCGACGCTAATGCAAACTGAAAACATTTATATTTATAATCCTCCTAAGATTATTGACGATAAAATTATTTTTGTAAATTTATCGAGTACGCGGCGAATAAAAATAGGGTGCTATCTCGCTGCTTGCATCATCTTGCGCTAGGGTACTACGAAATCATCGCCATCTTGTTTTTTGTGTTCTCTCGACTCTCGATCAAAGATTTACTCAATTGAAATTTCCTGAATAACGGAATCATTCTTGGTAAACGTTTCCTGGATCAGAAACTGTTTATTTTTTGGGTTTGATGGACAAAAAGGGAAAGCAACAGTCGACGAAAACAACTTCGACGCGGACGAAGCCAATGATTAATTGAGAAAATTTGCCCGACTCCGTCGGCAGCTGTGTAATTAAAGGCCCAAATGAATAGTTTAACCTACTCAGAGAACACTGTCTCGTCCAAACCTCTGTAATAAACCGTACAATGACGCGTTTAGACTTTTCTCGAGAAAACATCCCCAATCTTTCGCGATGGTTATTAAAAAATATCAGAGTTTTTTGTTTGCATTAATCGTTGTTACACGGATGTACGCTCGTTATTTTGCAAGTTCTTTTTGTGTATCTTGTCCAGTTTCCTCGTCGAACATGTCACGGGTTTTAACTCGAGATAAAATGGCGGGTGCCTCGAACGAATCCGTGACCTATCCCGGCTGTATGCGAACCTCCGGTTCCGATTATTCACAAACGCGGAGTGTGCTCAAACATTTGGACCCAAAAAAGAAGAATTTTGGTGGTTGTAATTTATCATAAACTGCAGATCTTTATGCAAATTCGAAGCTTCGCAGAGGGCTGTCTCAACCCCTAAATATAATAATTCTCTATCTCACTTTAAGTATTTCCTATATTTTTGCATATTAAAGTAGTTTGTTGAGGATTAAAATTTCCCATAAATGCGTAAACATCCGCAGTCTAATCGTAATAAATTCTGAAGAATTTATTGCCTTTTGCCCATCGTGTTTAGATGGAAATAGAAATTCATGCATTTTCGACTAACTTCGCACTGGAGCTTGAGCTTCTGGAGCTCCTCTGGCTTGCAGTTGGACTTGAGCTTCCTGAGGTGTAGCCCCCTGCGCCGTTGCCTCTTGTCGACAGCGGGCAGAGCCGCCTCCACGAGGTTCTCCTCGTCGTCCTCCTCGTCCTCCTCCTCCTCGTCCTCGTCCTCGTTCTCGCAGGCGTTGCTCTTGTTGTCGGGCCCGGCGATCTCCACGTGGTACGCCGTCCCGGGTAACCGATGGTTCTCCAGGGCCCCGCTGTCCTCGCGGTGACAGTAACGCTGGATGTTCGTCACCGCCCCGCCCCCGGATATCGTGCAGGACTTCTCCACCGGATACGACCTGGAGAGTCCACGCGCGTTGCACGGCATCACGGAGGTGGGACGTTGTTCCGTGTTCTCCTTCCACACTTGAATGTCCGTGCTATGGTGGCCAGCCTCGTCGTCCACCAGCGAGCTCTCGAAATCACGGTTACCCAGCACGTCGCACCTCATGATGTCGCAATAGTCCGCGAGGCACACCGCGTCCTCCGCCTTTTGGTCAATTCAAGTCATTTTTATTCGATGGAATCAACTACTGTAGGTCCGCGAGAAGTTGGCAAGCGAGAGGAATGTGGATCTGATTGGTGCTTGGGTCCCCCACTCTACCACTGAAAGGCGGAGCAAGGGAATAGTGGGCCAACTTCTTGCGAACGCACAGTACAATGGATGACGTTTTTAAATTTGGCGACAGTATTTTTTCAATATTACTCTGAGCTTCAAATTAATATGTTCTATTGTTATACGATGAGAGATTGCATGCGTTCGTTTAGTATGTAGACGTGTTCTATAGTGAACGAGATAGGGGGAAGAAAAAGGGTTACGTGATTCATCGCGATATTAAACTGAAACTTATAATTAGCGAATTCAGAATCAGACCACAGTTCTATTCCAGTGTTACAGCGTGAAGGAGCATATTTTTATCGCGAGTTTACAATGAGTTATAAATATAGCAATAATGGTTAGACGATCGTCCATCGATGTGGGGACGAAGGAAACACGGATGATAGTAAAAAAGACATCTCCAAAGAGCATTTTATATTTTGCATTTTCATTAATTTTGAAATAAATAATGAACAAAATCGAAGCTCACTGGAAACGAAAATATAACTCCATAATTGAAATTATGATCCACCCAATATATAGTCCAGACTTTGCACCATCCGATTATCATTTTTTTCACGCAACGATTATGACAACATCCGTGTTTTTATGCTCCCGGGGAATCAGCATAATGCGTAGCATAATAATGCAATTACTTCAATAACGATAACAGAAAATTGTAGATAATCGTGTTTTAATTTATCACGTAATAAATTGAAGACACCTTAATAGATAAGAACTGCAACATGGACATCCTTCTTAACCTTTTTATGGTTCCTAAGTTGATTGTATGGATAAACTGAAGGTTTTTTTAGTATTTCTGAACGGTTTCCTTATTCGTACGAATCCGTGCAAGGCAAAAGAAGAAGTATCCTAGATCGCACCGTGACTGAAAAAGGAAAATGTGCCGAGTGCACGTTAATTGCTCGCGTGGTCGTGACGCGGATAGTAACTTTCCAACGGAGGTAAAAAAAACTTTGTTCGAACTACGAAAGAGTGTAATAATAATCTTTCCTCTATTCCGAGGCACTGGGTATCGACGCTATGCAGAAACTTTGCGTGACGTCACTGGTATTGCAACAAGCTCGAGAGTTGCAACGCAACTATAAAGATCTCACATCGATCTTTCGTTACCTTAGCGTGAACTTCTGCTCTTTCAATTTTGTAAGCATAGTAAACGAACGCTTGGATCTATAATTAGACTTTGGGGTTTATCAGGGGTTCACAAACGAGTTTAAACAACGAAGATCTATGTGCTGAACTTAAGTTCTGAAAGTAATGGAAACAGAAGTACGAAAGAAATAGAAAGAGTCATGTGTTACTGAAGATAATAAGCCATTGTGGGTCAAATAATACTATTTCGAGATAATGAAAGCAAAAAATATAAAATTTATTGAATACACTAAGGATCAATAATTTTCACGAAAGTCAAGAAATGGTTACATAATGTGTCCAATCAGCTTCGTACACCCCCTCAATCGCCCGATTCGAATTCGATTAATCATTCGTGGAATGAACTGGGCAGACGCGTTGGAAATCATAGAATTAAAAGCAAGGAACAACTGAAATAAGCATTATTAGAAGAATGGAACAAAATTCGACTTGCAACGACAGCAAAATTAGTTGCATCGATCCAAAATGTACCAAAATGCGAATGAAATGCAAAATTTTGACTGTTTAATACGATACTTCTGAAGATACTCGAAAGAATTCTTGTCCATTCCTGTTGTATCGAAAGGTACATGATAATAAATTCATTTGACCCACTGTGCATGTTAATAACCGGTTGTTTGACCGATTGGATAAGACGACAGTTGCTTGGTTCTCCTCGTCGACGTTAAAAACTTGTTTTCGCTGCAAAAAAGCAGCAATTGCTCACCGTGTTGACGTTACTTTTGTGTCTGTTATCGAAGTGGGCATCCAGGTGTTTCTCCGCGTAGAAGGACTTGCCGCAAAGGCCACAGGTCCATTGTGACGGTCTGTGCTGGTGCTTCGCCCGTTGCTGGGGCCGAAAAATGTCTCTGCTCTCGTGGAACGGGCACTCCAGAGGCAGCTCCACTTGATACTTCTTCAGGATGGGCATCCATCTCTGAAATCTCGACAGAGGTTAAGGGACCGTGCACGGATCAATTCCTATCTATTTTCACGACGCACGCGACAAACTGGGTTATACACGGCGCTCGATAACTAGAACACGTTTGGGAAAATTACGTTAACGGGTGGAAAATGGTATCTCGTTACCTTCTGAACGATCCTCCTCACCACGGTCGCCCGATCGCGGGGGCATGATATTTTAAACACGCTTGGTCCTGGCCAGGGTATCACGGACAATAGCAACACTATCAAGACCTGCGAAACGTAAAAGACACGTTCACTTTTGATCGTTCGTTCGATCGTTCGAACGATGGATGGAACGTGCATGAAGGTGTGCTGTGCGATCGTGCCAGTTTCGAGACGTGAAAATCGGTGGGTGCACGGGAGGAACGTGAAAAAAAGAAACAATGAATCGCGTATACGTCGTGATAGAATGTCGCATGGGCACCGTAGCCACGAATATTCACGCACTCTGATAATCTTAGTCATCGTTCACTTCCGCTCTGACGGAGGGGGGCACCTCGATAAATCGATCGGTCGCCGTCCGTCCGAATCTCGACGGGGCGACCGAAAAATTGATTCGTAATGACGCAATCTCGTTGACGCGATGTGGAATGACCATTCTCAAACGCTGCTCGAACGTTCCTCCTTAATTACCTCGAAATGGAAGGGTTGGGTCTTCATTCATAGCCCAGATTCACCTCGCGAGAGCGACCGGCTCCGACGAAATCGGGTTTCTCGCTGGAAAAAATTACCGGGTTCCTTTCCTGAAATACACCACTCGCGATTCACGGTCAACTGGAGACGCGTCGGGGGTTGCGGTGTGGACGAACTACGGGGATGAACGTCGACATGGCGTCGTCGTCATTGCGCGCAGGGCTGAAGCGTCGCGGGGCGCCGGAGCGCGTTTCGAATTCTAATATCTAGACTGCGGATCTTTATGCAAATTCATAGTTTTATTAATAGAATTAACAAAATAGGAGCTTTATAGATGATTGTCTCAACCCTTGAATATAATAATTCGTATCTTATATTTTTGCATATTAAGTGCCATTCTGTAGTTTCTTGAGAATTAAAATTCCCCATAAATGCATAAACATATACTTATATCTTTTTATAAAATAATCTCTTGAAGCAGTTGTGCTCAGAGGTGTAAATCCAAATACTTCTTTGTGTCAGGAGCATGATCAAAACCACAGCAAATTTTTGTTTTTAAATGAAAATGAAACTTAAATAAATTGAATGAAATTATAATTTAAGCGTACGAATTTCACGAAATAAATATTTTTAACATATCGATCCCACGAAATTGCATCCTACGTATCTAAAATAGTTAGCTTCAGCATGACGAACCCCTTTTATTCGAAAATCACTCTGCATAACTGTAGAAGAGATTGCAACGAAACGATTAAGTATGTAAGCTGCAAAAAATGGAGTACAATCTTTTAAGTAAAAAAGAAGCAGCGGATATCTTGTTGATTATAGTTTCATCGATAAAAATACATTTATTTTGCCTGTGCGTTTTTCATGAATTGTTATTTACTAGAGTCGAAATCGATAAGGTTATCAGCTCCAAAAAATGAGGATAATGAGGATTTACATAGGGTAATCAAATTTGTGATTATTATACCAATAATTAATTTAATTATACCTTATAATGACCTTTTCTGGATCCAAACAGACACCAAAGAATAGACTAACTGAACTAAAGACTAACTATAGACTAACTAAAGAATATCTTTAGTTTAAGAAAATATCATGGCAGATTATAGCTTCCATGAGAATTTAAATAGTTAAAAAACAATTTTAATCGTGGATTTGTGGCTCCTCAAAGGGAAAGAGGTACGGTCCTGGCAGCGACGTCGAACGTCGGCGTCGACGCAATGGGGCAATTGCAAATACGGCTAAACGTTAATTCAGAGAAAAAGTATGATACTCGATCGAACGCTTACACTACTAATCATGATATCATTTATAACTTCAAGAGACTTAAATTTGAATAATTGAATTATATCCTGTCCTTTTCATTAGAATTCATTTTAATGGGGGACGGTCACGTTAATTGGGTCTCTCACTCCGAGTGTAACGTTTCAGTGATGTTTTTTGCAAATCGTCGGAGTAAAGTGCAACGTAAAAACATGATTTAAATCGACGCAGAGCGTATTAACGGGGTCGTGAACGCGAGTTCCGGGACCTTCGTATCGACGATCGAGCTCACTTCCGCGATGTTCGTAAATAAATAACGCAACGGTCGAGGTCCACCCGCGTTTGTCGTTTTGTCGACGCACGATAAGCGTTCTTCACCCGATGGTAATTTCGTCGTCGGATGGCAAGTGGGGAGGCATTCCGCAGGCGACCCCGATAACTGCATATTGCACGGAACAGCGATTACGTGCAAGTTGTTTTGCTGCATCGACGTTACAAGATTTTCGCGAATGTTTTGTTCTTCTCCCTGCGGCGGCTATCGATTGTGTAATCCGAGGAACGATATTCGCGTGTTTCAATTACGTCAGTGTTTCTCAAACGTCATCTTCCCGCGTAACTGCAACGCATAGTCGTATCCTCCGCAGTAAAATTAAATTACTGTTTCGTCGAAGCGCTTTACGACTGTTTCATTTCCTCGAAATTATGCATTTATGTTCTCTCTTCCTCCAAAATGATTTCGTACGTTTTGAAATACTTTCGAAGAAATACTTTCTTGTTGGTCTACGATGTTTATACGATGCTTAAAAAGTTATTTCCTTATCGCGTGTTCGCGAAGTCGTGTGAAAATAAATGTGTCCGGAGATATAAATCTTCCGGATTAAAAAAATAAATCTATTTACCATTATGTAGTAAAATGAGAGACGTTGCATATTCCGTAGGAATTAATATATGTTCATACATAAAACATGAACAAACAATTTTTTGCTGAATATAAACGTATACAGAATAATAACCATTAATATTACTGTAATTAATAGCTTTAGAATCGTGCATTGCAATTCGATATGTTGAACTCTAATCGTAATAAAGAGAAATGCCTGATAAGGCCAAATAAAATATTATTTAAATTTATCTCTGTTATGATTTTTCTCTTTATTCGATGAGTAATACGCGACCGCGAACTTTGGACCTTGTTTCACCGTAGTACTTAAATTGTTAGTCCACGTTGATAAATCTTATTAACGTGTTCTCTTGACAAAACCGAAACGAAACTTCACTAATCTCGCATGAAAGATACGATCTTACATTCTTCAATTTTGTATAGTCATCTGACACTCCACGAACACGGAGTAATGTTTATAAATACGAAGGTAAACACAATGTAGCAGAATATGTATGTATAACTCTTGAACAAATTAGTAGACATAATGACTAAAGAACATAATACAATTTGGTAGTAAACGTAACGACTTGACTCGAAAGCAGTTATTGGTCATTGTTGTTACTAATAGACACTATTAATGAGTTAGGAAGGATAATTAGGGTATCTTTTCGTTTCAGGTTTTTGGCAATTTAGAATTTGGTAAAGAAAATTAGATCTTACAGAATATTCCACAGTCCTGTTTCAGACTTTGGCCATTTTTCGACAGCTTAAATATGTTTTTATTATTTAATCAAATATATGAGAGAATAAAGGAATATGATTTCAATAATATATGATAAAAATTTGTCAAAATGAGCAAGTGTCTCAAAACTTTTGCGTGAGAGTATACATCATATGTACCAAAATCGAAAGATATCGCGAGGTTACGGCTAGTATGTTGTTTGTTTGTGCATCTCGTGTTTTTTATTCGAGTAGAGAATATGTATTAGCGTGGTCTCGGCGGCGAGCCTCTACAGTCTTATTTAGCCAAGGAGGAATTAATTACCAAACAGACAGTAAATAGACAACGTTTTATCGTACCAAACTATGTACGTAAAAAATATTTACCCACTGATTCTAGTGTTATTAAATATTTTTTTTAAAGTGCAAAATAAACAGCTTTATTTCGGGATCGTTGACAACTTCTAAAATTTCCTCTTTACAAAACGTAACACTGGTTAAAAGATGAAATTAAGTTATCACGTTGAGACTTGCCCCCCTGCCCCCCTCAGAATAGTACCAAACTTCGTGCAATAAAGCTCGAAACAGGAACCTCTGGTTTCGAAACTTTGCTCATTTCATTTTTACGTAATGTTTATAAGATTATAAACAATTCTAATTATAGAACAGACGCGATCGAGCATCATTACAGTTTCCTTGTTTACAAATGGTTCTAATAGCGATCAGTTGTCCTGGATCGATTAAAAACTACTTTCCCAGGCGTCTATTTCAATTTTTAGCGTTAAATCGACGTCTGGAGAGATGATAGATGGTAATTATACGATCCAGCGTCGAGGGCCCTGCCTCCACGAAGGATTCCCCCGTCTGATGGAATAAATCATTGAGATTGCCGATGACAAAACATACACACGTCGATAACTAGGGCGTTTGACTGGCGATTGTGCATAATATTTATTCTTAAATGAAGATAAACGTCGTGTCGCTGGGATCCGCTCGTCGGGGCCCCGATTGCAATATCATCATTCGTATGCAGGATACGTTAGCGGGGTTCGTTGTACACGAATAGCTCTCCTCGGGAATGTAAAATCCACTCTTTGCGGGTATCTTGTATACGCCTCTTTTGCAAGCGCGCTGGTTGGTCAGTGGAGGGGGTCTGGTATCTAGAGGCGCGTAGAAGCGGTAGAAGTTAAGTGGTTCGCCAGGGTATCCCTTAGTCTGTCAGTGAAAACAGTAGCGCGAAGCACGCGTACCAGCACGGTTCGCACGTTTACTCCAGTGTCGTGGTATTACGCGTTTTTCACGAGAAACACGACGATTCGAAGGGGTCACACGGAGTGCATCCGTTCGACCGGTCTGTGCGTTTTTCGAACACGTTCGACTTTCTCGATACGTTTCACCGTGATCGTCGAGTGAACGACGCGATACAAATTGGGGGACCTGGACTCTCTGCAACAGTACAAACATACGTCTTGCTCAGGGTAAAATTTTTACACCGTTCTTCGTACCACTCGCGAGATATCGAAGCGATCGTTTGAGGGGGCCTTTGTGTCGCGCGAACATGAAATACCGCCGTAAAAGGGTCAGTGGTTTTCGAGTGACCTCTTCGCCCGATGAACCGTGGCGCCAGAAACCGCCGATCGTCCATCGAAGCACACGTCGATTCCTAAACTGAAAATCCGCGTTATTTTTCGACTCTCTTGCTCCTACTTCGAACCATTATTACGTACATGTCTCTCCTCTTACGGTGTTTACAGGGTTGCCACTACAAGCATCTGCAGGATTGCCATTTCTTATAAATGCATCGCTTATTGTCAGAGATCGAACAGGACTCTGAAAAAATCGTGTTCGATCTAGGCTAATGTCTTTCTGACTTTTCCAACCGCGTGTGGTGCCTGTTAAAATCATATATTTGATGTCTTATTTTAAACATTTTTTTATTCAATTAAATTTCATTCGTTTATTAAAATAATATTCGCCTTGATTAATGTAGTAATGTATATGTTAATATTTCACATAACTTGGTTGAAGAGTCATGAATCGCGAGCATAACCTGACACATAGCATTGAGAAGAAATTAGTAATAGCTCTGGTAGCAGTCAATTTGTTAAATTAATTAAAAAATGAAGTAAATATTAAACACTACTGGCCGATCGAGACGAGATTTGGCTACAGGGAGAGAACGTAGATCCAAAATAAACATTTTCAGCCTTGAAAATCCTCAGATCTTCGTCCACATGGCATCGAACAGTGTTTTGATTATTATCAATCAAATTTTTCAACCAATTTTCTCGTCATTATCGTTTTAATATTTCCGGTAAATAGTTTAATAATTTGCCCCATAAGTGGCCATCTTTTTCCAGATTTTTCATAAAAGTCTATTCTTGTATGTTAAAAAGAAATATTGATCGAGTTTGGAAAAATCAAAAGACGAGATTTTGAACAATTTTTATTCCAATTAATTACCGTGTGTGCGAGTGTCATGGCCGCGCACCCTAAATATGTACAGTGTTGTGAAATGAAGAATTAAAGCAAAGCTAACCTAATTAATAAAACTAATTGGTCAATCTAACTAATATGAGAATTAATCGAGCTATCGTAATGTTAATAACGTATGCAACGTGAATAAATATTAAAAGTTTCTGTATGGAAGTTCGTGGGCCCCCCAAAAAATAAATTTACGACCCCCCCCTTGGATCACTCTAGCTAAGAACCACTGCATTGGACGATAGGATTATTCCAATGGTGTTTAATCTGTCGTCCGCTGACCCCAAAAGGGGGGCCCGTAGATAAATATCTGGGGGTCTGAGAATTACACATAGAAATTTTAAATATTTTCGCTTCGTAAAAATAACAAATTTTCCAAACACCTGGAAAAAATGTCCACAATTCTCTGATAGAAATTTTATAGAAGATGCAGACCCAGCCAAGAATAAACTCGTCGACCTTAGGGGGCCAAAAATTGTCTAGAATCAAAACTAAAATAGTCTCTGGAGGATTCTGATGTTTCTTAGAAGCTCATCCTTGTCAGGACTTTCAATATCGATTTGACGAATGTTTAAGATTTATTAGATCGTTTGATGGGGCCCGGGGAGAAAAACGATTAAGAACCACTGGTCTATTCTGTACCTATTCTGTGTCCGTGCATTCCCTTTTCCTTGGGACCGGTCACGGTTAGGTGTTCGGTCTCGAGATCCGTTTCGAACGCATCGTTCCCGCGAGTGCAACAGGTTATTCCTCCCGAAGCAGGCTGCTGAAGGAGGGGGGCGATAATTGTGGACTCTGTTCTCCACAAAATCCGGTCGGGCTGTCCTCTTTTCGCGATAAGACGTCACTTATCGAGAAACGTCTGCATCTCGACGGCAGATGCCCTCGATCGTTTAATTATCCGCGACCAATAGAGAGTGCAACGAGGCTCGAACCGTATCGTCGCGAACTTATTGCGATCTATGAAACTGTATCATCCACGATAGATTTATCGATGAAACGATCGAATAGGGTCGACTGTGAAAATCGATATTTTCGATCGTTCATAAATCGTGGTTTCGCATTTCGTTCTTCCAATTACTATGAAATTTGTCTATCCAGGATCTTCCATGTTATTTTTTCACACTAATAGCGGAAAGATACGCTTTTTTTAAGAAATAGTATTTCGATCGTTTGAACAGTTATCGAATTTTGTGAGCTTCGTTATTTCTCTAAAACAGCTAAAACTTCTAGGCTCGACAATGTTAGAATTAGTTGATTGTATATATCGATGGATAATCGGATTCCAGTGTGCTTCTATGAATATCGAGCGTTCCTTCAGCATTCTAATTCGCTTCCGCCAGGGACGTGTTTACGCGGAATGTTATTTAAGACCGTGGCACGATTAGGCGACTTGCATGGCGCTCCGACGAACATCCGTGATAGCGTTCGCGAGTTTTCTCTATGTTGCAGACTACTCGACAGCTAATTAACATCAATTTCCTGCTTTACTGATTACAGGGAACAAAGATAACGTACGCGGACTAATTGATTGTTAATTTCATACGCATGAATAAACTGGATCGACGATTCTTAACCCTTTAACTCAAACAGTATCTAAATGTGCAAAAGAGTTTTATCTAAAAATATCGATGCAGTAAGATAATAATTAATCAATACAATTACTATTCAAAAGGTGAATTTATGTACACGTTTATGAATTCATTTCACTGACACTTTGTTATCAATAAACTGGATCGACGATTCTTAACCCTTTTCAAATAAACTACTTAAATAGTATCTAAATATGCAAAAGAGTTTTATCTAAAAATATCGATGCAGTAAGATAATAATTAATCAATACAATTACTATTCAAAAGGTGAATTTATGTAATTTCACTGACACTTTGTTATCAGCCATTATAGTAACGCAATAAATTTACTCGCTCTCGTGAAAGAAAATTTAAGTTGTCAAACTATTAATCGTATCTTCGAAGATTATGTCAGTTGTTGACAAATGGAATGGTCGTGAAGTTAATATTCAAAGAAAATTCAAATATTAATAAGCCACCAGATTTTCCATATTTTGGCGCGCGAAGGATTCTCCATTTGCAAGTGTTTTTGGCGGCAGGAATTTTAAAAAAATAATAAGGAACAGCGTGTTGATCGTAGAGACGATGCGTCACGATCCACGACTTATCGCGGAACCGAGTTAAATGGAAAAACGTTACGCGTCGTATAATTGCAAGTCATTTAAGGTGACTCTTGTCCCGCATCTTCCTCGATAACAAAGCGGAATTGTTGTTCGTAAATATTTGAGCCCAACGAGACAGCAGCATGACTAAGGTGCGTCGAGCTCGATAAGAACACCGTGATTGTACTTTGAACCATCGTTTAACGACTAACGATTTGTCCGTTGATTACTATGCTTGAATTCGATGCAAATGTTACGTCGACGGCTTAACCCGATATTGTTGACAACTCGATTCCTCTACAAACGCTTCGACAGTCTGGATTTAATATTTGTATTCGAATCGAGTCTGTTATGATACTATAATGATACATAGTAATTGCAATTAATACTTCAGATTCTGTGTGAAAAAATAAGTCGAAAATGTGAAATATAATTTGTTCATATAATGCTTTGTTTCCACGATAATTGAATTCGACAATTTCGGGGACACGCGTGCGATCTAATAGGACTTTTTTCACGTGTCTGTCCATTGCTCGCTATTTCTACTTCTGCTGTTCTTTAAACTCTGTCCAAGTAGACGAGACAGCAGACTAATTAGTACACTTTTAAGTGTGACATATAATTCTGTTATTTTGGAAGCTATTTTTTACTCTTATCTTTCATCCATCAGAGTGTTTTGTTTGGAAAAATCCAAGAATAACGTGAGGAATACACCTTCGAAGACTGAAAAGTCCATTCAATTATAAACCGACATTCTAAGAAAGAAAACTATAGAATCGAAGAGCATCGACGAAGTCAATTATTGCCAGTCTACTAAATCGTTGGACTGGCAAACCTGATACGTTCATGTGTGACCGGTTACGGTACGAGCATGATGCAGCACTATTCTCCGTTCGAGACTTCAGATCGTGTGTGCGAAAGAATACGTCGCAGTATAACCAGTTTATAATATTTTCTGCATTATCCGAATGCAGAAATATGCTTAAAATGCATTCACACGGACTATATTACGCTAAAAAAGAACTGTTACGTAAACGTCGTTTCAAGTTTTCTCGAAACAATGTGGGAATAAATTAGCAATATTTACATTTTAGTCTGTTTACGCGAGCTCTGTTTACTGGGTGAGGTCGTCAACTTTGAAGTGTTTCGATTATTTACGAATCGAGAGCATTTATCATTTATTCAATAGGAATACCTTAATATTGTCGTTTTATAAGAACGATGATCATTTTGAAACGCAGTCCTTACTTTTAAAAGTGCCAAAAGTTTCACGTTTTTGGAAATCGTTTTTACAAATCTTCATTATGTATTCTACGATGATAACGATGTATCTACAGGTGTATTAGCAAGTAAAAATTCGACGTAGCGAATCGTGTCGATGAAAACAGTGTCGGCGATCCCAGGGTAACCCGATAGGGCGGAAGATCGTTACGTTCTTGTTTGAGCTGATTACGGTTAGCATGTCGCTATCTATCGTGGGTGAATCGGCCTTGACATTATTCGCAAGAATACTATAGCAGGATGGACGCCGAGCCCGGACGTCCAAGGTCGCAGTTTCCCATTGTTAAACGGACTGGACGCGATCTCCGCTTTTACGCGCCATCTTCTTTTTTTTGCGGTTCTAACGCGTGCATATTTCGAGGCGAAGAGACGAAAACTCGAACGATGTGGGTAGTGGGGGTAGCAACTCAATGGTCTTGGACGGCCAGTTAATTTTACGATGAAGACTTTCGTTGGCGCAGCTCTCCGAGTCGAGTTTTATTTTAAACTTCCCGGTCTCTCCGTTCAGTGACGAAAGTTTCTTGCCAAATGATTTTAATCAGTTTAGTCGTTCTTTATCAGCCCATCTTGCTTAACCAAAGCTCACGTAGACTCGAATCTTTTTCGATGACATTGACAACCTCCTAATCGGGGGATCATGGTCCACCATACTGTTGATGATGATGGATCGTTAATATTCCTGGTGGTTTTTAGAATTAGGTTAAAGCTACTGCACGAACGAATCTGATCATTCTATTCGTTACTTGAAAATAAAATTTGCCTAGCCCAAACTGACGTCGAAGCAAACTTAATGGCGCATAAAATTAGTTGCAACTGGCTCTCTGTAAATACAGGGTGTCTATGTTATATAAATATAGACTCTTGCATGGTCTATTATAACTAAAAGACTCTTGGGTTCGTAATTTTGCTTGTAAAATACGTTGGTAAAGTTCTGTGGGGGAAAACTAGTAACATTTCGGACGGATATCAGCAATTTATGGTATCCGTTTGTTACATTCGCGATCATTTGAAGCCATCTTCTTGCAGGTCGTTGAATTCACCTCCATATTAATTCAAAAACCATACATAGACGATATTTGGTTCATAATAGAACTTCAGTGACCAAAGTTTCAATGAAAAATCGACGTTTAATAATGTCTTTGTCGAAGAAATGGAAAAGCCTTATCAAACGAGAATTTCGTTTACCATTTATTACAAAACCTCATGATACATTTTAATTATTACTTATTGATGATAAAAAAAGACAAGAAACTATAAAATCTCGAGAAATACAATCAGAAGAAAGTAAATCGTTTCTAATATTTAGTTCGATCGAAACACCCAGTATGTGCACAGCCGTGTGCATTCTTACATTCACGCCCGTCGCGTTATCGGGAAACTTTTTTCTTTTCTCGTTAGCTGTCCTACATACTATCATGCATCCCACATGCACCAGCCGCCATTAGAAAGTGACTTTCGCGCGTGCTAATTCCACGGTTTTCTTTCTGTTTTTTTTTTTCAGCTTGGCAATTGTCCCTTGCGAATTATTCAAAATACATCGGTGAAACTATCGAAAGGTTCGGAGCCATGACTACCGTCAGGCAAATCCTCCGTTATGCACGGAGACTGGGTCAGGCGTCGGAGTGCTCGTCGAAGGCTTTAAACCGGTCCGTGAGATGCGCCTCCACTCAGCTGCAGCCCAAGATCATCGAGGATGTAAATGGGAAACGAATCTTTGCCTCGCCGTGCGAGTTCACGCCCTCGGAGATGTTCATTCACGAATACGTGTGGAAGAACGTTGATATTTACGAGAACCACACTGCCTTGGTACGTTTTCACAAAAGCAATTACTCTTCTGCGATCCCCCATATCAGACAACAACGACGAAAATGGAAAAATATGCAGTTTTTCGTGGTAATATGCTGGCCAAAATAATTACAGAACTCTCGTCGAAGGGGACGTTACTCAAAATTGATAAAAATTACTATTCCAGCGGTCAAGTCGTCCTGAACTTGGGACAAATGTACAATCAGTGCATTTACGCGGTTAATTTAGAGTGTAAATGATTTATTGCAAGAGGTAAGAAAGATCAGAGACGGAATAGACATAACGTGGTTAGTATAGAGTAATTTTCCTTAACTGCAGGCCTTTCGAAGGCTGACTGAAATGTCTGACACGGTATAGCAATTGACGTTACACTCCACGACGTAAAGGTGGCACACCTCGTAAACGCAATGCTTTTATTGCTCGAACACGATAGCTATGTACATTCCCATCATCTAGTGCACTCTGTTACTGCAAAAATTAGGAAGAAAAAGTTTCAGCTATAAATACGTACGTAATATATACTTTAAAAATAACGATATAGTTTAAAAAACAAATATTCCTTGTAGTTGTTACTAGAATTATTCAACGAAATAAAAAAATAATTGAAACCTAGACGTTCAAATGTTGTCCAGCAATTAGTGAAATTTGATTTGCATAATGTTCTCTTGTTTATCGCTAGAAAAATAATCGCATACGCGAAGTGTAGATTTGAAACTAAGCTTCCGTGTGATACGTTGCAATTTTATGTAACATTAGCAGAGAAGATAAAAAATGCGATTATTCGCTGGTGCGTGTACGCCACTGTGCGTGCATATATTAGTTGCATAAATATCAAACGTTCTTTGCATATCTCACGCGCGCAAACATCCGCAGGCTACTCGTACGCATTGTTACGCGACATTCTATTCCTACGGGATGAAACCGTTATTGCAGTGTAATAGTAATTCGAAAGATTCCACAGGTGTGACGGTCACCTGAAATGTCTCGCCGCAATTACCACGAAGGAAGATCGCCAGTGATCGTTGTTGTAATGCAGTGAATGCCTTTGCAGATATGCGCCGCGACCGGAAAGACGTACACGTACAGCGAGGCGAGGGACACTGCTAATTATATCGCGAGAAGTTTACTGAACATGGATCTGAGAAAGGGCGACGTGGTGGCCCTGATCGCGCCAAATTACCCGGAATCTATTTTAGCCTTTCTCGGCATCTTGGAGGCCGATCTGATCGTTACCACTGTCAATCCGTTCTACACGCCCGGTGAGTGAACTCTGCGTCTCGATATTCCGTAAACAAACTGCTAAAAACCTGACTTCATTGCAATTTTATCACAATTGGATAATTTCAATTATATTATCATTCGATAGAAATATGATTTTTACTCGTGTGAGTTGCCAGTCTAAAATCCTAATAGTGTTTACGGGACCAATACTCTGATTCTAGGCAATTGCAAACTACACAACTTAACAGTCGTAGTTACTTTTGTGACCACATTAAAATTCACGAAGCTTATTAAAATTGATTTTCTTTAACATTTCAATTTGGGAATTAATTGTTTTAGTTTCACTGTTAAAAGTTCTGTCACCCATATGTGGGTGACGTGGCAGTCAAAGTGTTAAACGAGACTGTCATTAGAGTTATTTTGCAAAACCGCGACGTACAATTTCCATTCAATGCATCCACTGCTTAGGAGTAGCTGCGATTATTGTGACAGCTCGAAATTACTGTTTTGCACAGACGAAATCAAAAAGCAACTGCAGTCTTCCGGGGCAAAGGCGATCGTCACGGTCGCAGAGATCTCCAAACACGTTCTTACTGTTTCGAAAGCCACTCTTCCAGCTGGTGCACCCGTCGTTGTTATCGAGGATGGCACTGGACCCGTCCCGGAAGGCACCGTGCCATTTAAGGTGTGCACTGAAAGTTATTATAAATTACAGCACCATACAATTCCATAAAACATTACAAATTTGGATTTTAAACATGGATAGTTTGCTATAAAGTTTAAATACACTGCTCGTGTTACCATTTTATCCTTTTTACGTTCACGTTCCTAAAATCCTGTTGAAATAAATAGCTTGAATAATATTCATTATATTATCCATAAAAAATATCCATAATAAAATATTAAAATATCCATAAAACATTACAAATTTGGATTTTAAACATAGATAGTTTGCTATATAAGCTTGAATACACTGCTCGTGTTACCATTTTATCCTTTTTACGTTCACGTTACTAAAATCCTGTTGAAATAAATAGCTTGAATAATATTCAGTATATTAGACATCTTGATCTTTTTATCCCGGAATTTTCAAATTCAAGATTTAATAAATATTCCAACATTAGCCCTGCAAACATCAATTTTATTAATTTATATACATCGATGGATAATTATGAATTTATGTGGACTTAAATCGACGAACTAGTGACCATTCTTAACGATGCGTGAAATCGATTAGAAACGAACGACTTGGAACAACTTTCTAAACCGACTGACTTCCGTGGACTAAAAAAGTGCGGCACACAAAGACGATAGAAGTGTTATTGCTCGCAAGAAACCATAAATTATCGCGTAACGAACGTGCAACGCAGAACTTTATCCTGAACAAACTCAATAAATTGAATAAATGACATTTCGACCAAAACAGTACAATTGCGTACACGTGACAGCTAATGTCTGACCGACGAAGTAACCCACACACGACAGTGGCCATTATAGAGTTGAACAAGCGTTCATTGATGCCTAGATCGATCGAGGGCTGAATTAAAAGTTTTCACGAATATGTTTCAAACAGTTTCTTCGATGAAAACGAAAAATTTTTTGGGCTTCCAAGGCTCGAAGTTTAAATTGAAATCGTTGTAATCCTTCCAGGATCTAGTTGATCGGGGCAAAACGTTACCTCCTTTAAAGCACACGCATACGTCTGTGAACGATATGGCGGTCCTTCCATATTCGAGCGGAACGACAGGTTTGCCGAAAGGTGTTATGTTGACGCACAAAAATTTGGTCTCCAACATGGAGATGACAGACAAAACTGCAAGCGGAACGATGTTCCGGTACGCGACAAGTGAGGACATTTTTTTTAATGCTGTCGAAGGAAAATATTTGAATATTACCATTGGTACTCGTTGAAAAAGAAAACTAATTTCCCATAACAGACATCCTAGTGAATATCCAAGAAAATTCAACTTGGAAATGTAAAAATAAAAGGTTCAACTTTTGAAGATCACTAGACGATTTCTACTTATCTTTTTTTACGATCTTTACTCATCTAGTTGCATTTTTGCGCGATTTCCTTAATGAATTCTTTAGAAACAGATCATCCTTCGAAGACTGCTTGTTTTGATTTTCCCATCGCTTGAATTTCTCCGGAAGTGCACAAGATTAATTGCTTTCTGTCTCACATTCCTCCACTCATCCTCAATACATTTTAATTATTCCTTTAAGTTGTTTCCCTAATGAATATACTTTCCAAAGAAATCAAAGTGGGTCGATTATAGTACCAAGAATAGTAATTTTCGAATATTGTCTTTCCTCGATCTCGAGTACGAACCGGATGGATGACCGAATCTCTTTGCAGGTGACTTCCAAGAAGTAGTGCCTCTAGTTTTACCATTCTTCCACATTTTCGGTATGAACAGCGTGGTTCTGCCGCGCCTGGCCTCCGGATCGCAACTAATCAGTGTTCCCAAATTCGTACCGGAGCAGTTTATCCACATTCTAGCAAAATACAAGGTAAACTTCGTCTAAAACGATCGACCATAGGAGAGAAGCGACGTCGAGGATGCGTTATTTGGGACATTATTTATAGGTGACTGGTCTGTGCGTGGTACCCCCGTTAGTTTTGTTCCTTAACGCCACGCCGCACGTGAAGAAGGACTTCTTCAAGAACATGCACCACGTTATCATAGGGGCGGCGCCATTGGCGGAAGCGGACGTCGAGAGATTCTACGACAAGTTCCAAATGGACTCCGACAAACTGAAATTCTGTCAAGGTAGATCGAACGTTTCCCGTCGAAACAAACTAACAAACTAACAAACTAACAAATTAACAAACTAACAAACTAACAAACTAACAAACTAACAAACTAACAAACTATCAAACTAACAAACTAACAAACTAACAAACTAGGAAACTAAGAAACTAACAAACCAACAAACTAACAAACTAACAAACTAACAAACTAACAAACTAACAAACTAACAAACTTACAAACTAACAAACTAACAAACTAACAAACTTACAAACTAACAAACCATCAAATTAAGAAACTAAGAAACTATGAGCCTCGAATTTTGTGTTAATTTCGTGTTATTGTGATGCGTCTCGCAGGGTACGGATTGACGGAGACCTCCCCCGCCGTTTGCATGGAAGTGACCGGTAAAAAGATGGGCAGCGTCGGGAAAAACGTGATCGGTTGCGATCTACGACTGGTCGATCCGATCACCAACGAGGACGTCACTGTTTCTGGACAGACCGGCGAGATCTGGGTCAGGGGGCCCCACGTTATGAGGGGTTACTTCAACAACGAGGCCGCCACGAACGAGATGATCGTCGAGGGTGGCTGGCTGAAAACCGGGGACATCGCTTACTGCGACGATGACTTGGATTTCTTTGTCACGGACAGACTGAAAGAGTTGATCAAAGTCAAGGGATTCCAGGTGAGCTTTCTATCGATTCTCCTCAACGCGTTCTTCGATTAAATCGACCCTGCGCCAATGGTCGTTTCTTTATACAAACATTCGATTTTTAGTGCATTGAATTATTTCGAACTTGTTAACGTGGTCGGTTCAAGTTCCTGCGTTGACCCGGTTGGCAACTATGAGTTGCGCTAAATTTAGCGCATTGTGAGCGAACGATTGGTCCACTTGAAAGGCCAGTGCCGTAGAAACATTCGAAATGCGTTAATTTCTCCCGTGGAAATGATAAACAGATACTTCGAACGTTGAACATTAATTTTATTTGCTTCTAATTTAGTTTTTTCTCGATTGCAAACTATCAGGTACCACCAGCGGAGCTGGAAGCCATCTTGAGAACGCATCCGGACGTGGTGGAAGCAGCTGTGGTTGGTATTCCGGACGAGAGATGCGGCGAAGTACCGAAAGCTTACATATTGGCCAAAAAAGGTTCCACATCGACCGAAGAGAACATTAAGAATTTCATGAAAGGGAAAGTTTCGGACTACAAAGAACTCCAAGGTGAAGAATTCTGCATCCCGACCTAGACATTCAATTTTTAGGCCCCCTCAGTTATCTTTTAAAAAGAAATAACGTCGAATCATCGAATGGAGTAAAATTTATGAATTTCTCAGAATCAGTGGGTTAATATCAGTCGTAAAATAGATTACAGTCAGGTAGATAACATCGTTTGATCGCGTTTGAACTGCAATATGAGTCACCTCGATGGACATCACTGTGTCAATTGTGATCGATAAGCTCGAGACTGGTTGATAATCAATTTATCGTTTCAGGTGGTGTCACGTTCGTGAATGATATACCAAAGAACGCCAGCGGGAAAATTCTGCGAGCGCAGCTGAAAAGCCAATACAAATAATGAATGAACACCGAACGAAGGAATCCAATGCCAGACCACGATTAACAGTTCACACATTATGGGATCGGCTACTGTTAAAAGTGATAAGACTATGCACGCGGTCACACCGTATTGGCGATCGATCGATGTAATAAAAAATACGTGACTGTTGTTTACGCAACACGGAAGGGGAAGTGCTAATATTTTTAATCGACAAACTGTTGATACGCGATCGATCATTTTCATGGACGGTTTCCCCCGATGATCGTACGTTATAGACACTGTTCACGTCGATGGAGATTTTCGCGACTCGTTTGGAGATACTCTGACCGGAAACGACTGTAAAAAAAGAAAAAAAAAAAACACACGCGAAACGTAAAATGTACTTACAACTTAGCTACGCGCGAACCTGATCACGAACGGGTTTCGCAGTCGGTGGTATACTTTTTAATATTATATTTTATATGTTTACTGATGCTATCTCTGACAATGTAATTAGTTCGTAAGATTCAGAAATTGACGAATTTCTCGTTGAAACAGTTGTAACGTACTGGATATATCAATGTTATGCAATTTTTTATAGGCTATTTCTACCGTACAGTACCAGATGTTTGAGACAATAAAATTTTTAACAACAGTGTTACAAATATCGCTTGTTAATGATCGACCATAAATGCCAATGTCTTTGACCCATTTTTATAGTGCCCCATTACCATTTTCGTGTCACTCGCAACGTTATCGACAGGTTACGCAAGAGGAAGTGAGAGAGAAAATTAAATTACAGATTCTATTGTTTTTTAACGTGTTGTTTCCATTTCGAAACATTAAAATCCTCCAATCAGTTCAGGAGTTATGATTCCTCCCATATACGCATGAAATTTTCGATCCTTCAATCCTTTAAAAAGTTATGGCGTTTTAAAGATACGCATGAATTTTCGGGGCACATTTCTGGCCACAAATTATATTTTCACGACGTTGTCGGTAACGAGTAGACTTTTTACCTTATGAACTTTCGTGACCCAATCTGACTGCCATACCGACCTCAAAATTCGGAGGTGATTTTAGCGACCTCTTCCCATGGACAGCGGTCAGTTGAGAAACTCACTGAATTGGTATGATAGGCAGCAGACTAGTTGCGTGTAAATGCATACGAGTTGAAAAGTACGAATTATTCGCGATTCCCTGTCTAGTTAAAGTGAATAATTTGCTAAAATCAGTCGATCCGCGGTTTCTATCTGAGGCATCTCGCGGGTTCGTAATACGAGCTTCGTGCGACGTCGGAGCTTCCCCCACCGCGCCGCCTAGCTCGCGAGCGTAGCCGAGCACGGCGGGCGGCCATCATTCCTACTTTGACGTCAGGACGAAGCGGTGCTCCGCGACCGAGGTACGTATTTCCAACCTGTTGATCTTCCCCCTCGTATTACTACTCGATTTTAATTACGATCTCTTGCAATACGGTTTCCATTCAATCATTACCTAATTATAATAATCATTCATGTACTTTAATGTATCGTTATCTCGTTTCTGTTACAGTCTCTTATTGGAAGTCGAAATCAAGGAATAATAAGACTTGTTGAAACCTGTCAAGACATGTCGGCGTTTCACGACCAACGAAGTATGCATTTCTAACCCTTTGCTATTCCCTCATAATCAATCATTGTTTAATTATGATTTAATTTGTATTTTATTTCTGTTGCAGTCTCTGATTGAAATTTTACGCCATGGAAAATTTCATTGGCGCGTAAAGTACACCATGACAGATGGCAGGCGAGTCGACAAATTTTGAAGGGTATCTTGGTAACGTTTAAATAATTATAATAAAAATTGACATCCATATTAATATTTATCGCTTTATTAAATTATCCGTTGCAAGCATGATTTTAATTTTATAATCGGTCATTGTTAAGATAAAGTATTAAAATAGTTAACAAACTTTCTATCTACTTCGATACATATCGAAGTACACAAAAATGGCGTCGGTAGATTCAACGATAAATTGCAATAGTTTATATTAGACTGTTTTCTGATCGCGATTAAATATTTCCGACTATTATTTATTCAATTGATTGTTTATATCTCTTTATGAATCGTTGTAATTGCAATTTGCATACATATTTCGATGCAAGTTTAAGAAAACGTAGTAACTGCGGAGTTGGAATATGCTATTCGAGCATAAATAACTAGCGAACTTTAATTCTTGCAAATTTCGGAATATTTATAAAATTTACGGGATATTCTAACGTTCGATAAAGTAAATACAATCATGCTTACAACTCTAACTATGAAACTTGGTGATATAGTATTTATAAGTTGAAATTCTCATTGATTGAGAATATTTTACATGATAAACTATGTATACAGCAGTGCTAAATAAAGCAGTGTTTCCGTTGTTAAAGTTTAGTAAGAAGGAAAAAGAAAATGAATAGGCTAAGCACAGATGTGCTTGTTTTGTTTCTTGTCTCCTGTCCCTTTTCTTTCAGCTCTTTTCTTTCCAGGAAATTTGTTGGCCGCGTGCAATGCGGCCGGTAGAGTCAGTGATTGAGCGTAGCAACAAGTTTGTTTTTCGGGGCAAAGTGACCCCAAGCACGTTATCGTTCGCGGTGTTAGGCAAACGCGAGAATAGAAGCAGTGTTTTCTCCGTAATATTAAATTACTTCCAGAGCATCGTGGCTCTTTCTGTTTTCTGAATCGCGATAGTAGAATCATTTGTTCGCCGATTTCAATCTTCGGTCGCGGTATTCTAATTTAATATTTTCCAATCAAATTAATTATTTTTTCAATTTGAAATTTAAACTCCTCGTTACCGGAATTAGAGTCAGTGCATCACTGAAGAGGATTATTCGGCGATGCTCCACGAGCAAACAATGTAGGTATAAATTTATACTTTGGAATTTTTAATTAAAAATCTTTACAGTTTTAACAATAGATTCTAATTGTTTTCTTCCATTTTTGTTACAGTCTCTGGACCTGAATCTAATCAGCAGGACCATGCTGACTGATGGATGACTGATGGATGACTTCGGGAACTTCAAGTCATCACTGGTAAGTCGCATGCTATTTTGTTTCCTCTGGTCCCCAACCATGTTGTAGGATGAAAGATCCGAATCAACACGGGTGACCAGTTGTATACTTGCTATTTTTGACGAGTTAAGTGAATAGTAACATACACTGTTATATTTTTTAGAGCAGGTTTTAGGGTCTTCTTGCACTCGCGTTTCTTAATATTACAAATGAATAGTACACATGATTATTATCAAATTTTTACAAATATACAATCTTTATAGAATATATGAAATATTTTTCTTAACTTTATACGAGTTATATGATCGAATAGAAAATGAATGAATATAATGTGAAAACATTATATTTATCGTGCGATTTAACGTGCAAGAAGGCATTTCGCGACAGGTCGATTTTTGAGTCAAAGTAACATGCATTTTATACTAATTTCATCTTTTAAAAAGTTTACTTTGACGACAAAATCGATCAAGGATAATTGAATATTTTGATTGACAATTTAATGAATTCATTTCAATTTTTAAAGTAAATTCTTTTATCGTGAAATTTCAAGTAGAGTCTTTCATTTTAAATAATTCAATTTCAATTATAATAGTTTTATTGAATAGTAGTATTTTTCAATATTATCGTATTTTATTATTCATATATTATATATAACAAGTCGAGTCATTTGAACTAAAAATTAGATACGAAATACCGTTTAGCTATTAACTAATTTTTCTAGTCAGGATTTTCAGAGTAATTTTTCCGTGTTCGTTGCCTAAGTTCATGCACATGCCCAGGTGCTATTTGCATGAGCGAAGGCAACGGGGCACGATGAATTTATTTATAACAATTCAACGACATATTGAGGACTGACATTGGCTAGTGAATCGTGCGCGACGTACTGTCCACATGTGTGTGTGTGGTTAGGTTGTGGAAGTGCGTCGTTTCAGATGTTTTATGATTGCAATTTGCATACAGAATTTTATAACATTAGATTTTTATCAATAATAATTTCAAATTTCAATTTATCATTTATTTGAATACCGTTGATCTTAATGGATTTGAATCTTAATATTTTTCAATCTTGAATGATACATACATACAATAGATTTTATTAAAGACTATATTCCATATATTGAAACGTTCTATACAAACGTTTATCTATATAATATAAGAACGCAAAGATCACTAGCCTTTGTCAGTCTCAGAAACCAGTAAGTCCACAATTAGAGTGTGAATGTTTGCAATATTCGGGTGTCGGAGGAACCCCGGGGAGTCCTCTCTAGTTTAGGTCGCGCCCGAATATTATGTGTGAGAACCGTGGAGTGTTTGTTTGTTTGATTGAGTTTTGCAATTTTTTAAATATAGGGTTAGGTAGGTAGGTAACTTTTTCTCTGGTGTGTGTGCGCTTAATCTAAGTAGGTAGGGTCAGGGCAGGACTGTCCACATTAGTAATTCGGGTAGGCGCGTTTTCGCGTGGCAGTTCTGTTCCTGTAGTTACGATTTCGAGAGTAGAAATCTTGCTGATTCAAACGGTGCATGCTGTTTGTTTCGGCTTTATTTTCGACTTCTCGAATCGCGCGACTCTTAAAGTCGCTCTCTCGCGCTCGCGGTCGTGATTAGGTCCCTTTCGAAACGTTCGTTCCCTCGAGATTCACCACGTACGCTCGACCAACAATTCGTATATTGTTGGAAGACTACGTATTGCACAAAATCTCGAGCCTTATCTTAAGTAAGTTTCAGGCATCGGCAGGACCGCCGAAGAAAGAAAAGGCTCTATATGAGCTGAAGAGGCCCTGACAAACTGTCTCAAGAGCGGGCTACAACAAATGGCTTTTCATTTTCATCCTCGGATGAGAATGGAAAGTCATTCCTGTTACTACTTTATCACTTAACTCGTCTGTAGTTGTAGTTAGTTTATTTTTCTGGCTGGCTCACGTATGCATGTACCTGATGGTACATGATTGCACCATACATGCCAGCCATCTCTCCCCATAACTCGCGCTTATGATGTACATAGAGTTGCGAATATGCAATAATCGCGTTTGCTTTTAGAGTTGCGAACTCTTATTTTTCGCGTTGCCTTTTCAGAGTAGTGTTGCGACTAAACACGATACGCGATTGGTTTTTGCAAACTTAGGTACTGAATGTTTGCTTAAAATTAGCATTGCGAATTATTGATAAACGCGATTGCTCGTAGAGTTGCGAAATACTATTTTTCGCGTTTGCTTTTCAGGGTAGTGTTGCGAACAATCACGATTCGCGTTGCTTTTTTACTCTTTTATATATATAATGGATGTCAACCGCGTTTGTAATTTTCATATTATAAATTAGCGTTGCGATCTTGATCAATCGTGCGATTTTTTATTTAGCGTTGCGATATTTTCAATGCCCAAATTCTACCCCAATTGTAGTACTAGTAGTAGTTAGTTTAGTGGCCAGTACATGTGCATGCACATGTACCAATAGCCCCTGATTAAAGTTAGAGTTGCGAATAATATACAATGTTCGCGTTTGCTCGTAGAGTTGCGAACAAATATTTATCGCGTTGATATGTTAGTGTTGCGAATAAATACGATTCGCGATTGTCTTTATGCAAACCTAGGAACCGGTCGTTTGCTTTAAAAATAGCATTGCGAATTTTTAGTAAACGCGATTGCGAATTAGAGTTGCGAATTACTATTTTTCGCGTTTGCTTTTCAGAGTAGCGTTGCGAATAATTACCATTCGCGGTTGCTTTTATTCTTACAAGTCGCGTTTGGAATTTTTCTATTATAAATTAGCGTTGCGATTGTTGATTTATCGCGTTGCTGGCCCGTAGCATTGCGATATTTAAAACGTCTAACTTCATCCTCACATGTGCCACTCTATTGTAGTTTGAAGTAGCTTGATGTAGTTAGTTTATTTTGTGCATGTATGTTCGTTGCTACAACCGAAGACGCCAGCACCTGATCCAGCATTTTTGGGCAACGCGATTTGCATTAGCGTTGCGAAACATAAATATATTTCCAATTAAAGATAGAGTTGCGAATATACAATAATCGCGTTTGCTCGTAGAGTTGCGAATTCCTATTTTTCGCGTTTCCTTTTCAGGGTAGCGTTGCGAATTCCATACGCGATTGCTTTTATCGTCATTTAAGAATAGCGTTGCGAATTAACTGATCGGTTTGCTCTTAGCGTTGCGAATTACTATTTTTCGCGTTTACTTTTCAGGGTAGTGTTGCGAATAGACACCATTCGCGGTTGCTTTTATTGTTAGAAATCGCGTTTGGAATTTTTATATTATAAATTAGCGTTGCGATCTTGACTTGTCGCGTTTTTGATTAATTAGAGTTGCGATTCAATGCCCAAATGCTGGTCAAAATGCTGGCCACTGTACCAGGATCATCGACAAGCAAGATGGGATCCTGCAAAGCCTCGAATGGCTCAACGTCATTATTAAAATTAGCGTTGCGCATGATTGAATATGGGTGCACGCGATATAATTAATAAAGGAACCCTGTGTGGTCCATTTTACGAATAACAAGCACCATTCGCGTATTGTTTTTTATTTTATAAATTAGCGTTGCGAAAGAAAGAATGGTCCACTCACGGGTTGTTTGAATTTAAGACGAGTGGACGTTTATCTGAAATATATCTTTTCATTATATATTTTTCAAAGGAAATACTGCTTAAAAGTACTGCTGTAAATAGACCAATTGTTTTAATCTTCATAACGTATTAAAATCTGTAATATATATAAATGTATTTTCATCACAGTTTTGTGATGCATTTAAAAATTCTATATTATGATTAATTTTATTGTAGATTGAATTTATGATTGCAATATATATATATCTATATCACTAATTATTCATTGTTAGAGTTGCTAATTTTTACGGGATACAATAACCGTTGCAACCCAATTGTTATTTATAAATAGTGAATTTTTTATAAATATTCCGTATTCTTTGCATAAATCAAAGTTTGCTCGCGATCATTGTTTTAATCGATGGAAAATAGAATGCTTGCATCAAAAGAGTATGCAAATTGCAATTCGATATTTCATATTGAGAGTTAATTTCCGCGCAGAATCGACATTTTCGTTCGTTATTGCTTTTTCTGCGTGAACGTAATTTAGTTTTCAGTACAGTAAAATATAATTATTGCAATGTATACGTTTTGAAAATTTTTTTATTTGATACGCGAAACGAAAAATAAAATCTACTTATCTTAACACTGAAACGAATTTAACTTTTGCATTCAATTTTACGTAATATTTATGTTTTCAAACTTTTTAATATCAATTATTACTCGTGGAAGCTTTGGTTAAAATATTAATTTCATGTCACTTTTACTATGATCGATACCATGAGTCTATCTTGACGGTATATAATTATTTTTTTCTGTGTCCATTAATACACTTTCATTTCAGCTATTAATTCTTTGAACAAGTTCTTGTTACAGAATATGTAATCATTGAAGAATGGAGTTGAAAATGGTACACGGATTCCATCTTGATTTCTCTTAGGGTAATATTTCATACAATTCTATTAATTGTCTGGGTTTATGTTTCAGGGAAACATCGTGGGATTAACCTAGGCACCAAGAAGAAAATATCTTGTCGTATTTCTTTGTTTCATGTCGGTTATAATTTATTAGTGTATGTTTTAGAAAAACATCGTGGGATTGATGAAGACACCAAGAAGAAAATATTTCCTCGTATTTCTTCATGTTTCTACAGATTGCGTTAGAATATAAGTACAAATGTATATAGATTATAAGATAAAAAAGCGTTCTCCTGCCGTTTATTAAATATTACCGAAACGTGTGCGTAAATTTAAGGGGGAATGATTAATATTAAGATACATATTAGTATTCTAATATGCAAGGTCCATACGTGCAGTTGCACATTTCTGGTTGGATCTTCAGTGTCTTCTTAGGCACTGTCATAATTAAGAAGGAACAATTAATAATAAAGTACATATTGGTACTCTAATAATCAGGATTCGTACGTGCAGTTGCACATTCCAATTTCGTTTCTAGAAAACATGTGCAGGATTATCTCACATGTATCAACATTTTGTTAGGTTTTCGATCTCTTCATCAGAGTTCGTACGTGCATTTGCACATTTCAATTTCGTTTCTAGAAAACATGTGTGTCATCTCACATGTATCGACATTTTGTTAGGTTCTTCATCTCTTCATTGGTCAGTACTTTTAAGAACTCGACCTTTGTAGCTCGTTTCTAACTTTTCGATAGCTTCTTCCTTTGTTAGGTATTCGAATTCCTCGCCAAAGGAAGGGTGGTTGGGGCGAGGCTAGGGCGGGTCTCCACTCGCAGCAACCTCCTCGTGGTGAGACCTGGGTCATATTATTTACTATGCAATTAATATTATTATTAATTACATATTAAATAATATGAGCTAATGGCTGCGTTTTCTCGTAGTTTCACACATGTTCTTCGCCCCCAAATACATTTTTGTCGAGTTAGTTTTTAAATAAATGATATATTACAATTTAAAATAAAAAAATAGAGGTTTTTCGGTGTAGTTGTCAGTGAGGTACATCCCCTTACGTATTTTAATAATCTTGATATCTTTAAATAGTCTTAATCGATTAGTTACTCCAATATAATTAATAGATCGATGCTCAATTCTGTACCGTACAGCTTTCATTCCGTTAAAAAATATTAGAATTTCATTTTCTGTCTCACTTCCACTTGTGTTCATTTCTTAATCTGTTGGTAACGTTGCGAGTGACACAGAAATGATAATGGGGTTTCGAGACCCATTACCAACAGCTTGAGAAATCAATTTTAATCCCTTCCATAGTCAACTCACATGGATTTACGTAAAACTACAGCTGTGTCTATCAATACTAATTCAGTAAATAGTTTCTCAACTGACCGCCATCCATGTGAAGAGGCTGCTAAAATCAGCTCCGAATTTTCCTGTCGGTATGGTAGTCAGATTGGGCCACGAAAGTCCATAAGGTGAAAGGTCAACTCGTAAACTTCCTCTATGAAGTATACCTGTACACGTTTCACCTTATTAACTTTCGTGGCCCTAATCTGACTACCATACCGATAGGAAAATCTTTCGGCGAAATTAAAAAATTTCAAATCATTCTAGAGAAATTATTTTAGCGCCGAGGTCTTATTTTTTTTTTGCATTGGTAACGTTGCATGGTAAAGGAGCTATACGTAGCCTCCCGAGCTATATGACAGGAAAATGCATTAAATGACAGGTATTTTATACCTTGTTTGTGGTAAATGTCAGGGAACGGAAGGGAAGATTAACAAAATTAGGTCTATTATTTATTCCTCGTGTGAATAGATATATTTTCGTGGGTATAGGGATCTTAAAGCACTTGTGAGAATGCGTTACTGTTGGTAGCCCTCTAGTAGGTGAACTCGAAAAAAGCCTCCGCACGCGACAGATAAACCTTAACGCGCTTCGAGTTGCTACCCAGTATTGAACTCCGTATCACAAGTCACGGTTATATCAGGAGTTTGTTGTTCCTTCGCTCCGTGTGTTGTATGTGTTTATATTGGTTTTTTGAGTAAAACCCACTGAATTTTCATAATGAGCGCCGAGGAAGAAGTACTTCGGATTCAAAAGAAATTACACAAGATGTCGAGCGGCGACGGGACGGTGAGTAAGTGAGTAAAATAAAGATAGTTGTGTATCGCTCGGCACATTCAGAGTTGCTCACCAAGAACGAAGCTCTTTTTCAAGTTGAAACAGAATTGCCGCGATATCGTCTAAACGCGCATCGTGTACGAACATATTATCGTTAAAAAGTTTTGTTTAAAACAATAATATTCTTTTATATGATTTTATGTGTATACTTGGTGTTTGCATTATCTAAGGTACTCAACGTATTGTAGAGCTTAAATATCTAGTATTCTAATTTTAACGTCTTAATGAAATTTTGCAAAGGTTAAATCAGGTTCTCGTTTTAAAATTACACATTGCATATTCTGTTACCATTTTAAAAATGTCCTATGTATTTAAATTGTTTAGATAAAATTGTCCATTATCAGTGCAAATTGTATTGCTGAACAAAGTTAACTGTACACATTTTGTAGATAAAAGCATATAGTAAAAATATGTTAAATTACGTAATAAACAACTATAAACTGAAATTAAATAGTTTTATTTAATATCAAATGACAAAATAATTTTATTCCAGGGTCAGGAACAAGCATTGGAACTACTTAAAATATTACAAAAGTTACCTGTTGACTTAGAACTTTTGACTAAAACGCGTATCGGTATGACTGTTAATGCATTAAGAAAATCAAGCAAAGACGAGGAAGTTATATCGTTGTCCAAAACTCTTATAAAAAATTGGAAGAAATTTTTATCTGGTAAGGAAATAGATTCGGTGAGATAAAAATGATCGACTGAATTGAAATTATATATTTATATATATATTTTCATTTAGGATCAAATAAAGAGAAGGATTCTACTTCCTCGAGTAGTTCGAAAAAGAGGGAGGACAAATCAGAGAAAAATAAAGATGACGGGGATCAAAAGAAAGATAAAGATAATATGGATGGTAGCGATGTTAAAATGAAAGAAGAGAAACCTCATAAAGATTTTCAAAGAAAACAATCTACATTCCCTGCTCCTACTACAACAGATGCTGTTAGGCTTAAATGTAGAGAACTTTTAGTATCGGCTTTAAGAGTGGATGGAAACGCTATGGAGGGTTGCGCCAGTCCGGAGGAATTGGCCGAAGAATTGGAAGAGGCAATTTATGCGGAATTTAAAAATACAGATAACAGATACAAAAACAGGGTAAAAAAAATTGTTAACTTTCGTGTATTTTTTGGTATTCCGGCGTAAATGCGTGATGTAATTTTCCACACGTCTTGTTTAATTCTCTAGGTGCGTAGTCGGGTTGCTAATTTACGGGATGCTAAAAATCCGACTCTACGAACTAATTTCATTGCCGGTGCTATAACGCCAGCCAGACTTGCCGTTATGACTGCCGAAGAAATGGCTAGTGACGAGATAAAACAGTTAAGAGAACAATTTAAAAAGGAGGCAATCAATGATGCACAGCTTGCCACAGTTCAGGGAACGAAAACCGATTTGTTGAAATGTGGCAAATGCAAAAAACGCAATTGCACTTACAACCAAGTACAAACGCGTTCGGCCGACGAACCTATGACTACATTTGTGTTGTGCAACGAATGTGGAAATCGATGGAAATTTTGCTAAATATCTCACCTCACAGTTTTGCCCGATCACCATGAAGGGGAAAATGGATTTCATTCAAGACCTGCCTATTTATCAACACATGTTAGACTTAACGAGACATCATGAAAAAAAAAATATACCATATGCAATTTTCGAGTCACAGACTGTACATTGTTCGCTTAAATGATCTTTTTAATCTCTTCACAAGTTTTAAAGAACTCTGTTTCCATTCAATTGTATATACTGGAATTGTAATTTACTAGGCCTGAACATTTTAGAATGTACATCAAATCTAATGGACAATTTGATAAGTTAGATGGGACGAGCAAGAAATACTTTCGAGTATATTAACGCAGCATCTATTTAAAACTCCGTGTACGAATGATATTAAAATGAAAATAACGTTTCTTTTTTTCCATTGTACAAGTTTACATGTCTTATCTGTGGAAGAGTTCTGAATTGTGGGTACAGATCTGAAATACATGTATGTAATTACAACGTAGTATTTTTGCAACCCTTTGCGATGTTATAAATAGGAAAATTCATTTTTAGGCATGAACATAGTACATTGTAGTTATAGAACTTTATTTTTTGTTCCGTTAAATTTATCTTACGTAACGAATTAACGACAGCAGTTCTGTATAAAACTTAAAATCGATTGAAAAGTATATTCCATTCGATACTATCGCAGAATAATTTCGTTTGAAACTTTTTATCGATTTTATTCCGAATTCGATACTTTTTGGGATTCACCGTGCGATGCCGCCACTGCAACTTATGTGTGTCTGACAATTTAGACTTTACGGGGGTTTACGTACTTTGGGCGTATACATTAATTTCTAACCTAACATCAATCAGTGTCACTTGTGTTACTCAACTTTCATGCATTACATTGTTTTGAGCGTTTCGCAAATTATATATGATTTGTTAGTAACGTTATGTAGGGAAATGGAGTTACGTTATTCCACGTGCATTAAATGACAACGTACGAATATATATAGTTAAAGCTGTTCGTCATAATGTAACATTAAAATGAAGTAATAGAAGATTCGATGGATATCCACAGCAGCATAAGTTAATATTCTTTGTTGACGGCAAATAATTCCGAAAGAAATTTTATTGGGGGGCACAAAAGGTACATTATCAAAGCACAAATTCACATAGAAAGTGAATGTTTTTCGTTCTTCAATATGTGCGAAGACGCCCGCATTAAAGAGCAATGGCAACTTTTACAATGTCTTCGAACTACTGTAGAGTGTTTATTAGTCGATGGTGTTTTGAACGTATGGAATGTTTACGGTGGTTTAAATCGCCTTCACAATGTAATGGAACGGATATTCAAACATGGCTGTCGAATATTTAATCGAAATGTAAGACATAATTATTATTCGTATATCTTTAATTGCGCAAATTGCATATCGTAAAATAAATTCATTTACATCGATAACGATAATTGATATTGTTTGTACATAGCTTTGTATTATATACGAATGTAAATTTTACAATATAAGACATTCTATCACATTATAAATGTTTCATTACATTGTTGGTAATGTTTTGTTTCTGTTCTTATTGAATTTGTTATTTACGTTTTTATACGTGAAGTTATTAACTAATTTAATGATGTAATGAACATTTTAATAGAATATTGATAGTAGTAAACAAATATTAATATTTTTTAAAAGGGAGAACCAGATTGTTGGATCTTCATTCAAGGATTAAACTGGCTACAACCCTCTTTAGCAGTATCCCCCGTTTTATCAGAAGTTGAAGATTATCTGTCAAATTTACCAGCAAGAATAACATCGCAAAAAGACATGTTATGGCTGTATAAAAGGTATACAAATCAATTTATTATTTAACATTTAAGTTTTTGGAAAACTTTGATACAGCCAAAATTTTTTTAATGATTCCTTTCAACATTTCTGGAATGTTGTGATTTTTAAGGGTGTATGGGGTCTTGAAAATATTCGGGATTCCCGGAAATCATCCGGAATTCTTGCGGATGTTCGGAATACCGGAAGTGTCGTGTTTCCTCCATGTTTTGCAATTCAAAAAACTAGATAAATTAACATTTTCGATATAAACATATTAAAAATTGAAAATCCAAAATTAGTGGTAAAAATTACGATGTACAAAATTTACTTCGGGACACGTTGGCCAATTTACCATTAAATGTCTATTTAGGAATATTTACCAATTCTAAGATTCTTCAAATTATTGGAAATAACAAAAAAACCTGAAAATATCGGGAGCTACTGATTTTTCGAGAATTCCGGATATTCTTGGGATTCCCAACATAATAACTATTACATATGTTTGGGATTATTAATTTGAATTGGAATTTAGTAGCTGATTTTCACTTTTAACAACAAATCTTTCCATTCACAAAATTATTACATCGAATTATATAAAAGAAATTTAAAAAAAAAATTATTTTTCAATGGTTGGCCAGATTGGCTAAATAGTTAAAAATATTAATTTTAGTTGAAATTATTATGTATTTAAATGTACATAACATTATAATGTAGCTTGGAGAGTCATTCTTTGTCACATAAGCTTTCCTGGCTTTTGTCTGATAAGGAACACTTACTTTCTTGTTTTGAACAATGGGCATTTTTGTGCCAAGAAAATTTAGCCGAAGCCACATTATTATGTTTAAGAGCAGTCGAACGAAATCAGCCTGTACTGCTTACAGAAATTGATCCATCTTTGGTAAGTTATTTAGATGAAGTTACATTTAATCTGTAGTTTCGTTTAAATCTTTCATCCAGGTATTTTCGCTTTTAGTTTTTACCCTGTTGGGTTTCTCCTAAAATAAGTCCCAGACGGCATCAGCGATCTTCGTCGTATCCGATTAATTTTCCTACCACAAATTTCAACATGGCTAGAGATAGAAGTATGCATGTTGAGAAATGTCAATTAGAATCGTTAAGAATATCATCAGATAATACAACCGTTCAACATAATGATATTAAATCCGAAGAAAATCATGATAAAATAAATTTTAAAGAAGTTAACGATATACCTTTAAAGACTTGGAATAGCCTTTCTACATTGACTAAAAATTGTAAAATTCCAGGAACAAATTCACCTGCTTCTTCATTGACAGTTGCAGACACTAGCTCAAACAAAAGTAGCGATTCTCAAATCTGTCCGGTTGAATTATCAAAAATAATTAACGTAGATTACACCGATGTAAAACAGCCTATGCCTGCAGCTGTGGATAGCACATCATTGACAAGGCCAAGAACTCCCTCAAGAAAAATAAAACACAAAGTTAAAACTAAACAGAATCAAATTAATAAGAAATTCAGTGATTCATTAAGTAATGAAGGCTCGTTAGGAGATACTGTAAGAAAATATAGTATTCCATCTCTCATATCAAATGAAAGTAATATAAACAGATCTGTGACAGATTCTGCGAAAATCAAGGCATCTCAAAAACCAAGAAAAAAATCTTCTTTTTTGTCAGGATCAGCACCTGAATTCAGTGGTTCGTGGAGCTTAGAGATTGAGGGTCAGAAAGATATTAGAACGCCGAAAAAAAGTTTTATGGAAGATGGAGGAAGTAGTGTTCAGCCTATGGCGATCGGATATTTTCCGCGTCCAATAAAGGGTCAAAGCTTGACGAGCTTTTTAGCCTCCGCACAATTTTCGAGAACAAATGCCGAATTGGACAGAGAGAACGCGCACTTCAGCGTCTCCGAAGCCATGATTGCTGCTATCGAACAAGTAAAGTGTAACAAACAGTGGTGCCTCGTGGAAGAAGCAGTCGAGGAGAGCGACGAAGAAATAAATAATTTAAAGCAAAGAATAAGGTTGAGACGCCGTCAGCGGCAAGAGGAGCGATGCAAAGGGAAAACGTGGAATCGTGATTTATTGAGCGATGGGAAAACGGACACAACTACTACCGATCAAAGTGTTAGCCCTTTGTCTACTTCATCCGATACACCATCTGAGAATATTTCTACGGATGATGTGGAGGATCTGGAAGTAGAGGATGAGCGAAACGCGCTAAAGCTGAGGAATGCTGGGATATCTATATCTATGGCGTATTTGTACTCTGATGCAGATTTGTTTCAATCGTCTCTTGTGCATGGAACAGAGTTGACGTTGACTGAGAGCAGTATGTCCGCGGAAGGTGTGGCTCTGTCACTTATCAGCAGGTTTAGCGAAAAACAATTACCAAGGGCAAGCGAATTGCAGTGGCTTGTTTCCGAAAAGGAGGCACCACAGAGCTTGTTACCAATGCCAAAAAGCTGGCCAATTAACCCAGACGAAGCTGAACAGCCAATTCCGCTGCGCGGAACTATAGAATGGGCTCCGCCAAGACCTCAAATTATTTTCACATTACATCCACCACCCGCGTAAGTTCACAAATTTAACCGATATCACAAGTGGTACATAGATGAGTACTTGATTAAACGTGATTAAATCTGTACATTTAGACGGAGAACTCTCATAGCTAAACAGAATTATAGGTGTGCCGGATGTGGAATGAAAGTAGCTGTAAAATATGCAAATAAATTTCGCTATTGCGAATATTTAGGCAGATATTTCTGCACTGGTTGTCACACCAATCAAGTGACGTTAATACCAGGAAAGATTTTATCTAAATGGGATTTCAACAGGTATAAATACTCCAATAAACGTGCATTGCACATGGAGTGCAATATGGTCGTTCTAATTCTTTGCTGTTCTTTCGTTTAGATATCCCGTGTCAAATTTTTCGTACAGATTGTTAGATCAAATGATGTTAGACCCGTTGTTTCAAGTGAATGATTTAAATCCGCTACTTTACAGGCGCATCAAACAGTTAGATAGAACGAGATTATTACGAACACAGTTATTTTTCTTTAAAGACTTTTTATTTACGTGCCGTTTTGCATCAAGGTATGAATTTAAATGTTTTTTAAATGTTCGTAACTGTATTTTAAGTGAACCTTATTCAAAGTCAATTTAATCCCCCTTCATCGTGAATGATCTTCAATTTTTGCACATTCGTAGATCTACATAATCGTTATCAGTGTTCCCTCGAAGACAATAAAAAAATCGTGATAATTTTTAGAGTTATTCTAGAGAAAATCGATCTATCTTCTATTGCTCGACTCTATAGATTTAGATTTAGGAAAAAATGTGCACAATTTGAATCGAATCAACGAAGAAGGGGGATTCCCGCGATTTCGAATAAGGACCTCCATTTTTGCATTTCTAGCGTCCAAGAAGTGTTGAAAAAGGAATCAAATTATATAATAAGCGATCCTCATGTGTATTCTATTCAAGATTTGATACACGTTAAGTATGGCATTCTACCTGTAAAATTGCAAGAATTAGTTCAAGTATGCAACATGCATATTATAGGCTGTGAGGTAATATGCTAATGACGTGTCTACGTATATCTGTCTATACGTTTAATAAAAGTAGATTTTTGTTTATTTTAGTTGTGTCAAGCTAGGGGATTTGTATGCGAGTTGTGTTATTCCAAAGACGTTATATTTCCATGGGAATTGTCGAAAGTTAGTAGGTGCGAAATGTGTGGTGCATGTTTTCACAATGAGTGCAAGCAAAAGTTTAACAAAGCAGACTGCCGACGTTGTATTCGTATACACGATAGACGAATTTCTAGAGAGGAAACATTTTGACACACGGTGAATTTATCGCATATTACATGCATGTTCATAGAAATCGAATTCGTGCTCTGAAGGATGGGAAACGTGACGTAAGTCGTTGATATCGAAAAATCTATATTTTTTAGAACTTTAGATATATTTGTTTCTACAATATTTATTGTATTCAGCCTAAAATTTGTAGCATATTTAAACACTAATCAGAGATCTGTATATTGTATTTATATGAGTGAACAGATTATATTCTTTTAATTTGGAAATTTAATATATTTATTGATTCCTCAAGTCTGAAACATTCAATTGCTTGGAATAATCTCAGAAAATGAAAAATTAATTTATTGCAACCGTATGAATTTCAAACGTAGAAAAGACTGAACAAATGTGATATTTAAAAAAATGTATATGTTTATTGCTAAAGTACTCCTTAATCATGTCTTTTGTAAGTAACACGTAATCGTTCGTTTAATATTACGTACATTGTTACTATAGAAAAGAAGATGGTAGAAATAAATTATATACTTGTAAATCGTGTATTTAACAGTATAATTTATTTAAATATTTAAAAGAATAAATTACATCTATGAATTAGAATGTCGTGCGTATTTTGAATTTAATTTTTGTTTTACTAATAATGAATTTTAATTCGATACATTTTTTTAGATTAATGATTAGAATGTATAAAATTATTGCATGCCATAAATGTTGAATGTAAAATGACAATAACATTTGAGTACAACAGGCCAGCCAAGTATTACCTTTGCACTAAAAATGCATTATAATATAGTCGTGACTATAGTACCTGGTTTTCATCATAATTAAAAGTATGTATTGTTTATTTATAAAAATTGTTAATGCAATCGAAGTTTATAATAAAATGTTCTGAAAACCTTTATACTTTCGTGTTTTAAAATCATTGATTTGTGTGCATTAATAGGTGCAATACGTCTTTTTACTTATGAAATATCTTTTTAATTTAGGAACATTAAATTTCAATTAATGAACAAAGACATATCATATACGGAGGATTTAAAATCACTTTTTGATTTTATTAAATTACATTTCGTTTACAATGGTTCACATACACACGACTTACAAAAAAATAGGTAATACTACATTCACTGATAGTAAAAAAAATATATTATGACATTATATACACCAACTAATTTCAATAAGTCTTAAAACTGTAGTCTTATTCGTATGATTTCCATTATAAATAAATCGCTTTAAATTTGTCCTACTGATTTTTAGAAATATGTACACATCGACAACTGTTATCAGTATGTACAACTATCCGCTCAATCTGATATATATATATTTAATTTTTTTTTATAAAAGTTCTAGACGTTCTAACGTAACTTGTTTGTTAGCGTATAAATTGCATAAATATTATGTGAGAAATTTTTTACGCATTCGATTGTTCGAAGTTTGGAATATATTTATAATTACAGGTTCTTGGTAAAAAAAACCTATGTCATGTTTATTAATAATCACAACTGTATAGTAACTATGGCATGAGTTGGGTCTGAAAAATGGATGTGCCATTGTAATCAGATTATATACATAACGAATTGATTAGAGACAACGAATCAAATTTTTTATAGAATAGAAAGTTTTGTGTTACCGATTTTCATTGTTTAAATCCATTAGTTTCATGCAGTTTGTTGATGTAAATTAATTTCTCAAGTTTTCTCGTTCGTACGACGAAGGGAAACGATTTTTTTTTTTTTTTTCTAATCCGGTAATTTTATACTGCGTGATAAGAAAAAAAAGTTATCGTACTCGCTGGCACCTAATGTAAATATCTTAGGGGCATACAGATTATCATCAGTCTATAAAGTGCAACAACAATGCATAACAATACGCCACACTCTTCTCACGGCTTATTAATTAAAACACAGAAATGCCGCATAATTTTTAATTCATTCATATATGTATGTACGTACTAATTCAATCTATGGCAATAAGATTCTACCATAGTATTGTATATGTATATATATATATATAGCAATAAAAAAAAAGAGAGCAAAGATTAATCTCAATCTTTTCATGCATTAAAAAAAAAAAAGTTTTGGATACACCAATGTCTTATAAGAATTATTGTGGAGTATAAAAGCGTGGCGTCAAAATAAATTTTTCAACAAAAAAAAAAAAAAAAATTAAAATAACTTATAAATACTGGGTTCGTAGAATAGTATAGTGATTATCAATATTGTATAAATAACTAGAAAAAAAAAGCAAAAAAAATTCCAGCATTTTATCGTCCTTTTGAATTGTGTATAATGTTCGAACTGAGCTGCAGTCATTTGATTTCATATGCTTTATGGCTAATCGATAATTAAAATTTTTCATTATTAAAGAAATTAAGATCATTGTGGTTTACATTTTAACGCTCGGCGACCATCTTAATTATTATAAATTTCATTATAGGTTACTTAACAATAATCAGGCATCCTATATATTATTGTCAACCATGTTTTCTAATACCTATGTTCTTAAATTATTTATATATCTAAAGTATCTTTTAATGGCAGCTTTGCTACTTCGAAGAATATTCTAAAATATACGAAAATATTTGTGAAATCTCTGCAAACTGCTTATCGCTACATAAATATAATTTTAAATAAGATGATATGTTTTTTAGACTTACTTATGGCTGTATTTGTTGCGTACGGTAGTCAGAGCTTCCTTGTGCTTCCGATGTAATCCTTGGTTTAAAACATTTATAATATCTCTTATGTCATCGACTTTGTAACCACTATAATATTCTAAGGTCGGTGTCCATCCCCCTAGATCTTTCATTTGCAATGCTAGAAGGAGCGCAGCGGCGGCAATTTTACTATCACTAAACATTATCGTCGTATAATCCATCAAAGAATACTCCAAAATATATCTGGCTAAAGTTAACGTCGGCATCGAAACTTTTGCGCACTGTTCAAAAATAATATATTATAATACGATATAATATAATAAAAAAAAAAACATAAAAGAAATTATCGGCGAAACGTACCCTAGCGTATCGTCTAAGAAACCTATAAGATAGAGGTATACCAAGATCGAAATCGACTACTTTTAAAACACTCATTTCCATCCTAATTAATTCTCTTTGCGTGTAAGCGCCATCACATATATACAAAAAATCTTCTATCATCGGAGGTATTCTTTCCTACAGAAATCGTAATAATATTGAACAAAGAGAGTCCTGTTACATGTAGGAAATAATGGTAATTTTGATACTAACATCATATTTACTTGCTATAAATAGGCTTGCAGCACCTAACAATTGTAATGTTTCTTTTCCAACTGTTACTTTTGTCAAGTATAAGTCAACTAGTTTCACAGCTAGATACAAAGTTTCGTGATTCAATTCAAAAGATTCTTGAACCTCTACCATCCAGTCGATTAGTAGGGCCCTCATCCACTGTGATAGGCATACTTGTTTCTCCATGTAGTTTCCAACAAGAAAAAAACGTTCTCGATCCTTTAAATAATTGAAAATATCCATTGCATAGTGAGAGATCTGAAACGGATCCAACCAATTCTCCACATCGAAATCCCATTGAACTCCCTCGGGCAATATTCTCTCAGGCGCGGCATTCAAACGGGCAGCAATCGATTTCTCTTCAACTTTCGTAGACACCGAAGGTTCGCTAGTTTCATTTTTACTCTCCGTTTTTTCAGTTTCCTCGGACTGCAAACGTTCATTAAAATATTTAAGAAGTACATACAAAGATATCGATGTAACAAAATACGCCATAACATTAAAAATTGCTCACCTGAATATTGCCGCTCCGAGATTTCTTTTCACCGTCATCTACCACATCCTCTAACGCGCTTACATATAAAGAGCTATCCTCTGATTTTTCTAAGTCTAAACTACGTCTTATACATACAATTTTACTAGGCATTTCGATTTTCTCGTCATCTTTTTTTACTGGTTTCGCGCGCAGCGTTGTCGGCTTTGGTTTTGTAGGTACGACCTCGAGTTTCGACGAAGGTTTGTCAAGCGTTCTAACAGAACTTGTCTGAACGAAGGGTTTTACCTGAGTGACGACTGCTTTTTTAATACCTTTCTTTGGTTCATGTGAATGTGTCCCCAATGTCTTCCCAATGGCCTGTTGTTACACAAGACATTAAAATCATTATGAAAACAATTTTACAGAAGAGAAATGCTCAAGCAACACATACATTAGTAATATTCCCTAATGCAGATCTCTTTGTTGTTTTTTCCTTCGGCGGGGATGCCTCGGCCTTTCTTTTAAAACGGGGATCCTTCCCAGGAATGGGCTGTTTAAGTAATACATTACTTATTACTGAATTTTGGCTTCTTGTTGTTATTCCTTTCTTCTTAGTCGCATTGGTATTACTCTGTTGTTTGTTTTGTGCATTTAGAACTTTTGGTGGTGCCATACTCATAAATGATTAAAATTACAAAATTCTGGTGTTCCCCTAGACAAGGAGAAAAGTGAAGATACTTTTAATTTCACTGAAAACATCAATGATAATAAATGTGCACCCATAATCAGTCAAAAGACAATATCAATTATGGGATGACCTATTGTAACATGTATATATATGCTACTGATGAAAAATTCATATCACCTGAAAATAGAATTTCAATAATGAATTGTAACACTCGAGGGATTAATATTGCACTGTAAATTAAAAACATATGAACAGTAAAATGATCTTTAAAGCCCAACAAAATAAATCTCTGAAATTAATCAAAATTTTCTTAAAGTATTAATGATTATAAATATTAGTAGTATTATTTTTGTAACGAATATACAATTTTACACCCGTATGTCGTGTATACGTGGCCGCTTTAACAACGACGAAGACGATTCTTCGGGGTTAATATTTCAATAAAGTTTGGTAATTTTTTCCCAGTCAGGGGAATCTTATTAAGCGCCGTTAAACGGTCGATCGAATCGCCAGAAAATCGAGAGCACTTTCTGTGATAAATCGAACAAATTTACCTTTTTTCTTTGTGCATGAATCTACTCGTCGGCTCGATTCATGACACGATACACAGTCGCAGGGAAAAAACGCGGGAACCTGAGTCAAGGACACGTTAAAAGAAACACGAAAACACGTTTTTTCGCAAACGTTAGAAACCATCGATACAATCGTTAAAAGTAAATTTGTGGACACGGGGAAATAACAAAATAGTTTGGATTCAGAAATTGTTTCGTTGCTATCATGAAGTCAATTGCAGAAGCAACCTAAAATGCTCACTGATTTATTCTGATCGTGGTATCGAATATTAGTATGAAAATCCGTATTTTTCGTCGTCAGAGAGCTATTGTGACTTACCTGCAGTAGTTGATAGCTATTCTTTTTGCTCTGGTACGTTGAGATTTCTCATTTATGGAATTCTTATGCCACTAGTACGTTACTACAATTTCCTTTTGGGCCATCCAGAGCAACTGAAGTTGACGCTGGTTCAAAATATCACAGTTACTATTAGTGCCACCTCTGATTGGCCCGTTCCAATTTGTGAACGCCAATAAAAAGCTTGGAAAGATTTTCGTCTGCCACCTATCGACGAAATTTTTAATCAAGCATCGCTCCGTTTATTCAAAACGTTTTTATAACAATTTATATGATTTATGACAATTATTTTGTGCGTGCATTAAACCTAAGAATATTATTTATAAATGCACAGTATCAAATTCTGGACCAAAATTATCAAGTCGATCAACTTGCTCAACTAATCTACAAAATGAGATAAAACGTAATATAATTGTACATTAGGTTTATGTTTCTCGAAATTACCATGTAACGCACATGATACAAAAAATTGTTCGCAATTTGATTCGTTCAATTTCATAATTATAACGTTTATAAGTAATTGCGTATGGCAAGCACTTAACATTTTGAATAAACAATTAACCTTTGATCTGTATTTAGTCATTCATTAAAAACCGAAAGGCTAGCTTAAAAGTTGAGACGGAAAGTTAGGCGAGCAGCCTGCATTACAATAAAAATTTTCGCGGAAAGTGTTTTGATTCGTCGGTGTTCGTTAACCTAACTAAACATATTTGTTCACATATTGCGAGAGTTTATCACGTAGCGAATATTTTATTCTAAATTCTCTTCGTACGCGTGTGTAGCCGTGTATTGCAATCCAAGTTTCGGTTTCATTTGTTTGTAAAAACGTGTAAACAATTGAGAATGCAGAGCGAACGTCTAGTAGTCAAGTATGTAACAGTGAACAATTGTTTTGTTTATTTGCCGGACACCTGGATACGCAAATTAGAAACTAAGGTTGGTGCTAATGTAATGTTTCACGTAATTCGGTGCACGTATATCGTAAAACAGGTATTACATTACAATGCATAGATAGAAAATCGGGGGCATCAGCTGTCTACAACTTATTGCAGACCCAGTGATATCATAATATCCCGCCAGATGTCTTTTTTAACGTATACATTTCACCATAGATGATGTGCATAACAGATTGACCACTCGATGGAAGCTGGTTTCACACGAATTGAAAATATTAATAATTTTGGAACGATTGTTTAAGAACAGTGACTGTAAATTATATTTAATCGAACTAGAAAAATCGACAAAATCAGAGAATGCAGAAAATCTCTCAATGCCATTGGACGATACCTTATCTTTAACAAACCCATATTTATTTTTATAGGTTATGTCTTGCGCTGCTAAATAACAAAATTTCCTTTTCCATAATTATTCGAACAAAGTAAAAATTAGATAAGACCATAAAACTCGACAATCGAGAATGACCTTTTTTTCTATTCGCTGTCCCTTTCTACGTTCAACAGTCGCCTAGGGCTGTTTCTATAATTAGAATTGACCCATAAGTGGTTGGAGTCCCAATTTTTTATTTGTTTCTCAATTGTTGATTTAATTTTTGTTTACTTTGAAAATGTTTAGTTTTAATTTCGGACGGTAGGAGTGCAGAGGTCGTATTTTAGCTTGAATCGATAATGCAGGTAGTGGCACACATGATAAAGCGTTACTACCTTACCGACAGTGTTTTCAATATCTTCTTTACCTTCGGTCGGTATAATTATTTTTTTTGTACTTCCCCGTAATCTCTCTCAATTACAGGAGAATGTAATTGTAATCGAGCACAAAAATAAAACGTATTACACGTCCTGCAACGCAGGGATAAATCCCACCGATACATTATGCCTTGGCACCACGTTCGCCAGAAGTCTGAATATCAACGAAGGGGACGAAGTATTCGTGTCTTCAGTGAAAGATGTACCGCTCGTAACGCGAGTCAACGTTGTACCCCGAACTTCAGACGACAGGGAAATTCTAGTAAGATTCATTTTTCGAGTAACAATTGCTTTGCAAAGTTCAAGTTTCTTTCAATTGTTTTGAACTTGTCTAATTCAAACGGGGACCATTTTGCAGGAAGTACAAATGGAAAAGGTGCAGTCAACCCTGCTCAATCAAATTCGCGTGGTGGCGATAGGGCAACCGATCGTTGCATGGGTATCTAAGCACTCCTCTGTGACATTTGTCGTAGGCAAGTGAGAATATGGAGTCTTGGAATGCACCAGCCTGTTCAAGACTAATAGAAAATAGATTAAAAATTATTGCTTCTTTCTAAGCAGACTTTCTTTTCCCCTCAGAATCGTTGGAGCCAAGTTTGGGGTACGGAAGGCTCGAGCAGTTCACAGAGGTGCACGTGGGGGAGGCAGTAGCGAGAACAGAGACAGAGATCTCGACGAAAGACAGCAAACAGTTCCCAAGTATCGTAGAAAATTTGCAAAACGCTTTCAGAAAGTTCCTGCCACTTGAGGCGCAAGAAGACAAAGCCAGGAACTACGAACTGCTGCAGAGCTTTCGAAAAAGGAAGAAACCAGCTATATATCGCGTTCATCCAATGCCAAAGATCACTGCAGTTGACGAGATCGCTCGTTGTCCGTATCACGTGTTCGTGCCTAGGAGCCAGGCGCCAAAGTTTGCAAATGATTTCGCGATCTGCGGCGCTAGGCAGGTGCCAGAGGCTAAACAACACGTGGACACGACCAACACTAGCTTTCTGGTGACGGATGAATCCTCTGTGCCAAAGTTAGCCTCTCAATTGACCGTCAGACTGTTCATCCTCGAGGATCTGTTAGAAAGATCCTCCAATTTGGACAGAAGCTACTTCAACGTTAGCTCGCTTTACAGAAGCGTCTACGTGTCGGACAGTCTGAGGATCAGTTTGGGGTTGAAAGTAGGAGGAAAGATGAGTCTCTGGCAGCTGGAAGCTTCTCAGGAAGTTGTTCCATCTGCCATCGAACTGTTTTCGTGGAGGGACCCGGTGTCCATAGAAAGCTTCGAGAGTTATGTCAAAACGTGTACGACTCGGGGGCTGCTGATCAATTCTTGCGCTGTTCTCGTTCTGGACGATGGCAGTCGGTGCGTGGTGAAAATTTCCCCGGAAAATTGCACGATGGCCACGGTAGACGAGGCCATTTTGAGGAGATTACGGGTACACTCGATATCGGTGAACGAGATGAGCCATCTGCGAATGCCTGATTGGTTGGATCGGGAGGTTCCTCGGCTGGGGAAGGTTTCCATAAGGTAGTAATCGAAGATGGTCTTAACATTCTATCAGGCCCAAAATAATCTTCCAAAAATTTTTAATCCCCCTTATTTAATTAAAAATAAGATGAACATTTCTACTGTTGACGTGACAACGATGGGTTGCATTTTCCAGACACTTGAAAAACATTTTGTCGGAATGCCAACTTTCTCTCGATCTAAGTCTAGGCCTGCGTACTCAATTGGGCTTTGAATACGATCGAGAGAACATTTTAATTTCTGGGGATGTTGGTTCAGGGAAATCGACCATCTGCAAGATACTCGTTCAGTTTCTGCAAAATGCACCGTATTTCGTGCATACACACGTGATCGATTGTAAATCGTTGAAAGGTGATTGCATTAACATCGACACCTACTAGGTGTACTATTTTAATTACGAAAGTTTCCATTAGGGAAAAAGGCTGAGATGTTCCAAAAGATTCTGACGACAGTGCTGACCGAGTGTGCCTACTACGAGCCTTCTATATTGTTTCTGGATGATCTAGAATCGATCACGAACGCGTCGACGAACGACGAAGAGAATACTCCGGACGCTATAAATGCTTCCAGGTATTATTCGTATTTGCATTGTTTTTATGTGAAAAGATTGGGAACCGTGTGAGTTCTCTGTCGCCAGGATCACGGATTTGCTGGTTAACACGGTGAAGCAGTATCAGGGGACTCATTACGTGTCAGTCGTCGCGACGTGTGCTGGCGTTAACAAGATTGGCCAGAAATTAAGGCCAGCCAGAGGATTTAATTTCTTCAAGACACTTTTATCGATCCGGAATCTTGAGAAGGTATTTAAGGAATTATAGCGGGGGCCTCTATGGTTGCGAGCAAACGAGGTTGAATTGTTGTGCAAGTATCGAGGTTCGTGCAATTATCGAAGCAACTGACCCAATAAAAAGCTCTGAGACATATCTACAAATATCACTGTTAATAATCACTCTTTGTAGAAATATTTGACGTTATTTTGCAGCCAATAAAAGGCTCTACTTAGACATATCTACAAATATCACTGTTAATAATCACTCTTTGTAGAGATGCTTGAAATTATTTTGCAGCCATTGAAAAATTATTCTCAAGTTTGAAATAAATTTAAGAAATTATTTATACAGTTTCTTGATCGAAATCTCGGTGTTTTACATTTTTTTTGCCAATTGAAAATAGTGTTTTTGGTTGCGTTAATTGGTCCCTAGAAGCAAGTGTCTTTCCTCGCGAAACGTAGCAGAGAATATTTCGTGTTCTAACGCCAGGTGACTCACCCCACTTGGACTCAGACTGGCTGAGACTGTTAGGAAACCATCGAGCGAACTATTAGACTGATTAGGGTATCGCAACGCGTCTGCGTTATTGTACGATTTCTGTTTATCGGTGTAACCCGTGCTCTCTAATCAGGTGGACAGAATCGATATTTTGCAATTAATGCTCGGGGACAAGTTGTACGTGCCTGGAGACGTGAATTGGGATTACTATGGAAACAAGACTGAGGGATGGATGGTGCAGGATTTGATTGATATGGCGGAGAAAGCTGCGTTCGCCGCCTGGAAGCGTCACGGTAACAAAATTTCTTGCAATCGCCTTCAATTTATTGTTATTAAACATTTTAGTCGAGTATTGTTACAAAGATTACCATTACCATTACCATTACTATTACCAAAAACGAAGCCCCATCCAACATTTTTGCAAAGGAAATTGTTGTTCAGAATCGTGTCAACTACCCCCCATTTCCGGTTTTTACACTATTTACGGGGCTGTATATATTATATATTACCATATTACCATTTCCAAATATTCAGAATCTTCTGCTATCTTATTTTCATCTTTTATATAATTCCTCTCAATTCTGAAGTTACATATTCATTTTCTATATTATTTAGTGTCAGCTACCCCCCATTTTCGGTTCTTACACTATTTATGGGACACTCTGTATATATTACATATTACCATATTGCCATTTCCAAATATTCAGAATCTTCAGCTACCTTATTCCCATCCTTTATGTAATTCCTCTAGATTCTGAAGTCACATATTCATTTTCTATATTATTTAGTGTCAGCTGCCCCCCATTTCCGGTTCATACACTATTTACGGGGCTGTATATATTATATATTACCATATTACCATTTTCAAATATTCAGAATCTTCAGCTAACTTATTCCCATACTCTATATAATTCCTCTCAATTCTGAAGTCACATATTCATTTTCTATATTATTCAAATCGACTCACAACTGTTTTAAAATGCCTCATATTAAATTATATGTAGTCAAGGGGTTGTATATCTCATTAATGGCGTTTCTCAATGATCCTATCGTTTAAAAATATTACATTTTGCTCGTATTTAGATGTCGTGGAATTATATCGAAAAGTCAATTTTTGTTTTCATGAGAAAATGCTCAAACTTGGTGCACCCCTTATAGAGCCAAAAGGTTGTATATTTCATTTATGGCATTTCTCAGTAATCCTATCGTTTAAAAATATTACATTTTGTTCGTATTTAAATATCGTGGAATTATATCGAAAAGTAATTTTTTTGTTTTGATGAGAAAATGGTCAAACTTGACACACCCCTTATACTGTCAAAAGGTAGTATATTTCATTAATATTAATTTCTCAGTGATCCTATCTTAAAATATTACATTTTGTTCGTATTTAGATATGGTGGCCTTATATCGAAAAGTAATTTTTTTGTTTTGATGAGAAAAAGCTCAAACTTGATACATCCCTTTTTTCCACCCCCTTTTAACGTTCTTGAGCCACCGAGATAATCGCATAGGAATAGTTTGTAACACGTTGTGAATTTTTTTTTGTACAAATCGAGGTTACATTTCTGTTTTGATGAGAAAATGCTCAAACTTGATATACCCCTTTTTTCCACCGCCTTTTAACGTTCTTGAGCCATGGAGATAATCGCATGGGGATAGTTTGTAACACGTTGTGAATTTCTCTTTGTACGAATCGAGGTTACACAGTAGTCGATTGAAATTTAATCTTGGCAATAAGCGAGCGTTGACAATCGTATCATTGTTGATTTCACGGGAATAAAAGGCACGTCGAGGCCGCCCGTCGCTATCACGGAAGAGGACGTGTCGATTGGCCTGAAGAATTGTACGCCGATGTCTTTGCAAGGCATACAATTGTACAAAGGCGGGGCTCACCTTTGGTCGGATATCGGGGGCCTGGAGGAGGTGAAAAACTCTCTCATAGAGATTCTACAGTGGCCTTTGAAGTATCCAGAGATATTTAAGAACGCTCCCATCAAGCTACAAAATGGCGTTTTGTTATATGGCATGCCTGGCACGGGGAAAACGATGCTGGCCAAAGCAATTGCCAACGAATGCGGTGTTAATTTAATTAGCGTGAAGGTATCCCTTAAAAACACCATTTCTTAACACTAGATTTACGGAAACCGTCATATTTAAAATTGTAGAACGCGTAAATATTATTTTTTAACAACTTACGTTGAATTTGATCGATACAATGGCATGAATACATATTCCAATTAAAAGAAAAATCGTATTGTATCAACATGAAAGGTATCAATAAATATACGTGCGATCAATGCTCGTAAATCTAGTGTTAAATATTATTTTATATAGAATTTTAACTCGAAGCAAAATGAAAACTACAAAAGATAATCTAAATGCATGATACACGATATCAATGACTATGGCGTTTTAGGGTCCTGAGTTGCTATCGAAATATATCGGTGTCAGCGAGGAGTCCGTCAGGAACGTGTTCGAAAGGTACACGTTAAAAACACCGAGCTTTATGCATACATTCATTTAAAAACTAATATTTTTCTGCAATTTTTAGAGCCCTTCGCGCTAAACCGTGCGTTCTGTTTTTCGACGAATTCGACAGCCTCGCCCCGAGGTGAGCCAATCTCTGCAAGCAACGACATGGTTCGATGATTATAGATCTTTTTGCGATCGATTTCAGACGAGGCCACGATAGCACTGGAGTGACCGATAGAGTAGTGAACCAACTGTTAACGCAAATGGATGGCGTGGAGGACAGAGAAGGTGTAGCAGTCGTTGCAGCGTCTTCGAGGCCTGACTTGTTGGATCCAGCTCTTCTGAGGCCTGGAAGACTCGACAAGGCGTTGTATTGTCCACTTCCAGACGTGGTACAGTTCTCAGATATACTATTTCATCATTTTAACACGATTTATATACTCATATCGTTGCTTTTGTTTCATCGAATACGACTTAAACTGTTTTGGTAATTTGCAATTGGAACATGGAATGAATTGGCTTCGATTTTTAGCAAATACGAGTCATTGTAATCTTTGGAGGAGATATTAACATGCAAATTTTAGATTTTTATTTGCTCTTATTTATCCAACGTTTTCATTATGCACATATATATGGAGAGATATAGGATGAGAAATAGATGTAATGCAGAGTTTTGTTTTAAATAACAGTGCAAATGATCGATTTGTTTTCGAGTTAACTGAATTTGGACATTGTAATTTACCTGGCGCGTCTGATCATTCATCTGCTTTTCTACTTGAAAATTGCTGAAATCAAAATCTCTAGGCTTCATTTAAAACATCCCTCTTAACTGAGAACAGAAATAAAGAAATAGCCATTATTGAGAACCAAAGAAATGGTTCAAAGGTCCAGAAGTTTTGAAACAGCGTGTAATTTTTCGAATTGCTCAGACGGACAGAAAGGAGATTTTAGCAGCGCTCTGCAAAACACAAAACGTGGACGTAATCGAGTTAGATTTAAAGGAATTGGCGGATTCTACTCGTGGATTCACCGGTGCAGACTTGAACTCTGTGATCACCCAGGCCAGATTGTCAGCTTACGAAGACGCAGTCGCCATTGCTCCCGTGAGTGAACAAAAACAATTTTTGTCCAAATAAAAAGCAACCTATCAACCTCCTCCCATTAAGAAATCACACTGTTCGATATAGCAAGAAGGTCAGCCATTTTAGTCACCACTTTCCAAAACATCCACAAATTTAACGATAAAAATCTTCCCTTTGCAACACGAGTTTCAAACTAGTTTATGCTGCGGAAAAGAATGGACGTAATTATGTCCTCACAGAGGTGAAATTCTACAGGGTGTTCATCTTTCAAGATCAGCTCGTCGTGTCAGAATAGATCGAAATGGCGGTTGATGTATTTGTATAGTTGCTCCGGAAAATTAGAAAAACGAACGCTGAACGTGGCTGGAGAGCGGCTACCCCTGTTCCTAAAGGTATGATTCCACTGAGGCAACACTATGCGACTTGTAGCATGCTACTTGTCATTAACTGACGACATTGCTCGACATGTTCAATCTTGTCGATTCGACAATATCGAATAATCCCGCATTTCTTTATTTCGGGAAGGAAAGAAATGAATGTGTAGCAAATACACATGTCAAGTGTCTACATAACGTCGATTTCATGCGACATGTTGTCTAAATGTTGCCTTAATAAAATTGTGTTTCGTCGCATGCGTCATTGCCGCCATGCTACATGTTGCCTCAGTGGAATCACGCCTTAACGATCGTTTCGTTTTGTTGCGACCCCTCTTTCTCTCTCCCGTGCAATAATGAAAAGCATTTTAGCGCGACTCCGGCCGAGGAATCATTTGTAGGGAGCTTCCGAAGTAAGATAGTGCGTAATGATGATAATATCGTTAGGTGTATACCCCCCCCCGTCTATGTATATAGAGTGCCGAGCTAGGTAGGTGGGTAGGTGGCGCGATATAACTGAGGAAACGTAGACCAGGTTTATTAGCGCATGCTGCCGAGAGCACCAGCCATCCCCCATCTCGCTCCACTTCATCCTGGCCTACGCCTCGCTGAACGTCGAGGGGGTTATTATCTTATGCGTTATAATGATACACGGTTTAGGGCCTGCAGCGGTCCTGCAAAATCGAAAGGCAGACTCCCCTACCATCCCTAGTCTCGACCTGATACCAAGATGTCTCGTGACATTTCGAAAAACACTCTTCTTTATTCCATGGCCACGCTGAAACGGGTAATGGCGACCAACTAGAGCACCCCCATTGCCTCGTAGGCCCTCGATTTTTACGAAACTTTGCATAAATCTTCGTTGGAACCTTAGAGTCCTGGGGGCAGTGGTTTTCTTTGTTTTAAGGGTTTCTATTCTTAAATTGTTAATAGTCATATCAGAAAATTGTAATCTCTTCTTGTTCCTCTTCTTAATCCTTTGCAGAAATTTTCATTGTGTCAAGGGTTTCTATTCTTTAATTTTTAAAAGTCATATCAGACAATTGCATTTGGTTATGGCTAGTTGTTCATATCAATGAAGAGTCTCTTAGAATCCTGGGTGCAGATAGGGTTTCTCTTCTTTTAATCCTTTGCAGAAATTTTCCTTGTTTTAAGGGTTTCTCTTCTTTAATTTTTAAAAGTCATATCAGACAATTGCATTTGGTTATGGCTAGTTGTTCATATCAATGAAGAGTCTCTTAGAATCCTGGGTGCAGAAAGGGTTTCTCTTCTTAATCCTTCGCAGAAATTTTCTTTGTTTTAACCCTTTGCACTCAAAATTATATTCGAATTTTGTTACCAGCGGCTCCCAATGCTTTTAAGTGTTTTATTTGAAATGTACCTGTTAAAGTGAGTGTTTTATTTACACTGTTGTTGTATTTTGTAATTTTCGAGTGTATGATATCTGTTTGGTTTGGACTTGAAGGACCTCCTGAGATAAAAATTGATGTTGAATCACACTCGACATAGGAGTGCAAAGGGTTAAGGGTTTCTCTTCTTAAATTTTTAGAAGTCATATCAGAAAATTCAATTTAATATTGCTAATTGTTCATATCAATGAAGACTCTCTTAGAATCCTGAGTGCAGAAAAGATTTCTCTTCTTGATCCTCTGCACAGCTCCATTAAAGTTTCATTTACCTATAATATTAAATTTTTAAAAGTCATATCAGAAAATTGCATTTGGTATAGCCAATTGTTCATATCAATGAAAGGGTGGAACTCAACGAATTTAATATATTTGCGGTAAAATAAATTATCTGCGTTTTGATGCTCCATAATCGGCCCGACGCGCTCATGGTGACAGCGTCGCGTGGGAGGTAGGGGGAGGGGGCTATTAATTAACTTCCTACGGAGAAAACGAAGTTACGTCGGCACTTACCTACCGGAAGAACACGAATATCCAAACTGTGCGTCTAATTAGCGGGGCGAGAAACACGTCTCCTCGGTTATAAGCGATAACGTCTATATGCAGACCCACACACACGCGATGTTTCGCTTTAAACCTGCAATTAATTGCTCTTTCGATCGGATCGTAGGACGGAAAAATCGAAGCTGAGGACATCGTCGTCTCCCAGAGGCATCTCGTCGACTCTGTCCAATCCACACAGCCTTCGTTGTCCACCGTCGAGAAGGAAAAGTACAAAAGAATGTGAGTGTCTATCGAGATGGTCAATAGAGTCTACGTTCATCATCGATGTTGTTTTTGTTGCAGTTACGCCAGGTTTGCGGGGAACGACAATTTCACGGAAGACATAATGAAAAATCAAAAAGCCACGTTAGCATGAATTTGAACTCGAGATTCGAATGGTAATAAAAGTACTCACCTTTTCTAACGAAATAATTTTTGTATCGTTCAAAATGGCGGCACGAAAGAAGAACGGGGTGTGTTATTCCCATGCTCGTTTTATTAGGCGTGTGCGCGATAGTTGCGTATCCTAGACGCGGCGAAACTCGAGGGGCCCCACTTTTCCTCGTTTAGCCGAGTATAAGCGTAATCCGGATGCCTGCGTCTCTCAAGAAACTCAGCCTCCGCGGCGTCGTTCCGCGCCAGGCGTAGCTTAACAGCACGGGCACGGAACTTTTCGTATTAATAATCGGTATAATAATTAGTATTTTCATGCGCGACTTAGCAGGAAGGACGCGAGCTCGCGCCCACGCTAGGAGACTCGTCGAGGTAGGGGGGTGGGTGGGAGGTGGGGGGATGGTAGGAGAAGAGCGAGCTCTGAACTTCGGTGGATCTTGATTTTAAGTTCGGGCGAAGGAGGCGCATATTTCACCGCGCTAATGTCCCGCCAGATAAACTACAATATTAGCTGCCTTCGCCCGTGATTTAATTTAACTTTGCCCCGGCGCGACATCCGCCTCTAGCTTTCGGCTGCCTCAGCTCGGTTAACCACCCACCCACCCCCCGACCCCTCACCGTCGACATGTGTTTCTGGTTTATAGTTTTGAGGGTCGGATAAGTAGACTCCAAAGAAATTACATCCTCGTTCCTCTCGTACCCCATTTTCTCTGGGCGTCCAAAACGCCACGAGGATGTTTCAATAAACGCTCAGCTGATAGTAGCTATTGGTAATTACACAGAGAATTACTATTCTCATCTTGCAAAGATGCTTTAGCTACCTTTTTTGTAAAAGCAACTCGAAACTACACGTCATTTGTACACTTAATTGAATTTAACCAACTTTAACCCTTTGCACTTGTACAGGCGACATTATACGTTTTAAAACTTTTAATTTCTGCTTAAATGTGTGTGTGTGTATATCAAATAAAAGATTGACAGCCTTCTCAAATATAAACACGAGTGCAAAGAGTCAATAATAACGAAAGATTCCCAAGCTTGCATATCCAAGCAGAAGGACGCCATCTTGAAACGAGATTTCAAGAACAACGCGACGTGAAACATAAAAGAGAGCTAAACACAGTTAACTCCAAGCCAAAGTGACTTTAACATTTCTTTCTCCTTTGGTAGCCACGTTAATTTGTTAAAGAAACGCACGAATAAAAATGCTTGGACGAAAGGGGAGTCGTAACCGTAATGCAGGAAACCAGGGGCACCGTGTAAAGCAAACAAACTTGCGCTCGCGATTATTACCCAGAAGAATTAGGATGGCATTCAGTACCGTGGAAATCATGGCGGCATTGTTGCGTGTCCTTCGGAACGCGAGGATGCCTCCTTGGTTCCCTTCAGCTCGTAGGTTCCTCCACCTTCGTTGCATCGAAGAAAAGTGACGGAACGGGAGTCGGTGAGACGTAGCAGCGAAGTTTTCGAATGTCAAGGTAACGAGATTAGCAGGACGAGAAACGGTAATCAGGAATAAAAATGCTACAACCGACGGCATTTACGCTAACTAATCTTCTTCAGGAGGCGAGGCGCTAACGGAGTTAGAACCAGCCAGCCCCCGCGTTTCTCCCGGGGTTTTCGTCGCTCTGGCTGGCTTGTTAGCCGGATAATTGGCCATTTTTATGCTAAGCAGACCCACGGCTGTTACGGCTGCTCGCATTTTCATTTTCGTCTCTGCCTTTCTTCCCGATTGATTGTCCACGTTTTGTTCCTACCACGTAACGCGAGTCGGTTCGTTCGAACTCCACCAAGATCATTCGTGACAATGGTAGCTCTTGTATTAAATTCAGACTTCGTGAGATTGGTCACTGGGTCAACAACACGTTTTCACAACGCTTTTTGTAATGGTGGACTTAACAATGTAGGGTTATCCAAGAGTAACAGAGAGTTTTCAGTTTTCATAGCCGCCATATTTGTTATTCGCTTGTTCGAGTCAAGTATCGTATTTGTGTTTAGGAGTTCAAAGTTGCTTCACGCGAGATAGACCATAATGAGCTCCATTAGACTGTCGAAAGGGTGAAAAAGAAAGAAAGCGTGGAAAGAAAGATTTAAGTAGAGTTAGTCGAGTAATGGTCAGACGCGTCAGACATATCGTACTCAGTTCCACTTGTGCTCGACAAATATTCTAATTTAATTACCTCGAAAACGAAGCATTGTACCATACAATCTAAACACATTTTCAACTTATCTTTTCACACAGAATCACCCCCTTTTCTCGTTATATTATACACATCATGTGTTTCGCCTTTTCTGAAGAAATGCTCATTTTTTAACGAAAAGTTGCGCTGTTTGGTAAGATTCTAGCATCAATTAATCGTCTGGCGTCCAAGTGGGTTTAATTTCTCCGAGACACACAGAATCGTTTCGATTTTTCTTTCACAAGGTATCCTGCGTATTGTTAACGAATCTACTTTCGAGACGGTTGTATATTTCGATCGGGCTCCCTCTTTCTCTACTTTTCCCGGTCCTGTTTCTCCCTATCTCACGGTTGGTGCAAGATAGGGCAGTAACGGCGGTCGGTGCCGCGGTAAGGCGATTACCGAATCGCGGAAATGCATCTCACTGGTCAAAGTACGAGTCCACCATTGTGGCGTAGGCCGCCTGGAAGAAAAGGATTTCCTGCGTTCCAATTATTCCCGTTTGACAATATTAAATTGCCCCTCGAACCCCATTTTGCAATGAATTTTAATAAAACACTTCCTTACCACGATCCAAACGAAGCGTTACTATATTCTCAGAAAATACTGACTTTATTATTTAAATCATAAGAAACTTCAAAGTTGTGGATTAAATACTCAGTCGATCGTCTCGAAAGTTGAATCACATGGATCAAACGTTAAATACGAAACTCTTCTTTATAGGCGATTTTTAGCAAATATAGAAACGTGTCTTTCCTCTTTTCGTTTTCGAACATTCCGCGTTTTTCTGTCGAAAGTTGAACCACATGGAACGAACCTTAAATACGAAAGAATTTTCTCAATCTATGAAACTCTTCTTTATAGGCGATTTTTAGCAAATATAGAAATGTGTCTTTCCTCTTTTCGTTTTCGAACATTCCGCGTTTTTCTGTCGAAAGTTGAACCACATGGAACGAACCTTAAATACGAAAGAATTTTCTCAATCTATGAAACTCTTCTCTATAGACGATTTTTAGCAAGTATAGAAGCGTGAGTTTCTTCTTTTCGTTTTCGAACATTCCGCGTTTTTCTGTCGAAAGTCGAACCACATGGAACGAACGTTAAATACGAAATAATTTTCTCAATCTATGAAACTCTTCTTTATAGGCGATTTTTAGCAAGTATAGAAACGTGTCTTTCCTCTTTTCGTTTTCGAACATTCCGCGTTTTTCTGTCGAAATTTGAACCACATGGAACGAACCTTAAATACGAAAGAATTTTCTCAATCTATGAAACTCTTCTCTATAGACGATTTTTAGCAAGTATAGAAGCGTGAGTTTCTTCTTTTCGTTTTCGAACATTCCGCGTTTTTCTGTCGAAAGTCGAACCACATGGAACGAACGTTAAATACGAAATAATTTTCTCAATCTATGAAACTCTTCATTATAGGCGATTTTTAGCAAATATAGAAACGTGAGTTTCCCCTTTTCGTTTTCGAATATTCCGCGATTTTCTGTCGAAATTAAGGAAGCTCGCGAGAAGATTGAAAATTTTGTGTTTGCACGCAGCGAATCAGGTTCGCGGCATTTGATGCGAAACAATTTTGCGACGTTGGCCGCAATTCGATCCCGGAATTACGCGGCCGCCGGCTGGAGGGGGCCGGGGGTTGCAAAAATACAGGATGGAAATGCAGAACAAGGAGGCAAAATCCATCTAGTGATTTCACAGGCAATTATGCCGCGGCGCCGTGTCGCCCGGGTTACTCTTATTTAACGCCAATGTGCGCCGAGATCACGCCTCGACGCCCTTGCACCGTGATCCCATTTGCGCGAAATTGTCAATGATAGAATGGCAGATTGAAAACTCGACATTCAGCGTTTCCCTTCCATTCTGGGTTTACCTTTTTCTACGACGATCCCTCTCGTTCCCGCGTCTACTTGTCGGATGCTTCGATTCTTTCGTTCAGCGACGTACAATGTCGAACATAAGTATTCCTCCAATGCAATTTATAGTGAAGCGTCGATTACACCAATTAAACAAATATTTTTTCGAGTATTCCTAAATTGATTCTTGATAGGAATAATTAAAGCGATACGAGTTGTTCGTACAAATAGTGGGAAAATATTGGTCCATATAAGTATTTCTATGATGCAATATACAGTGAAATTTCACTTACAATTAGAGGGTTATTAGTAATACAAATTGTTCGTACAAATAGTGGGAATATTATTGGTCCATATAAGTATTTCTATAATGCAATATACAGTGAAATTTCACTTACAATTAGAGGGTTATTAGTAATACAAATTGTTCGTACAAATAGTGGGAAAATATTGGTACAATTAGTGTGATTAGTAATACAAATTGTTCGTACAAATGGTGGGAATATTATTGGTCCATATAAGTATTTCTATGATGCAATATACAGTGAAATTTCACTTACAATTAGAAGGTTATTAGTAATACAAATTGTTTGTACAAATGGTGGGAAAATATTGGTCCATATAAGTATTTCTATAATGTAGTTTACAGTGAAATGTCACTTACAAGTGTTAGTGTAATTAGTAATACAAATTGTTCGTAAAAATAGAAATATTATTGGTCCATATACGAGTACATTTAACGCGAAGATTAAAATAAAATTCTACAAAAATAACTTGTTTAGAAATGTTTATTCAATCTCTCATAGAAAATTACAAACATTTAATCGAGTTTTATCAGTTTTATTAGAGATTACAAATGGGGGTTACTGCTTTGGTAGTTCTAGTGTTAATTTATATCGATGAATAGTTTCGTGATTATTTTGACATCGAAGTCTAAAATC